TTGTCCCTGAGGACAAAAACAGCTGGGAAGCGGAGACAAGTCTGAACTCCGTGGGAGCACTCCTTTCACCCCCCCAAAAAAAACTTGGGGGGTGCAAAAGAGGCTCTACCACTATTCAGACACTCTCTACCCCCCCCTTTGCCCGGGAGGGGGATTTTGAACCGCTGAACAGCTGGTGTCTGCTGTTCATAGCGGTTCTTACACTTACCCAGGAAAGACGGCTACAAAGTAGCCGCCATCGCGCGCGCAAAATCCACCGGAAGTCCCGGAAGCTATTTTACATTTTAAAACAGTCTGATTTAAGGGTTGAAAGAAGGAAAATACATTTAATTCCCAGGAGACTGGATACATGGTATTCATTCATAAAGTCGTTGCTCAAAGAATAGCAACTCAAAACCTTTACTGTGCTATCTGTCCTCTTGCCCTTACCAGATGCCGCTGTATTTCTGGATGCCAAGTTTTACTCATTGAAGAATAAAGGTAACCCTGATATGTAAATCTCTCTCTTATCATTAGGAATACTGCAGAGAATTCACTGAAGAATGGAAACGACTGGAACTGGATGTATTGCTTTGTCCTGCTATTGGTCCTGCTTTTAAGAGTGGGTCTTTTGAAAGAGTACCAGGTACTTTAAAAAAAAACTTGGAAAACTGAGTTTTAAAAAGCACGTTGTTATCCTTTATATCCCATGGTGCTTCTTATTCTTTTTTAACCAGATGTGAGTAAATCCTAGGGTTGTGATGTGCTTTGATGTTGGACAAAAAATTCATGAGGTGATGCAGGGGATACAAATATGATGCTTGTTTGCAACTCTTTGAACCAAATGCACCTTTTCTATGGCTGTACTGTCCCTAGGAAAAGGGGTGGCTGCTTTAAAGAGCTTGCAGTTTGAAGCTGAAACATTTCACAACCCTAATGTATTCCTGTTATGGATCTTGCCACATTCCATCCTGGCTTATACAGTGAGGGAAAAAAGTATTTGCTGATTTTGTACATTTGTCCACTGACAAAGAAATGATCAGTCTATAATTTTAATGGTAGGGTTATTTTAGCAGTGAGAGACAAAATAACAACAAAAGAAATCCAGAAAAATACATTTCAAAAAAGTTATAAATTGATTTGCATTTTAATGAGTGAAAGAAGTATTTGACCCCTTTGTAAAACATGTCTTAGTACTTGGTGGCAAAACCTTTGTTGGCAATCACAGAGGTCAGATGTTTCTTGTAGTTGACCACCAGGTTTGCACACATCTCAGGAGGGATTTTGTCCCATTCCTCCATGCAGATCATCTCCAAGCCATTCAGGTTTCAAGGCTGACATTTGGCAGCTCAAATCTTCAACTCCCTCCACAGATTTTCTATGGGATTAAGGTCTGGAGATTGGCTAGGTCACTCCAAGACCTTAATGTGCTTCTTCTTGAGCCACTCCTTTGTTGCCTTGGCCTTGTGTCTTGGGTCATTCGATCAGCCTTCACAAACTAGGACCCGTTCATTCTTCTGAGAATACATAACTACAATTTTTGTGACAGTGCAGACAGTATTTCTAAAATTCTTCTTAAATAGACTGTAGACTTTGGGAATCTAATTTAACAATACAGTTTCTAAGGTTGTCAGATGATCATCAGCATCCATATAGCCTCTAGAATAAAATTGTGTCCTTTTAAAGAGCAGAAAGTTAGAGACAGCACATAACACTGTAAACATGAAACCTTCTGTGTCTGAACATTTTTAGTTGCTTGAGATTGGCTTCAGTTTTTTCAAATAATTTTCTCATCTGTAGAGTGGGGAGGAGATATGTGTGATCAGAGTTACAAAGTACTGTCTTCCTTCTACTGTTAATCATCGCAAGTTGCTCAAGAGAGCTGGGTAGCCATTTAATGTGCCCTGTGTTTTTTGTCTGTACAGAGGCCAGTAGTAATTACATATTATATAACTTGTTGGACTTCCCTGCTGGCGTGGTACCAGTTACAACAGTGACAAAGGAGGACGAAGAGGAGCTAAAGAATTTCAAAGGACACTACAATGATTTGGGGGACAAACTCTTTGCAAAGGTACTTGGAATTGCCTCATGACAGTGCCTAGCAGCATTTATAGGTAATCCTCAAGGTTCGACCATAGGGGAGCCTGTCCATTATCATCACATGTCATGATGGCCATGAAGCGAGATGGCCTCACTTAACAACTGCCTCCCCCTGTTCTCTCTGATGCGGCTGTTAAACAAAAAGGCAGGTTGTTAAGTGGAGCATGGTGTGCTTTAGGTATGGAGGCCTGTCTGTCAGGGCCCACTTCAAAACCTCATCCTAAGAAAGCAGAACTCGTGGAAGCAGTTTCTTCTAAAAGAAACTTTTATTAGGTGAAGCTGATAGCAAGCATAATAGGTAGGATCTGAGAGGTTTCACGCTCAGATCCATAGGTTAAAAGCAAACCCCAGCCCAATAGTTCATCCGGTCAGTTTGAATGGGCCAATCCTCAGGTGTTAAGTCCGCTGTGGGACAAGAGCTGATAACCCCAGTCTTTCCCAGGCTCGTAGCAATGTTGTTGGGTCTTAACACCTTCCCTTCCGAAAGGGGAGATAAGTCAGATGGTCAGAGGCACATTCCTTTCTCACCCCAAGGTAACATCAAGGGAGAGACAGTTCAAAGAGCAAATATGCAGAAACAGCAGAAGGGATAAAAAAAATAAAGAGACAGCCCGCAGTGTCTTCCCCCCTCCCCTTCAGGGGTATGGCAGAACCCAGAGCAATGAAGTAAAAAGAAATAGAAAAGAGTCCCCCTTAATATTATATGAGTTCTGACACTGCCCTGGGTCTCCCAAGGCCTTCTCCAACCCTGAAACACCCATGTTTTGTGTCACCACAAGGAACTGTGGGCAAGCTGAAAATGGCAATACCTTCTGAAGGACAGCCACATGGCCAGAAACACGTGGCCTTCCTTTTCCCCCCAACGTGAGGCTCAGAGAACTATAAAGGATAAGGGTGTGATGGATGACAGGCATGTGGGGAGTAGTCCAAGGCCTGCAGGGTCCCAGTGGAGCACGATGGAGGAGAGAGAGAGAAATGGGGGGATGCTGTAGAGTCCCTGCAGTCAGTCGTAAGAGCTAATGATTGTAGGGGTGCTGCAGCAGCCGTAAGTTCGAAAGGGGGTTGTACGTAGCTTACAGGAGGTGTGTTGTAACTTCAATGGTCATTAAGTGATCGTCCTGATCCTGAGGACTATCTATATTTGACGCTTGCTGTAAAAAACGGCTTTCTTTATGCTGTCCTTGCAGGCAGTGAAAGAATCTGTGGGGCTCCCTGTGGCTGTCCAGTGTGTGGCTTTGCCCTGGCAAGAAGAGCTCTGTCTCCAGTTCATGAAAGAAGTGGAGAAGCTAACCAGGGAAAAATCAAAAAACCAATGATATGATACCACAGGAAGCAGAATGGAACTCTTCCATAATAGCCATGGACTCTGGGGACTGATTTAGTTCATACAACTAAAAGAGGGGTCACTATGAATGAATTTGTTGAGAAAATGTAGGGGAATTATAGGGTTAAGCTTCACACACTTTTCATTAAAATGTTCAGTGCAATTCTAAAAATATAAATATAAAAATGTACCAGGTCTGAAATAATGAAGTTGAAGTTTTTGATGTGCTTTTGGAATCGGAGTGTCTGTGGATGGAGCAGATAGGAAACATTTGAGGAATTGATTTTCCCTGGCAATTATGTACATGGATGAACAGAAAAATCAGACATCTGATTGTATACTTGGGTATGATATTATTCTAGTCCAAATGTATTAATAAAAATAAAGTTTCTCTAATCTTCCCTGAGCAGAGGTGAGAGTATGTTTCTCAGTTGTTCAGCAACTTAGCAATATATTAATTTTCAAGTGGTTTTACTAGACATTATCATTGGACAAACAATGTTAAAATGGATGGTACTTTTGCCAATAATAGATCCCAAAAGAATTTGTAAAACTACTGGAAAAAGACACATTTTGTCACTGATCCTTCTCAATTGATAGTGTGCCATTGCTTAATACACTATGAAGTCTTTATCTGAATTTCCAACTTCTCAGGAGCATTAGATATAATACTATATCACAGATGAACAGAGACCTGATACTAATATCAAAATAGAGCAAAAGGCAAGTCAGCATTGTAATCAACTATTTCAGTTTAGATCAGTGTGACAATAGTATGGCTTTTGCACTTGGCCAAGTACAAATCTGCATTCTGATTCAAAGATGATGAGCTTTGCAAAAGTAAGCCTACTATAATGTACATAAAGAGAGTGTCTTTGCCCCAGGAAAGATCTAGATTGTGGGCAAATCCTTCATGATATTCAACCCAAATTATTTATATGGAAGAACAGCCCTGCTAACAATAGGACCACCAATCAAAATGTATTTTAAAGAGTTCCAGGGGTAGAAAAACTTCTCCAGAGCAACACTCAATTTCAGAGATTGAATAATAAATTTGGTTTTTGAAACTAACACCAGAGAGCAGGGAGGAAGGCTTTCAAAGGTTAGAGTATCTGTAATTTGCTTATATGGGAGGCCCTGGTTAGGAATAATAGCAAATAGAGCTGCACAAAAATCCTCCCAAACTGAAGCTGGAATGGGAATATTGAATTAGAATTTTATGTTCCTTCAATAAACCTGATCCAATATTCCAGAAGAAAACTGAATTTGCCCTTTTTGCTGAAAATTCCAGATCTGGCCATATTTTGCCTGTGAAAGAAACTTTTTCAGAGGCTATCAGTGTCTCCAGAAGATGGTAGAGGACAGGAAGGCCTGGAGGAACATTGTCCATAGGGTCGCGATGGGTCGGACACGACCTCGCAACTAACAACAACAATCAGTGTCTTATAATCAATGTAATATTTAACATTTTAGCATAGTTTTTTTAATAATAGTGCATTGCTGTAAACAGAATAACGTCAAGTTGAATGTATTTGCTGTCAGTGTAAGGGCTCACCCCACTTTACATCTTAAGAAGACAGAACTCTTGGAATATCTCTTCCAACAGGCATTTTTATTAAGAGAAGATGGTTGCAGGCGTTCTAGACAGGATTTGAGGAGTTCTCTTCCATCCTTCAATGTTTTAACTGTTCCCAAGCAGCCCCCACACCATAGTTCGTCCGACGACGATCACTCATCCTATTTTCCCGGATTCCAGGTGTTGCCTTGTTTCCCCCCCCCCTTTTCCCTTCACTACCAGCAAAATGAAGACTTCAGAGAGCTGAGTAGATGAAAGGTAATGGCCATATTGTTATGGTCAGGCCTCTTGATGGGAATCAACATCCAGTCCTTATGTAGTTTACTGAAGGAAGTGCGAGCCATAAACCACCCTGTCATAGTATGACAGAATCCAGAGAGGGCAGAAATGTTTTTTTTTTCATAGTAGATAACTAGAAATGAAATATAATTGGATTCTGACAGTCGATTTCTAGTGGGAAGTTTATCTGTTAATATTTTTCAGTGAAATTCATAGATCAATATATTGAGTGAGGATTGTATTCAGACCTTGGATACAGAAGGAAACTGAGTTTCTCCAAACTGTTCAGAGTTCAGAAATTCAGGATATTGCCTTAGTGTTTTCCTTGGCCCAATTGAGCCTTCTATTCTGCCTGACTTTGCGATTAGCTAATAATCTTTTATCGGGAGATACAGATAAATTAGTATCCAATCTGGCTTGGAAATGGACTATGATTGATGATTGCTATCTCCTTCACATGTACTTAGATGTCTGAAGACAGCCCTGTCTTGTTTCATGTAAACATAGGTAATCTAAAATCATGAATAATATGTAAAAGGATATATAAAACCAGGTTCTTTACCTCCTAAACTATGGAGGTTACAGTTATTGATCAAGGATACCAGTTGTCAGTCCGCTGCATTTCATTTGGGGTCTCTAGAAAGCCAGGATGGATCATTTATAAGATAATCCTCAGGAATAACTCCGAGTTGTACAACATTGTGTAAGGAAGGGCCCCATCTTGGCCCTTAACTCTTCTGCTAAAATTATATGGTTTTAGGATGATTTGACGTTGTCTTTAACATTGTCTTTTCTAGATTCACCCAAATATTAGGGAAAAAACGGGGGAGGCATGTGGGGTGGCAGATATATTTAGCAGAACTGTTTTAGAACATTTATATGAAAATTTTATAGCTAAATAATTGGGAGAGTCATCTCTAGGAACTGATTGCAGTCCTTGCTAGCCCAACTTTGCTTGGCAATTGTAGTCAGTCCTCCTGATGCCCGCTCTTTAGTCTTATATTCCTTTGCAGGAATATACCAGGATCTAAATTAATCTTTTCCTCATTTGTAGTCACCCATGTCTCTTGGAGTGCTCTGAAGTCAAGATTAGAGAAGAACTCTACCAGGTTCCCATCTGTTACTTTGTTCTTCCGGCTAGTAATATTCCAAGTTAGTAACTGGATTGGACCATTGTGTTTAATATTAGTGAGGGTGCTCGGGAGAATATTGGAATTGGAAAATGGATTTTTCAGTCATTTAGCAGAAGTTATATTACCCCAAATTTAAAATTCAAAAATGCTACTAAATTCCTGAAAGCATGGCATTCAGCCAAATCAGACATCAATAGACACATAGGGATAAACCAATTTTACATACCATTCAAAAGAGATAATAAACAACTAAGAAGGAAACAAAAAGACCGGAATACATCCTCTCTAGCAGCTTGCACCCAAATAAGCAAGTATTAACACCTCACAAACAATGAAGCAGAAAACAATACCCTAATCAAGGAACTACCAGAGAGAAAACCATACTTCACCAACACTACCTGGAAAAACTATTCTATACTGCATAATAGGAGGCAGATCTCACATTCACTATCACTGATGATGTCACTTAGTCAGGTAATGAAATGTCTGGAAGCAAACAACTAAATGAAGAGAACACCAAGGATTTCACAAATAGGATACTAAATAACATCATACACTGTAGCAGTGTTGAACCTCGTGCTTGTACAACTAACAGACCAGATTCCCTCTGTTGGTCAGAAAAAAAATCCTGAAGTGAAACCTCATATAGTCTCCCTCTCTGACTTAGAACCCTTGACTGTCTCGGTTCTCAATTATTCAACAAGCCTACACAAATCAAGCGAAGACTTCTAACCAATGTACAATTTGATCTTGGTATACTTTATGTTGCAAGGAAAATCTTCTAATTTCATTTTTTCTATGCAGTGGAGATGAAGGATGGGAATATGGTAGAAGACAGAAAGTATGAATGTCCACCCAGCTATCTCCTGTAACGGTGAATGAGGAGAAAGAGAAATGCCTCAATTGGTCACATAAAATACAAAAAAAGAGAAGACCAATCTTTCACGGCTGTTTGCAGACGTGGATAACTGGTACAAAAAGTGATGCTTTGACAGAACAATGAATATTGCAGGATCAAACATTCCGTGATATTTTATCATTTTTATAAGTCCAGATGCATCCTTGATCTACAAATTGCTTGTCAGATTCAGATGAATTTCTTCTGTTGCTCTTTGTTGGACAGCATCTCAACTTCTTTCATGAACCGAAGGCATAATTCCTCCTGCCATGGTAAAGCTACACACTGAACGGCCACAGGAAGCCCAACAGCACCTTCTACTGCCTGAAAGAGATAGTAAAAGAGCAAAGTCATTCAGATATCTCCGGTCCAAAGGTCCAAGCATTTTTTATTACTGTAAAGTGATCTTGAGCAGGTATCCTTGAAATAGGTCTCCTGTCTCCCTCCAAGTGGCAAATGGTCTCAGGTATGTTTTCAAAGGACTGCAACCTTAATTTCTCAGATTCCTAGCTTAGACCATTAATAAAACTGTTCACATCATTTGATTCTTTCTCTTGTATGCCTTCATAAAACTGCTGCCTTGGAAGCCAGTCATCCCAAAGACGTAAAATATGAGAGCTAAAAGACTTAAGTGCTTACACAGAAAAGTGAAAACCCACACTAACTCTTAACCTTCAGCAGGATAGGTAAGCTTTTAACCAATTATTTCTCCCTCCCCCCAGGCCCCCTCCATTCATTAGTTTTATTTAAAATGGATTTAGATCATTTTTTTGGCAAGAATTAATCCTGGCCTTGGGGGGGAATTAAAAAAAAATACCCTTCCCTAAAACATAACGGTTATAATCCCGGATTCTTAGATTAAACCTTTCTTCCCTTTCAATTCTCAATATCACTTTTCCCCCTCTTTTAAAAACAAGAAGAGAATTTTCAATCCATATATTCTACAGCTAAAAATAGATTTGCTCCAAAACATTCTCTTCAAAAAGATTTCCTCTGAATTTTTTCAGGGTATTTGTTCTTTAACTAGATTGATGACATTTTGTTTCTCAGGATCAATACTTTATACCATTAAATCCTTCAATATTAAATCAACGTCTGACAATAGGTTCAAATTATTGTTTTTGCCAAATTCCAGTAAGAGGTCAAAACCATTTCTATTTTAGAAGCAATATACAGTAGTTCATTTACTTGTGCAAGAAAAAGAAATGTACAATCATCATGAATGTTTAGTTGTTGCCAAGCGCTGGGAAAATCAGGAAATCCAAGCAGTTTAAAAGAATATAAAGGTTAATTGCAAGCTTAAGCGATCTACAAGAATCTGAACTACTAACTACAATTTGGTGGTAGATAAGAATCAATAGAATTCAAAGTGGGCTGGACTCTTGGTGCGAAGGGACTTGAGACTAATGAGACATTTGACCCCTTCCTCCGGCTCAGTTGGGTCATCATCTATAATTCTAATATATGGTATTATATCTTTTCATGCCATAATGTCCTCATGTACATTATTCATCCATATTCATCCAATTTTGGGGAAGATTACTTATAAAAGAAGTGCTAAATAGGATATATTAGATCAAACATATCTTTAAATTAAACTCTACTGTTAGCAATTTTGGGTGGAAAAAGATTAATTCATTAAAATTTAGGAAAGTTTAGTTAACCTTATTTATTTATCCAAAGATAGCAGATAATTTTCAAAAACTGATATTAATTTTGTTGTGAAATCAACGGTCTTCACCATCTCAAACATCACTGATCCGCAAACATTTCTGCTGTAATAACCTCTCCTGAGTTCATACAAACCTTTTTCAGGGTCCTATCCCAGGAGTCACCATATAGTCCCTGGTACTGTGCCATCTCTTCTTCATCTGCTTCTGTAACTGTGGTAACTGGTACAACTCCAGCAGGGAAGTTCAAAGCATTGTACAGCATGGTATTAGAGATAGCACCTAGGAAAGTGAACACACAGAATAAAGAGTTAGGTGGAATTAGATACCTTTTCCCCATGGAGCTTCTTTCCCAAATCCTTCTACTGGCATAATTCAGTTATGGTAGGGTAGAATTGAGGAACTTTCTAAAATTGAACTGTTCCATTTTTTTCTGGGTTTTGAACATGTACAATGGACAACAATGCTTTGGTGAGTTATTCTAGTCATCCTATTAAAGTGGGAGGCTGGAAAAATACTGATTGTCTGACAAAAATTGTGGGTGAAAGGGAGGTTTTCCTGTTCCCCAGATGACACTTAAATTTAGAAATGCCAGATATTTTGTTTTTAACTCTGCACATGATATATTGCAAACTGCCTATCACGTGAAATATTGCAAACTGCTAAAAGCATTCCTATGTTAAAATGAGGAACTATAGATTATAACCATGTCTAGTAACCTTCCTATGTTAGTATAAGGAACTATAGAATGTAACCACGTAAGGAATATGTCTTGATCAGGAAATACTTACATATTGGGGGTTATAAATATGATCACCTGTGCCCCTGTTGGACGTTCAGACCCTTTAAGCTGTGAATAGCTCTCTGAACCTGCGCAAATAAACTTTCCTTCCACAAAAGAGCTGACTCAAGTCTCTCACTTCTACAACACTATGGACAGAAGAGTTAGCCTGAAACCAGATTTTAATCTCTCTGTGAGAATTACATGTAAGCTATATTCCCATACAGGAATTGTGAAAATTTCTAGATCATGCTGACCATTGTTATTAATTATTCTGCTAAGAGAATGGCAAAACTACTATCTTGGGAAGCAATCCTAGTCTGTCTACCTGTGCAAGATTAAATGTTGGTGGATGCTCCTGAAGCTTGATAATTTTTTTTAAATGTAATGAAAAGGTATACATTATGTCACAGTAAGGCTTACCAAGTATTTTTGCAGGATATCCAAGAAAGAAGGCGGGACCCAGAACAGGGCACAGGACAACATCAAGCTTGTTTTTTCTCCAATTCTCAATAAACTTTTTACGATAGACCTGAGCCCAAACAGCAATAGTTGTTAAAAGTCCTGACAAAATCTAGGCTTGATAAAGTGTAGCTGAGTAGTTAGAAATGTGCTGAAAGCTATCCCAGGTTGTTGCCAGATAGGAAAAATACAATCAACATATGATTTTTAAATTTTATTTTCACAACAAATGTTTTTACCATCAATTCATTATCGATCTTCCATAGGTCCTTCACATTCCTGAAAGACAGAATATTGAACATGTAAGCCAAGCTTTCTTAAAATATAAGAAACTGCAACTCTGCTGGATAATCAAGATGATCATATGTGTACCGGAAACAAGACAAGACTGGGGCCACATAGATCATCATTTTGAAGAAACAGAATAAGAAGAATATCGATGCTTTTGAGCTCTGAAGTTGGAGAAAACTCCTGAGGGTATTGTGGACAGCCAAAAGCCCAAACCAATGGACCATCAATCTAATCAACCCAGAGTTCTCATTCGACGTACAAATAACCAAGCTCAAATTATCCTAATCTGGACATGTTACGAGAAACCTAGCTCTCTGACAAAGGCTCTAATGCTGGAAAAGGCCGAACTATAAAGGCACCAACATTTTATAGTGTATCAGCTAAAAGTATCATTTCAGTGTATTTGTAGGAATATAATTCTGCCATTACCTTACTCCACACAACGCATTCAGCTGCCCAGCCAGTCGGGGAAACTTGAAAGAAAATGACATTGAGTGAAAATCCAGATTCATTAGTACTATTGGAGTTTGTTTAAAAACTATACAGCATTTTTTTTTTAAAAAAAAAACTGTGTGTAAGGTCTGGTGAAGATACACAACATTATGACTGTACAGTTGCAATTTCATCTCTAATTGAAGAGGCCATTATGTACAAGTCCCAAGGAGCAGGTATTCCAGCCGGACAGACCTGCTGGCTATCAGAGCACTAATCAAACTAGTGATATGGGCAAACGAGGCCATCTCACTGTAGGGTTTTTGCAACAATTCAGAAACAGCTCAGGACCTGTTCAGTCTCACTATTGGTTGGTTGGTTGGTTGGTTGGTTCAGGAAGATGAGTTGATAATGGCATTTTTTTTCTAACACTGCAGCTGTGCAGGGAGTACAAAGAAGTCATTTTCCAGGGTCTATGACAATTCACCATGGCCAACTCACCATGGCCAACGTGCCAAAGCCAACTCGCTGCAGGATAACTTGCTGCAAGACAAGAGTTCCACTAATATCAAAGAAATAGTGGAATAGAATAATTAAAGAAAGGATGCAAAAGGATGCAGACAGAATGAAATGTGAATGGCAAAAATTAAAATAAGGCATTTATTTTAAATAATTAAGTAGAACTGTTAAATTATCCTGCCATGAGTTGTCCCATGACAAGCTGGCCAAAAAAGAGTTGTCCTGCAGACAGTTGGCTGTTCCCATTAGTGAGAATGTATGTCTCACTTCTGGTGTCTTAGCTTCTGTGTCAAGCTGTAGCTTCCCACATACAAGCTCATTATCCTTGTATCCCAATCCAACCGTCTTCCATCCACCCGCCCCTCCTCCCCGTTAGTATGTAGTAAGGGGGGCAATAAAAATGTGCTTTCTTTTCCTTGAACAATTAATCAGTGGAATGACTAGACACCTGCCTGCCTGCCCAGCGGCGCTTTTCCTCCTGTCCAGGGTTTTCATTGTTGTGAGAATTTCTGTTGAGGATTGGCAGTGGGGATAGGGTGGGGGGTGTTTGGTTTTTATTCCCGTCTGCTGGGTGATTGCAGCAGGTTTTGGTCACTTCACATGACGCTGGGACACTGTGACTGTCATAAATATGAATCAGTTGCCAAGCATGTGAATGTAAATCACAAGGCCCTGGAGATGCTGCAACATTCCAGCTGATTGGCACTTCTTCTGGGCACAGCAGAAGCATCAGGACCAGTGCTACTTTCCAGCTGATTGGTGCTTCTTCAAGGCTCAGCAGAAGCACCAGGATCAGTGCCGAGCTCTAGCTGGAGCCTGGCGCTAATCCTGGCGCTTCCACTGAGCCCTGACAGCCCCAAAGAAGCACCAATCAACTGGAAAGTGGCACTGATCCTGATAGTGGCACTGAGCCCTGACAGCCCTACAGCTCCAGCCATCTCTCGTTGAAGCTTGTGCGGTGCTGCTACCAGTTCAGCTCATTCCCCTGCCCCGCTACCATTTTTCTAGGATGGTCGCGTACCACCTGCCAGGTGCCAATGTACCACAGGTGGTACCCGTACCTCTGTTTGAAAAGCCCTGGTATAGACAATCTATTTTGCGCCAGCTCTTTTAGTTATTCAGCCTTCCACCCTTCCGGGGTAGGTAAAATGAGGACCCAGATTGTTGGGGGCAATGTAAATATATATATATATTGCTTACTGGTGTACGCCGCTTAGAGAGTGCTTGCACTTAAAGCGGTATATAAGTCTCATAAATAAATAAAAAATAAATAAATTTATCAATTAAATTCATTTTTATGACTGCCCAACTCACAAACATGGTTTTGGGCAGCTAATGACCTGTTAAAATATTAATAATAATAGTTTTTAAAAAATTGTTAGCAAGGGATAAAACTCTACAGTGGTCACTGAGAATAAACCCAGATAAAACAAATGACAAAGATCTCTATCTTCTCTTTTCCTAAAAATTGGCAGACCTGCCATTCATCTATAGGCAATCAATTCCAGTGATTTTGATTATCAAAAGGAATATCATGAATGGCTTAGGAAAATGTTCAGTTGATCAGTTTCTTCAGAATGCATTCAATTTAAAATTTATGTTTCCCATGATCAATGGCAGTCACTGGAGTATTGAGGAATTACTTCATATTGCCCAGAACAGAAAGGATGGGGGCTTGCATTGTAATTTCTCAATTCCATCAATGTGATCCTCTTGCCCCCACCCCCTGATGCTGCTGCTCACAATGCACATATGTTTAAAGACATATTTATTTCAGTTTTATACCCCCAAATACAATAATTGTATCACAAATTTGAAAAACAAGTTTGACCCCATACACACAGAGAGAGGTAAGACTCACCCAGCTCTTGGTGAACTTGGCCAAAATTTTCTTCACCAATTTTGGGATTTTAAGCATTTTCACTTGGGGTTTCAAAGCTGGATCCACTATATCTTTTTGACTGACGGGCAATAGAGAAGGAAAGAAAAATTGTAAAATTTTCTCTCTTTGTATACAAATGTATTTACCACAATCATTTACTGTAGCAAGAAGTGATGTTGACCACTTTTTACAGAGGAAATTGGACACTAAAGCTATCAAGGGCTGTTCTAGAGCAGGCATCCGAAACAGCAATCTTTGCCCTTTTCCCCAACATTTACTTAAAGTATATGGAACTGGCACTCTATGTGAAAATTACATAGTCATGCAAGTGGCAATATATTTTCCCCTTAATAAGAAAAAGGAGATCATATCTCCTGGGCTCAAATGTTAGACTTTATTTTAGGTACATAGTGGAAGGAGAGAATATCAGCATCACCTCTTCATTCAGGTAAATGCTACCAGTTTCGTCTTTGCTGTATTCCTAACATAGTAATCTATCACAATATCAACAACTGTGTATTTTTCAGGAGTTTGTGAAAACAATTTTCATACTACACTAGAAGGAGAAATTTACATCTTATTGACAGCATAGGGATTTGGGTACGTTACTAACATTTGAATTGGTTTATTTTCCAAAAGAACAAGGAAGAAAAGAGTCAAAAATCTGGAACTGTTCTGTTTATGTCTTCAAACCCTCTATTTCCTTTCTCCCTTTTTTATTATTGTAGTGATTGCTAACTGGAGGTTATATCACAATAATACATAGGTACTTCTTTCTGCTAATTCATTGATATAATAAAGCAAATGGTAATGATGATGACACCACCATCACCTCCTGGACCTTATTTTAAAATATGGTTTGAATGAGAACACAGTAATATTGGGTAGTGTCCTTATTTGCTATTGGCTCTTTAAACGTTCTTTAGCATCCCCAACAAACTACTTACAACAAGGCCAACAGACTTGAGCCTCCGTCTGCAAAAGCACCTTTCACATAAATTTCATCAATAACATAGTCCACAGAAGGTGGGTTGAAGGGAACTAGCTGCAGATAACAAAGGGGTTTTCAGTTAAAACTCCAAGATGTAAACGAAATACAAATCTAGATTAACTATTTTCCTGCATGCTATTTGTCCACTCGATATGGCTTTCTCTAATCAAGCATATGCACACAAAGGGCTCCTCCCTTTGGTTCGGTTAATGCTATTCACCAGTTCTTCAACTGACCAAAAGAAAAAGAAAAGAAGTAGCTTAAAAACTGCAACCTGGCTGATGTGTGTCCTCCTAGCCTGCCATTGAAAGGATGTCGCCAAATGCTGATGTCCAATTAAGAGCCAATTAAGGAAGGAAATTGATGAAGTCCCAGATATGGTTTCCCTCTGGGTCAACAAACCAATAGCTGGTGAGTTGGATTTGGACCAGAGAAAGGCAAAATATTTTTGAAAAATAAAGCAGAGGATGTAGCAATTGTTAGAAGTTGCTCCAGGATTTGCCCAAACTTCTGGCAACTGATTGCATGGCTGCCAGAAGTGGCAAGAAAAGGAGGGGAAATTGACATCACTATCAGGAAGAGCTCTTGGGACTATAGGTGTGGCAAGAGAATTCTTGCTAGATCTACAGTCCCATAGAGCAGATTCCTAGACAATTTGAACTGCAAGAGGTGGCAGATAATATCCATCTTTTGCCACCCCATTCAGTTGCAATGAGGAGAGATGACTCTTTACCCATCAAGTTTCTTAGCCCCTGAATCTCCCATTCTGAGAGTTGATTCTTTAGGTCTCCAGGCTTGAAGAAGATATGGGGCATCTAAACCACCAGCACCTTTCTGAAAATCAGCTGAGTGGCTGTAGAGGGAAGATCACACAATGATGTACAAGATATCCCACTTTAGCACATGTTTCCATTGGCAGGTGGTTGTTTTTTTTTAGTTATTTTTAAATATGGACTTTTTACTGTTCTAGCTGCTTTTGAACATGGTTCTTCTGCTAATTCAGAAGACATTGGCATCAAGCCAATGTTCAAAAGCAGCCCATTAAGAGCTGCCAATGTGGAGTTGCTTGCTTCTATGGGAAAGGTCCTTCCCCTATCACTTTGCAACTGCCCCCTTCCCCCTTGAACATTCAGCTGTGAAATCAAGCTTTTCTATAACAAGGATTTGGTGCTCTTATGAAACAGCAATAAATCTCCGATCAACATCAGCCTGCACAACTGCATCATGAAAACCTACCAGCCCCACCGCTCAGCTGCTGGTCATAGATAATTGGTGAGATAACTGATTATGGCCCAACCAAATAAATGGTTAGGAAACCACACCATTCTACACACACAACTAAAATCCCTCCATATAGAACAGGGCTTTTCAACCTTTTCACCCATTGTACCACTTTTAGGATATAGCAACATCTGAGTACCACCAGTCGCCTAGCAAGGTGTCAAAAACTTGATGACCAAAAAAAAAAAAAAAGGAAAAGAGTGATAAAGTACAGGTAGTCCTTGACTTACAAGAGTTCACTTAGTGACTGTTCGAAGTTACAATGGCACTGAAAAAAGTGCCCCCAAGCCACAGCCCAGCAAGACACCTGCCTGCCTGCCCGGCAGCGCCCTTCCTCCTTTCATTGTTGTGAGCATTTCTGTTGAGGATTGGCAGTGGGGATGGGGTGGGGGTGTTTGTTTTTATTCCCATCTGGTTGCAGCAGGTTTTGGTCACTTCACATGACCCTGGGACACTGGGTCATAAATATGAATCAGTTGCCAAGCATCTGAATGTAAATCACAAGATCCTGGAGATGCTACAACATTCCAGCTGATCGGCACTTCTTTTGGGCTCAGCAGAAGCGTCAGGATCAGTGCTACTTTCCAGCTGATTGGTGCTTCTTCAGGGCTCAGCAGAAGCACCAGGATCAGTGCCGAGCTCCAGCTGGAGCCTGGTGCTGATCCTGGCGCTTCCACTGAGCCCTGACAGCCCCAAAGAAGCGCTGATCAGCTGGAAAGTGGCACTGATCCTGGCGCTTCCGCTGAGCCCTGACAGCCCTACAGCTCCAGCTATCTCTCACTCAGGCTTGTGCGGTGCTGCCACCAGTTCAGCTCATTCCCCTCCCCCACTACCACTTTTCTAAGATGGTCGCGTACCACCTGCCAGGTGCCAATGTACCACAGGTAGTACCCATACCACTGGTTGAAAAGCCCTGGTATAGAAGCTCTCTGACTATTCTGTATCAAAAAATAACCCACTATTTAACATCCAAATAAGTTGTACTGTAAAGAATAGTAGTAGCAAAGATACACACTGTATGGCCAGCTTCCTGCAGAAGCTTCCTGGTTTCATGGACAGCCCTTCTCATGCATGGTGGGAGCAAGAAATAGCCATCTGTGTCATAATATCCAATCCGTAGAGGTGTAGAGTTTGAATATATCTAGGGGGGAAAAAAACCTCTCCGTTACTAACATTATTGGATTAAGAGCTATAGTATGAACCCTGTGATGGCACTTTTGTTAATCACATTGTTGTGATTGTCACACTATTATGCATGCCATGTCACACTGGCATGCAGAGGCTCATAGAACTGCATGTGCTTTGGTTTGAGCAGTGGGATACTTAGAACAATGGACCAGACTTTTAAATGTTTCAGGATATTAACAGGAATTGACCATGACAATAATTCTCAGGTGGCACTACATTCTTCTTAAATTAGTGAAGTAATTTTAATCTAATTAAATGTAATGTAATTTTAATGTAATTTTAATATGTGATTTTTCTAGATGGTGATGACAGGGTGAGAAGCAAGTTGGCTCATATTACTATCTTTGTGTTCAGTTAGCTATACTTTTGACTGAAACTTTCTGAAGACATTTGGAAAATCTCACAATCTTTAACAATGAATCCTGCTGTGAGTTAAACAATTTTTTTGTAATGCATGTAAGTAGATGCAGTATTAAGACATTGGTTTAATGTCTTTTATTAATTGCCAGCTTTGTTACTGTGAAATATTTAAAAATTAAGCACCTCTTTGACCAAATTAGTGACATTTTTTAATGGAAGAAATTGCTCTGGTTGAAAAATGGATACAACAAAAAGAACTTTCAAAAACATGACGAAGAGGGATATATTTTCTCAAACTGATGACTATTTATCAGCTATATTAATAACATTTTTCCCAGGAAAAATGTTATTTATATATATATATATATATATATATATATATATATATATATATATATACACACACATATACATATACATATACATATACATACACATACACATACACATACACACACACACACACATATATATATATATAAAAATTAAATAGACGTCCTTCAGCTAACATGTATGCATACAGATTTTTAATCCATTAGTGGTTTTTTTTTATTTGCCTTGTTTTATTTTTTTGAGAGGGTTATATTTTTAGTGTGGATAGGGTCATAGTCCTATTTCTTCTAAATGTATATTTAGATACTTTTTTATTTGGGGAATTCTTTGAAAAGAATCTCATAGTATCTGTCAAAATCATCAACTATGGATTCAGCAAAGGTGCTATATCTACCCTTTGGTTTTTGATTTACCTCTTGATTGAATGGAATGGGTGGCACAGTTGGATCCAGCTGGAACATGTAATCACATAAGAGAGCCCTCATGCATAGAGCAAGACTATCCACATCCTTTGCCATTGGTCCTATTGTCCCTAAAACTTAAGAAGATGAATATACGTATGAGTAATAGTATATAGCTAATCCAGTTTGGGATTTATTGATCAACAGCAAAATAGATTTCAAAATAAGATCAAGCTTTGATGATCATGTCTTTGTTTAAATTGTTCCACATTCATTCTTTCTGAAAGATCATTTTATGCTTCCACTTTTCTTGTTAATATTTATATTTCAAATACTATGTACTCAATATCCATTGTTCTTCAGCTCAGGCAGGCACTTTTTACATTCATTCAGAATTGTTCTCTCACCCCTTTCCCACTTTCCACAAAAAAAGATGATTTTATTTACTTAGCATAAGATGAAAAGGCTCCTTTACTCCAGAAACACTGTAAAACAGAGAAATATAAAATGCAGACAATATATATGAATAAAATAATTAAGCAAATGGCTTTTTGAAGGGCCCTGTCAACTGGATCATCACTCAGTGATAAATGTCAATGGTTGCTCTTGTACAAGACATATTTGTTTATACCTGTGTCTGTTCTTGGTTGAGAACTGTTTCTCAGCTTGGCAACTTTAAACATGTGTGGACTTCAACTCCCAGAATTTCCAGCCAACATGTTAATATCCATACCTCTTGAAGTTGTTGAGTTCTCTGCTACTAAGTTTAGTGCTTTATTTCCTTAGAATGAAAGCATTTGCTAGAGAAATATTATCTCAAACTTAAATTGGATATCCCTAGCACCCTAGGGAAAGTGCCCATGGTATCATTTCTAAACATTTGTGAACACTGATCAAGCTATTTCATAATTTCTCCAAGATCACCAATATCTTCAGCAGTTTTTTCAGCAGAAATTAAATGGCAGTATTTTTAGAGTTTTTGTAACCACAACATTCCAACCCCAGAAGATTATTCTGTTAGATGGTTTCTGAGGTCTTTTCCAACTCTACAATTCTACATCTTGTCAAAGTGTGATAATCAGTTGCACAGTCTATGATAACTTTAGTACTTACCTCAATCTACCTGCAGTTGGCTTCAGCCCACAAAGACCACAGAAGCTGGAAGGTAGACGGATACTTCCACCCACATCTGATCCAAATCCCAAGACAGAACCTCCTCCAGCAATTAGAGCCCCTTCCCCTCCAGATGAACCCCCAGGAGTTTTCTTATGATCCAAAGGATTCACCGTCTGCCCAAAAACTACATTGCTGCAGTCATAGCTGAAAGGTGATAGAAATATATCAGATTGTGGGAACACAATATTTAAAATACAGGAAATCTATAATCTATTGTTTCTTCTGAATATACAATCTTTAACCCACCTACAAAAATTAAAATGTATTAAACTCAGTGGAGCTTCTATTACTGCATTATGAGTCTGAGGTCCCTAATTCTGATGTTCTAAATCAGGGGTCCCCAACCCCCGATCCATGGACCAGTACCGTGCCGCGGCATGCCAGCAACCAGTCCACACAAACAAGGAAAGACCCATCCACAGAATGCAGGCAGCACATAAAACCACGCCCCCTCCGGTCCGCGGAAAAACCTCTCTCCACGTAACCTGTCCCTGGTTCCCAAAAGGCTGGGGACCTCTGTTCTAAATAATGTTGTACTCTAAAATAGTTGTATATCAAAAAGATTTAACAGATTTTTCAAATTGACCAGATTATAATATACTTGAAGCAGAAAGCAAAAACCCTAAGGACATCTGAATAATTAAAGAGAGAGAAAAACCTGAACAGCCCCCCCTCCACAATTTCTACAAAAAGACAACTCCTATAATACAGACCATTCCTTCAACATGTTCTGACAGCTGAACATGGCTAAATATAAAGGTTTCTGGGCCCTTTAAATGGTTCTCAACCTTTTTAATGCCGTGACCCCCAACCGGTCGTAAGTCGAGGACTACTCAACCAGTCTTAAGTCGAGGACTACTCAACTGGTGCAGCACTGTTTGCAGAATGGGACTTTTGGTGGGCTCAGCAGGGCAGAGATGGACTGGACAATTCCTGTTGGCTTTTGAAAGCCAATAGAATTAGACTCTATTCAAGAGAGTCTATTCTATTGGCTTTCAAAGGCCAATAGAATAAAAGGGAGTAGCACAGCTAAAAAAGGGGGGGAAAATGGTGGACTGCGTTGTTTGGCGACCCCTGTGCAATGGTCATTCGACCCCAAATGGGGTCCCGACCCACAGGTTGAGAACCACTGCTTTAAATGGACGCATAGTACTGATGGTTACATCTCTTAGGATCACTGTGATTCTGGATATTTTCTTGATATACCAAGTAAAAAGTAGTAGGAATACAACAGAAATTTTACTTTTTCTTCATCAAGTTTTGAAGAAAAAGGAACACAGTACATATGACAATCGACTTGGTTTTTGAGAGTTCCTCTAAGGCAGGGGTCTCCAAATTTGGCCGCTTTAAGACTTGTGGACTTCAACTCCCAGAATTCCTGAGCCAGCATGGCTGGCTGAGGAATTCTGGGAATTGAAGTCCACAAGTCTTAAAGCGGCCAAATTTGGAGACCCCTGCTCTAAGGCTTTTCTCCTTATCTCCAGTGGTGTGCTTCTCTCCTCTACTCAAGATGGGAGGAGAGCACACTGCCTTGAGAAACACCTGTTCCCACAGCATTCTTCTTGTGTGCCTCCAAAATGAGATCAACAAAATTGCCATCATTGCATGATTATATGGATTCCTTTTAGTCAAGACTCAGATCTGGGCAAGGAACTGAAACATCATCCATTAACGCATTCATTACAGATTAATATTCAGATATAGGAAGCCATGACTAAAACAAGTCAAGACAAACTGTGAATAAATAACAGAGGTATATGTTTTTAGCAACTGCACGACAAAGAGATAGAGTTTATCAAAGCGCAGGACTGATCGGTAGCTATATACAAGAAAAGAATTCACATTTGGGCCATAGAAACTTACTTGAATAAAGATTGCGGCACATTTGTGAATACAAATGGATTTGCTCCCTGCTTCTTTAATACCTTAACCAACACACTGTCCTCTCCTTCCACATCAAGAAAATGTGAAAAGCCACATGTTGTCAAGTGGCCCTAAAGATAAAGGAAATATTAAGGAAACGGGTGTAGATCAACTCTTTATCTTAACATCTAATAATAGCCTCTACTTTTTTCCCTCCTTTCCTCTCCCCATTTTTCTCTTCTGCTAGGATTTTTTAAAATTTTGTTCTTTTTTTTAAAAAAACAACAACTATGAAGGTGAAGATTCGTTCTCCCTCATCCTACATGTGCGCTACAGATATTCGTCACTATTGCAAAAACAACTATGTTTGAGGTCCCTGTTTCAGGAAATAAATAAAACATTCAAAGTAGTCTAGGCTTTCAGCTAATTAAGGTTGAAAGTTTGGGCTTTCAACTATTTAAAAAATGAGCAAAAATTGTACCACTATAAATCAGCAACCAGATGTGGCAATACAATTCTAGAGGCTCTGGGGGGCTGTGTTTTTCCTGTAAGCCATGGTTTCCCATCCCCTTTCCAATATAAAAAGGCTATACCATAAGCAAATACATATCCTAGAAAGGTATCTAGCGGTCTTCTCTTAGCAGCTGTTCCTTGTCTGCCATTTCTAGAAAACCAATGTATCACAGAAATGGAATCACCTTGTATCCAATGTGGTCTTTGATGCTGATAGGTACCCCGTACAATAAACCCTTTTCCTTCTGTTTTTTCAGTTGCTGAAGAAATGGCTCACATTCTGGAATAAAATGGCGCACACAGTTCACCTCCTTCGTGACCATTAAAGCCTTTTTAGGAAAACAGTAGACAGACAAGGTGGGGAAATAATTAGAAGTGGAACAGTGGGCTTGCCTCTGTTAATCACTCCCCATTCCTGATCCATGATTCCTAAAAAAAAAAAATCTACCAAATCTACTGTTTCACTTTCATCAGTACCTTCTATCATTTTCCTAAGATCAATCTTGCCCCCAAACCATTTTTATAGTAAAAGAAAAAATCACACATTCCAATCAATATTCATTGTAGTATTTATTTTAAAATGGCGCAAATATTTCCTCCCGATCCCCCCCACAGGAAGGTAGTGAAGGAACAAATGCAAAATGCCATAGTAGCATGATCCCACCACTAGGGGGGGGGTGCAGATTGACCTTCAAAAACATTTTAGAAAAAAGATAATTTTACTGGGTTTTTTTCCTAAATTTGTGTTGTTTTTATTCTGTAAAAAAAATTCAATAAGTAATTTTTAAAAATATTTCCTCAAATATATTAACATATATGTACATACATACGCATATTCATTTATTAACAAAAGGATTTAATGTTCTGGCAAAACTATGCTTTATTAGGAAAATATTGTAGATTATCAAGAGATTCAAGAGGCTATATGTTGAAATATAATACTAAGATAACATTTATTGTCATTTTTTTTCTGTGAACAAACTGGCACATATTTTTAAAAAATCTGATGCTCCCTCTCAAAAGAATATAAATATAAAATCATACACATACGTGCACATACATATACATATGCTATATATAATTATGGAAATTATGTACACAAAATAAAATAAAATAAACTGGAGCAAATTTTAACTAATTCTAGTTGTATAGTACAATGTAGATATATGTGTGCATGCAGGCATATACATACACACACATATATTTTTGGTAGGGAATAAATTAAGAAAGGGACTGGCAACTTTTGCAGACTGATGGACATATTTGGAATTTGTGGGCATTTTCACCAAATGGTAGACCTAGCCTTTTGTGGAATGTTAAAAAGCATCCATTTTCTGTGGTTGTTACAATATTCAAAGCCATTTTGTATTTCCTCTTATTTATGATGTATTTTTAATCCTAACTGTATGCCACCTTGAGACATATGGAATTAGCAGGTTTTATAAATTGAATAAATTTATATGTTTAATTGCAAATGAATAGAGAATGTTGATATCAAGTTTCAGCTTTTTCTTCATTTTCATTATTTCAACTTCTTTTGATAAAAAATAAAAATAAAGACAAGATAGAAAGACTGATGGGTAGCCAAGTGCTACTGGGCATACTTTTTTTTTTCTTTATTTGTGTCAGAAGCATCTTCAAATTATAGACATATACCGCTCAACACACAGCAGGTAGAATAAGTATAAAATAGGTCAGAGAGAAATAGCCCATTTAAAAAGTATATAAAATAAATAGAATTAAAACTAGATGAGAGTATTGGGCCACAGAGATAGCATTTTCTCTCACCAGCATGAGGTCTTCCTCTGTCATGTTGAAAGACATGTTATGCACTGTAGTATACATGAGATGGGCAAACTGGTGTATGTGAACAATATTTCATTCTGTACCTATGTTCTGTGTTTTCAACTATGCTCACCTTTTCCATATAGGTGTAGAGGACCACATCTGGAGACAAAGTGTCTTCTTTCAGCTTCTGAACCAGTTCCACCAGAGGCAGAGAAAGGATGTCATCTGTTGGTATCCCAGGGTTCTGTAATGAAAGGGCACAGTACAACACTCCCCATTGTTTTGATAGAGCAGATGCGTAGCTTTTGTGAGAGAGGGCAGAGGGGCTAAGTGGCTATTGATGGCAAGCCAGCAACCATAAAAATAATGGGTCATATCAGGACACTGAAAAATTGAAAAAGCTTCTTGGATGTGAAGCAAAACTTTTGCAAAGAAAAAAAACCCAAGGCAGTCCAGTTGCCTTTGGGACAAACTTTGGGACAACCATGACTTGGATGATTGAGAATCTCAATAGATATCAAGACTAAATTTTTACCTAATTACATTGACTTTTAATTTCATTAAAATTAAACACAAGGTAAATGCTTATTTTACAGACATGCATTTGACTTTTTTTTCCCCTTCTATCTCATTACAGTTACCATCACATTAAATTTTGGGATGGGTCTTGGAGTTGTTCCAAGGTTTTCATGGGCCACATCTGACCTTTAAAGCTCCAGGTTCTGCACCTCTGCTGTAGAACATAGGTACTACAAATCTTTTGAGAGACTTTTCTGTTCTACTTGACCCAACTTTTATTTTGTGTCTACTAAGATGATAAACTGTAAGATATGACAGTAGCATACCACAAATGAATCCTCACCCTAAATGTGGGCACCCAAATTGCCACTTAATTCAGTAGCAATCCTTTTGGTTAAAGTTGTATTTAAAAGTAAACTTGAATGAAAATTTTCAGATGTCCCTCTCCTCCATGTGTAGTCATGAAATATCCTTCAGTTTTACTTAAAAGAGAGATAGTGATCAACCCAACCTTAATAACAAGAGCCAAACAACAGTAAAATAACAAAAATCAAAATTTAGTAGTGTAGTAAATATTCATTCATAATTATTTACTAAAATTCTATCTTATCCATTAGCCTATTAGTCCAACTCCTGTAAACTCAAAAAAATATATCTAAATATATTTAAATATGCACTTACATAAACATTATATATAATAAGTAAATGTAAAATGTAATAAGTAAAAGTAATACATGTAATAAGTACTTATACAAGTACTTATAATGTACAAGAAATAGTTAGGAAACATGTACCTGGCTTTTAAATGCCTGCACTGATTTTTCCATTTCTATCAAGCCACGATCCCTTTGTCTTCTTGTTTCTTCTATTTGTTTTTTAATCCTTTTCTGGCCTAACCATTTCAGTACCAAATAAAATGCAGTTGTACCACAGGTCAGAATCACAGCAGTATAAAGATGGGTTTTATCCTGAGGCCAGGATTGCTTCAACCATTCTTGGAGTATAGTGGGTGCTTCTTGAAGCATTCTGGAACGAAATCTATGGACAATTTTTGGAGACTCTGAAATGCAGGGGAAAGCTAATATGAAGTCCATCTGAGTCCATTACAACAAGATTCACAGCATTGGCTTGTTGAAGTCTTAACATGTTGTAAGAAATATCCTGTTCATATTCAACTGCAATATTTCCATCCTTGCAACATGCTAAAGTATTTCAGAAGAATGCCAAACTTATCTCTGCTTTATTGACTATTGATGCCCCTGGTCAAGAGGTGTGCCTTTACTGCATATGTATAATTTTAAGCTTAGCCTGGAGCAAACACAATCTCTGTGAATAGCAATAATTAACAAGAATACCAAGAAAAATATGGGTGAACTTTGGCTAGGAAAGCACAGATGTTCAAACGTAGCCCGAAAGAACTTAATAGCCTTCAGATAGCATGACAGGACAAGAGGCATCAATGTGGACAAATGTAGACAAAAGAGTTTCAAACTTTATTAGGAGAGGGAGTAACTGAAGGGAAAGGACCAGGAATTTAGTCTAAAACTGATATATATCAACCAACTGCTTATATGGGAGGGGGGGAGTCAAAAGAGAGAGCCCAAAAATAACCTCACCTAACCCTGAGATAAAAAGATAGTCAGAGCTTTTTGGTAAACAACAGTGTTTATGGACACCCTCAGACTTCTGAGATAACATTCTGTGACCACCAGGCAGACCATGTTTGGCTGCTGGTTATCATCCCTTCAAAGATAAAAAAAATTGTAGACACATCATACCAAAGAAATTGCTTACCTGGACGTTATCAGTCACTGCTTTCTGTCCTCTGTTTTCACTGAGTTTGTGAGTTCACCACTTTCTTTCTCACTGATCACCTTAAAAGATCAGAATAAATTGTAGGGCTAGGGAGTAGTTAGAGATAAACATGCTCAGGAGTCTGAATTAGGTCAAGAGTTTTGTCACAGTATGTGATAAAAATTGCAAGATGAATTCAACTAAAATCTGAACTCCAAAATCTCACTTCAGATTTGAATTTCTAAATAAGTCATAACACTTACCCTTCACAGTATTGACTGGAATTATACATAAAATTACAAACACAGCCACACCATAGAATTTCTAATTCTTTGTTAAATAATAACTAGTGTGGGATTTAACCTTTCTAAAATTTGAATAAATAAGTTAGATAGGCAAGCATGGTTTTTTTTTTGTTTTATTACATATCTAATGGTTTATGTTTTGTGGAATATCTCTATAATATTTTTGTGCCTTCAGTTTCTATAAAGTCATGATCTTTAAAAAAAGCAGTTATCAATAAGAGTTTGGATTACTATTATTTTAGAAAAGAAAAGTCAATAAGTTACATGCTGAAAGCTTTTGCCTCCTCATCTCTCTAGCACAGTGTTTCTCAACCTTGACAATTTTAAGGCATGTGGACTTCAACTCCCAGAATTCCACAGCCAGCATTGCTGGCTGTAGAATTCTGGGAGTTGAAGTCCACATGCCTTAAAATTGTCAAGGTTGAGAAACACTGCACGGCAGAAGTCTAGCATATTCCTGTGCATGAAAAACTAGTTTCTAATGCTGGGGAAAGTAAGTTCATACACATTTAGGCTTAATTATATTGAAGGTATGAGCATCTTCATCCCCATGCTAATCTTTTGCTTCTTTCTTTTTGTTCAATATCAAAAGCAATGTTCTTACATAACAGTGATTTCCGTAATATGGTCAATAACCATAAAAGTATAGGTGACCATATATCCTAATGCTGTTTGATCCCTAAATAATATTTCATAAGAGATGTACTACATTCCTCCTCTGGGGAAAACTGAATAGCGGTTAAAATAGTAAGTATAGTATAGCTACCATGTAATACAGAAGCACAGCATAATTTTTAAAAGTTTTATTCAGTGTTGCTTTCACAAGTTCAGTTCAGAAACTCAGCAGGTTATATGAAATAATGCAGTTGTCTATGAACCACAAAGCTGAGCCATAATATTTGAAACAATGGCACAGCCCTTATTTCTGGGCAACTCTTGGAATACCTTAAATCTACAAAAGATTTCCTGAGGTAATTTCTGCAGCAATGTATCATTTGGTGGGAAAAGCTTCTATCCAACCAGAAAATCCATTGACTATACCAAAAAATAATTGATATCTTCAAATGTTTGGGTAGTTTGTCAATATGATCCAAATATACCATACTTCATGGTCCCATTCACCTATGTCCTTGTAAGTATTGAGAGTATGGTATTATTCTGAGTGGGCGGGCCATGCGCTGGGTGGGCCATGTTGTAAGGATGCCAGATCATCGCATCCCTAAACAGCTCTTCTATGGTGAGCTGTCTCAAGGAAAGCGATCACATGGGGGACAGAAGAAGCGATACAAAGACACGTTAAAAGCTTCTCTTAAGTCCCTGGATATTAACACCATCTCTTGGGAACTTCTGGCACATGATCGACCGACATGGCGCACCTTGGTGTACCAGGGTTGCCAGACATATGAACTCAGAAGGACAATCTTGGCACAAGAAAAGCGAGCACTCCGCAAAGCCAGAGCTACAAATGCTGAATCAACAGTGTCTACATTTCTGTGTTTAGTATGTGGCAGAACATTCTGTGCTAACATTGGTCTTATTAGCCACCTACGGACACATCGTTGATGGCCCACAACCCACAAGATGTCAAGATCTTCATCGAAATCAATGGACGAACAACATTCTGAGTGCTCTAGTGTCAGCCCCACTAGATAGACCAGGCCAGGAAATAAACTCTACAGCAGTGTTTCTCAACCTTGACAATTTTAAGGCATGTGGACTTCAACTCCCAGAATTCCACAGCCAGCATTGCTGGCTGTGGAATTCTGGGAGTTGAAGTCCACATGCCTTAAAATTGTCAAGGTTGAGAAACACTGCTCTACAGGAATACAAAAACTTTTTATTGAGATTGTCTATATTAACAGAATCTTGCAAGTCTGAATGTGTTGTATTTCCTTCCCTTATTACTCTAGTGAACCGGGGAGCTGTCTATTAGACTCACTTCTGAATATAAACTCATTATACCAAACTTAAACATTATTTCATTCTTTTTGTCTAAGCAAATGTTATTGCATATTTTCATCAAGATCATATTTCTTATTAATATGCAAACAAAAGGTGCAATTGTGCACTGTTCACCCTCTCCAAAAGGTTTCTTCTCTCTTCTCCAGAAAGCCAAATTGGTGTAGTAATTAAAGTATCAGGCTAGAAACTGGCAGACCATGAGTTCTAGCCTTTGTTAGGGACCCAAAGCCAACTGGGTGACCTTGGGCCAGTCACTCTCTCTCTCAGCCCTAGGAACAAGGTAATAGCAAACCACTTATGCAATCTTGCTAAGAGAATTGCAGGGACTTGACTCCTGATGTCTTCCTATACCACACGGACTCAAAGGAACCAAAACAAAAATAATTTTTAAAATCCCCACTCTTCTCCAAATTGTCCCTTAAACTGTCTAAGACAGTGGTTCTCAACCTTTTTAATGCCGCAACCCCCAACCGGTCGTAAGTCGAGGACTACTCAACTGGTGCAGCACCGTTTGCAGAATGGGATTTTTGGTGGGCTCAGCAGGGCAGAGACATCCTGGACAATTCCTATTGGCTTCTGAAAGCAATAGAATTAGACTCTATTCAAGAGAGTCTATTCTATTGGCTTTCAAAAGCCAATAGAATAAAAGGGAGTAGCACAGCTAAGGAAAAGGGGGGAAAAATGGCGGACTGCGTTGTTTGGCGACCCCCATGAAATGGTCGTTTGACCCCAAATGGGGTCCTGACCCATAGGTTGAGAACCACTGGTCTAAGACCACCTGAAGAATTCCCAGGACTCCTGGATAGACTTCAGTTACAACACCTAAGAAACCTCTGTAATGGGGTTTCCAAATCATTTGTTGTATCTGAGCAAGTGTAAGCCCAGGTTGTACAGTGGTGATTCCTGCCAGATTATCTATAGAGTATCTCTATATGTATCTCTATAAAGTCTATCAAATTTCTTCTTGTTGTGGTGGACCCTCATCCTTGAATAGGGCCAAAAGCTTAAGAAATGTAGTGAACTCTCCATGACTTAAATACATTCCAACAATGGTTTGTATATTTTGTAGATTCCATCTAAAAGATCACCCTTAAATGGGCTTTCTTTTCAACACTCTTTGAGCATCCACAGAGGTGATTTCTGTGATGGGATGAATAGTTAATTTTCCTTGCAAGTGAAAGACTCTATATACAACTCTTCTTTCTAATGGATTGCGTGAAAAAAAAATTAAGGAATTTGAGTATTAATAAATGTTTTAGCCTGGAGCCCCTGCATATAGTCAGAGTGATAAACTGTAGTAGCAAATATTTAACTAGCAAGAAGGAAGCAAGAGGAAATTGTTAGATGCAAGAGGAAATGGATTCAACTGTTAGAGCACGAGGAAGGTTTTGCAGTTACATAATTCTAAGACAAATATTTGTCTTTGGGTTTTCTCTGTAATCAGTCAGATATCTATGTGCATTTACTTTCTTATTGTTCAATTAAAAATACAGCATATTTTCTTTGTATTAGGGTGTTGCCCATGGGATGTGACTAAACATGTGCATTTGTGCTTGGCCTGGATATGCAATCCCATAGTGAACTGTTCGGAGACTAAATTATTGCATTTTGTTTGAAAAGACAAAATGGACCTCATCTTGAGAAAACTTGTAAGCTGAGATTTTTCTTCAACAATTGTAACAGGGATCATCACTGCAAGCCTGACTGCAGCAAGAAAACTCAAATCCTTCAGACTGTTATCAGAAGAGAGAAACCAAGAGAGAGTTTTAATTAGTCAACCTGTTGTTGATGCATTTCCTTCTTTGCTGTATTTCAATCAGAATTGCTTTCAGTTAATTTCCTCATTACAGGTAGTCCTTGCTAGACCTCACTTGCTGACCGCAATTGAGACCAGCAACTCTGTCATTAAGCAATACAGTCATAAAGTGAAAACTCACTCACTTGTTTATTTATTTATTTATTTATTTATGAGACTTATATACCGCTTTAAGTGCAAGCACTCTCTAAGCGGTGTACACCAATAAGCAATGTATATATATATATATTTACATTGCCCCCAATAATCTGGGTCCTCATTTTACCTTCCTCGGAAGGATGGAAGGCTGAGTCAACCTTGAGCCGGTGAGATTTGAACCGCTGACCTGCTGAACACAGTCAGCTAAAGTGGCCTGCAGTACTGCACTCTAACTGCTGTGCCACCTCAGCTCACTTGACCGACAACTCATGACATCAGTTCTGGTTGCAGCCATTAAGCAAATGACCCATGGTCATTAAGCATGACATAACCTGATTGTGACTTGGAACTATCTGTTGGCTTCCCGTTGCCTTTGTTGGTGGGAAGCTGGCAATGAAGGGTGCAAATAGTGATCACATGACTATGGGATATTGCAACCATTATAAATGTGTACTAGTTGCCAAGCATCTGAACTGCTGTCACCTGAATGCAGGAACACTGCAGTAGCTACAACTTTGAGGACTGGTAATAAGTCTTCTTTTTAAGTGCCATCGTAACAATAGTTGAACAAGTGGTCAGTAAGCAGGGACTACTTGTATTGCCTTTAACACATTGATTTTAGAAGCAGATTCAGTTACTTCAATTTGTAATTCTGCTACTTGTCTTTATAAGAGATAACCCTTAGGTTATTTCTTAAATCTTGCAAAAAAAAGCGCTCTTTTTAATCAATTGTGGCCTTCAAAATTTCTGTGATCTTTCTGGTATCATCTAGTTTGGTCTGTAAAACACTATTTAACCTCCAAACCAAGAATATAATAAAGTATTTTTCACAAAATCCTACTTTTTTTTTCTTTTAGCTCAGAAACAGGTTTATATAAGCGTAGTTGAAAAATCTCTTCTCGTATAATTGAGATGGCAGAGACAAATTTGGCTTAAGAAACTGTAAGCAGGCAAGTTTCCTTAAAGATGCAAATTTATCCTAACTCTAAAAAACCAATCTCAATCTCTTTATACTTCAGCTGGTCTAATATTAGCCTTAATGCTAAATGACCCCATATTTGTCTACAACTGATCTAATTCAAGTTCCTATTTTAGCCTTTCTGATAGCCTTTATGTACACCTATTTAATATGCCACCTTTAATTTGTACCCACTCAAGATAGCCTACATAATACTCCTGCCTGTTTTCCCAACAAGGTGAATTGGGCTACAAGATGTTGTGCTGAGTGTAAAACCAGCTTTCAAACAAGGTAAAAGAATTGTGACTTTTCCTATGTGTTTGAAGAACAGTAAGCCAGGGATGGATCTGCCAAATACTTGACAATTTATAGCCAGAAATTATTTTTTTTTAAAAAAAAAAAGCTCAAACAGATGTTACTATCTTAGTCTGAGAACACAGGAGGAAGATTGCCCCCTTAGTACTGAAAACTGTTACTAAGAATCCTCATATCTAAGGACATGCAGCTTACTTAAAATAATTCACTGAAGACTTTCCCAACCTTGGCAGCTTTAAAATGTTTGGGCTTCAACTCCCAGATTGACAAAAACTGGCTTAGTGTATTAAGGATGTTAAGCTAATTTGTAATGTAAAATAACCACAAACAGTTCTTAGAAGGGAACATTATCCAAAACCTCTTACAGCCAGCTACATTCTGGAAAGCAGGCCAAAGAACACAATTTTGCTCTCAATTTCAACACTAAGGGAGGCAGAGAGGGGGAGGGAAGGAAAAATAATGCTTTTAAAGTTTTCAAAAATAACTTTGTTAGAATTTCTACTAATTTTGTTCTTCTGCAAACAATACAAGTTTTCTTTGTAGTTCTAGATTTTAACACATATTTCAGCAATGAAACATGAAGACTATCAAAAACAAAAACAATGCATTTACACTAGATCACTTCCCCATCCTCATATTCTCCAAGTATCAACTCTTCCCTTCTCTGGAGCTGCTAGATACAGTTATTCTGTATCTAGACTGCTTATTTCCCTATGATCCTGAATCACTCAGCGCTTTCTAGTGAATTACCACACCTCTTGAGTTCAAAACTCACAGTATCCAAACTTGTCCTTCGTTCAGGTTCCTCAATGCCACTGGAAGCTTTCTCCTGGACTCCAGCAGATCCCAGGAGAATTGCAGAAGATTTCAAGATAATTTCACCTTCTAGCATTTTGTTTCTGTTCAACCCTTCATTGTGTAATTCTTCTAGTTCTACCCTTTAGGTCAGTGGTTCTCAACCTTTTTAATGCTGCGACCCCCAACCAGTTGTAAGTCGAGGACTACTCAACCGGTCGTAAGTCGAGGACTACTCAACTGGTGCAGCACCGTTTGCAGAATGGGACTTTTGGCGGGCTCAGCAGGGCAGAGACAGCCTGACAAGTCCTATTGGCTTTTGAAAGCCAATAGAATTAGACTCTGATCTTTGTCAAAAATAGATTCCACATCTGCCAGTTCAAACAAGTCAAGGGCAGGGTTTCAACAACAGCTGTCTCTGTAGCAATACCCTCATCAGTTCAGACACAGAAACATCCAGTCATATGAAAACTAGCCTGGGTTTCTCAACCATGGCAAATTTAAGTTGCTGGCTTGGGATTTCTGGAAGCTGAAGTCCACCCATCTTAAAGTTGCCAGGGTTAAGAAACTGTGCTCTAATGTCTTCGTTCTTCTTGTCAAGCATTGATTCTTTGGGTTGCCTACTGGGCAAGACAACCAAGCCACCCTCAGTTGCTTTATCATCGTCAGGAGGGCAATAAAAAATCACTGCAAACAGTAACAAGGAAGGCATTCAGCCAAGGAAACTAACACAATCCAAGAATTACATTAGAAGACATTTTGTGTCCAAGACTGAGGAAGACAGCAGATGTCTGCTAAAGAATCAGTTGTCAAGACTACACTTTTTAGGCCAGAAAGTTTTTAAAGCACCTGTTGCATCATTTCTAAAAATGTTTCCTTTTAAGTGCACTTATTCCCTGTGCAAAGTGGTGATCACCTAGCTCTGTTTTGTTGCACACAATGTTCTCCACCATTTATACCAGAGGTCTGTCACCCATTGTAAGTTTAGGAATCTTTTTTGTGCAAAACCAGAGCAAAGCCAGTGAACAACATCTAACAATAGCTGACAGCTGCTGATAGATTTTAAAATCTTTACCTTACCCAATATAAGCATCCCATATTTCAGTGATGGCGAACCTTTTAGAGACCGAGTGCCCAAACTGCCCAACCCAAAACCCACTTATTGATCGACGGGTGCCAGGTGGGCGTGGCCCATTGGGTGGACGTGGCTGTGGTGGTCATGGCAGATTGGGTGGGTGTGGCCAAGGTGGGCGTGATCACCTCAATGTTGTTCATGGGGGAGGGACACCTGTGGGGGCCAGGCAAGGTTGGGGGAGATTCAGGGGGTCTCTGGCAGGTGGGGTGGTAGGCAGGAGGCTTGTGCTGTGGGGTGAGGTGAGGCAGGGCAGGGGTTTCATTGTCACAGGGCAAGGTGAGGCAGGGGCCGGGGCCGGGGCGGCAGCTGCCTGACACCATTGGCCCTTGCACACAGAGGCCAGTGAGCGCATGGGTGCTGGGATACATCCAGCCATGTGGGACCTCGGCAAATTAACGGGCAGCTGGTTGAAGAGGGATGGTTGCCATCTCCAGGGCATGGCATGCATGCCCACAAAGAGGGCTCTGAGTGCCGCCTCTGGCACGTGTGCCATAGGTTCGCCACCACTGCCATATTTAGTCTCTCAATCATTCAGATCATTTACAGAAAAAAGAGATCATGATACCAAGGGGAAAAAGGCATGAAAATTAGACTTTTCTTTCCTCCAACCCTCTTTATAGGCAGAGCTGTATTATCTCTGCTTTTTTACTTCTTCGGTATAATTCACCTATTTTTAGTGGTCATTCACCTACTAATCTGGTCATTAAGATATTCTTTGTTGTGACTGTAGAATATAGTAAGGAAAATAAGCATAGCATGACCAAAATTCTCTGATCCTTTATATCAGGCATGTCAAACTGCCAGTCCGTGGGCCGAATGTGTCACACTGAAACCGCGCCCACCCCATTGCCAGCAATCGGGAAAAAGTCGTGATATGTTGCATGACATCATATGACATCGCGAGTTTGACTTGCCTGCTTTATATCTTGGCTTGGAATGTCTTGGAATTTTATTTATTTGTTTGTTTGTTTGTTTGTTTATAACAGCTGCCCATCTTACATCAAATTCTGGGTACAATATAGACATATAACTATTAAAACCACAAATAATAAAATCCTGGCACTCTAATATTTTTAAAATTCACATAAATATTTATTTTACTGTGTTTGGGAGTGCACAATAATTATTATGCATTTCAGATTTCTTTTCCAGTAAGCACAACTTTTCATCTCTTTAATATTTGGTTGTTTGTTTATCCTATAGTGCAGAACTAGTCTCCCAATTGTAATAAGCATGCAGAAAATACATTAACACTGCTAACAGAGCCTGCACTATCAATGCTAACCAATCCTACTTAGTTTCCAAGCCTAGACAAATGTGACCAGGCTTAGCACAACAAAAGCTCATTTTTCAGAAAGTAAAAAATAACCAAATTCCCTTCTAAACCTATGGAAAAGCCACCCGCATTACATACCCCATGCTGCGTTAGTACCCAACTACTGTATTTCAAACTTTGTCTTCTCAAACACTCAAAATGCTGCAGCATAACTTTCAAAATGTAGTTCAGCCCTGTGGTAGACGCTCACACGATGACAGCACTTTTTCCCACACGTAATACAGGGAAGAACAAAAACCACACTTTTAAATTATCTTTTGTAAGCATAAACACTAGCAAGATTCTTAGAGACATCTTTCTTTTATGAGGTTACCTTTCAGTAGAAGAATTCAGCTAAGCAGACAGAACACATTATGTTCGCTGGCTAATGTAACTGTGGCTGGAGCCAAGCAAATTTAATACTTCAACCACACCCAGTTCTCTAAAAGGAGCCTATTGAATGAAGCTTGATAAAATCATAACAATCAGTGCCTTGCTACATGTAACAACACAGATGCAGGTGTAGGGGGTGGGATAATCTTTGCATTACTGTGAATAAGTAGAAGGAAAGTAAGGGAACTATGCTTCATCTGGCCTGGGCAAAAATCAAAAGAATACCCAATGATGTAAGAATTAACTGGAACATGAGCTTTAAGGTTGAAGATAGTTCATTGATTTCACAGACTAGCAAATACAAATTATTATTTTTACTGTTATCCAGCAAAAAACATAGTTGCCTGGAAAAGTGACCCATTAGAAAGGAGGAGTCATGCCAGCCTAGTGTTTCTCAACCCTGACAACCTTTCTCAACCTTGGCAACCTTGGCAACTAAGATGTGTGGACTTTGACTCCCAGAAGTTTTCAGCCAGCATGCTGAGAAACACTGCTGAGGTTGAGAAACACTCATGTAGCCAATCAGAGCTAGGGCTTCTACTAGAAGGAAATGAAATGCTAGAGACTATCTACAGAACTAGCTACAGAATCTACAGAGCTAAAGCAACTCAAGTTGGAGAGGAGAAATTTTGAATCAATGTTGGGAAACAGGTGAGACGTGCATTTGCAATGGGCTAGGAATGGGGGGAAGACTATGTCATCTGTTCTGCTCTCAAGAAATAGTGAGTTGCCCATACTGACTATGGACCAAGCAGAATGCATGAATCTGTGCTAAACATCTAAGGGAAAGTCTTTTATAATGCCTAGTTCAAGCACTTATTATGGGAAGTAGCTACAGGCAGTGGCCCCATTTGTTTGTATCAAAAACTGTCAAGAACGTTCATAATCATGTCCTTTTATTCTTCCCTGCCCCCCTCTGATTGTACAAAGTAGGGAAGTATAATCATGCACTTACTTTTTTATGCTCCTTTTGTTCTTTTCTCCTTTCACTTTAGTGTGCTGAGATCAGCTCTTCTCTTATGCGCATTAAGAAATCATCCATGACCCTTAATGACCACTATCGGGTTGGGAATGTGATATTACTTCATAATGTCAAAAAAATACTGGAGGTTGAGAAAAATAATTCTAGACACTGGCTTTCTCAATGTTAAGGCATTGCTGGTGAAAGAATGCTGAAATGAAAACGAATCAGCATCCTGCACAAAAGCTATTTGCTTCTCTTTTCAAAACAACTGCGTTTAACTTTGATTTATCTCTCAAGTGGAAGGGAGAGTATTTAAGAGAAAGACATATGGGGAGGGACTTCACACTGCCTTTTCAGTCTCAAAACTCTCAGAATCAGTTTGGCAGTGATCCTTTTCTGCAACGTATTGTTGAAAAACAGAAAAATTACTGGTCAGAAACTGGTAGTCACATCTCCTGCAGCAACAAGAGGGTTTTCATCCTCACTCCATTCAAGTCAAAGAAAGAAAAGGAAAAAGAAGGACAAACACGTGGCTTGCACATAGCTAGTCCCTTACAGAAGTAGGAAATTGATGAAATCTTGTCAATTGGCTACTGAGGAGGATCTGCCAAGCCACAAAACAATCACTCCCTTTAGAGGAACAGAAACTCAGAAGCCAAGAGGAAGCACGAGTTCTGTAGATTTCCAACCTATAAATGAACAAACAAACAAAGACACTCGGTTCTCCAACACTGCTGATGTTATTGTCTCAGAGACATGCAGAGCTGCTTTCTTATTAACTAAGAATCCTTGAGAGAAAGTGTGATCAATTGAGACACTGGTAATGCATGCCATCTAATTCTCAAGAGTTTCATGTACCGTATATCATTGCCCAGGTCTTTGGAAAGGACAACTAATGCTGCTTTCCTCCTTTCTGTTTCCATTAGGGTTTGTTTTCTTTGCCATCTTTGTTTTTTTTTTTTTTTTTTGTCTTTGCTGTTTGTGTTTTTTTTCTTTTGTGCTGTTTTGTGTTTTTTTCTATTTTTTTTATTTTAAAATGTTTTAACAAGTGGGAGTCAAGCAGCATATAAATTTAATAAATTAGTACTTATTATTATCATATGCTTTATCTAAGTTAACAAAATGTACAATAAACTTCCTCATGTTCATATGTTTTTCAGTGACTTGCTGAAGAGCAAAAATCTGGTCTGCATAGTCCATGACATCAGAAAGTCAAACTGCACTTCTCAGAATTTGTTTATTGTCACTTCTGATCCTCTTTCAGTCACAGTTCTGTCAAGCATCTGTCCAGGCACACTTAAACTAATCCCCTATAACAGTGTTTCCCAAACTTGACAATTTTAAGGCATGATGACTTCAACTCCCAGAATTCCACAGCCAGCGTTGGCTGTGGAATTCTGGGAGTTGAAGTCATCATGCCTTAAAATTGTCAAGTTTGGGAAACACTGCCCTATAATTTTGGTTTCAGTCTTGCTGTCTATATCGGAGAACAATAATGGCACTCTTCCAATTGTCAGCCACATATACACATTAACCATGTTGTGGCATATACACTTATTAAATAAGCTAAACAAGATGAACAGTCATAAAAGATTAGAGTCAGCAAACTACATCTATATTTAAGCATATATGGAATTACGGTCTACACTTGCAGCCTTACCTTAAAAAAGACATTTTCACAGTATTTATGATTTGCTTTTCAGTATATTTTTCTTGAATGCTAATATTGATACTATGTTTCAGTTGCATTCTATGACACACCACTATTTCCCAAATGCTCCTTCCAGCATTTTTAATTCCATTTATTTTTCTATAGACGTCTTCTGTAGCTCACTTCACCCATTTCCAAAATAATATTTTAATTCCATCTCAGCCTGAGAATCAGTCTGCATTTCTCTGTGTACTTCTTTTAATTGTGACCACTCCTTATTCTCTGACTTATATTCTTTACAATGGTATTTTCTCTTTATGTACATGAATCTATCTTTCATCCTCATTTTAATATCATTATTAGATTCATTTTATTGATCCTTTTAGAGGCTTTTTTGATTCATTACTTCACCAAATATCCTTTTACAAATTTCCTTTAGCATAATTCCACAAATTTATGTGACATTCTGTATTATAATTCTTTTCACACTGATTCAGGCAACTTCCATATGATCTTTCCTTCTGTGTACTTTCCATTCATTCTTTTAGGAGATTAATCTATCTTTCATACAGAACTGGTATTTTCATTCCAGTTTTGCAAATAATTTTTTGGATTCAAAGGAACTGGGTGGCATCAGTTACCACAGTGATATTCTAGATCATCAGACTGATTTGAAATTGTTGCAGGTTCATCTGTTCAAATTTACAGAAAAGGTTTTTTATTTATCTCATTCACAGAATTTTACAGTGCAGAATTTGCTGACACTATCATTCCCATTTATAACTTTCTCAAAAGTCCCATTAGTTGATAAAGGAAGGAATGACAGAATATTTGTATCACACCTTTGAAGTGATAGCATAATTCAAAGGTATCTGTCTGAAAGAACCTGTTGTCCAGATCCTGTTATTTATCCTAATTACAAAACATTACCAAAATTCTCTGCCTTCTAAACCATATCTTCTTATCTCTCCATATCTTGTCTTGCTGAACATTGGTGAAAATATAACTGAGCTAACTCAGCAATAAACCGCATAAGTCAATAATAAAGTTTATTCAGAAAGGTCAACATTCCTTGCAGGCTTCTTTCTGAACAGGGTCATATTTTTCTCTTTCCCCATCTCTCATGGGAAACTCTCTCTACTTCTTTCATGAAGCGAAGACACAATTCTTCTTGCCATGGCAAGGCCACACACTGGACTGCTACAGGGAGCCCCACTGCATCTTCCACAGCCTATAAGAGAAATGCAAACAGTAAGACAATGTGTTCATTACTTGGCGTATTCATCAGGCTTTCCAATTTCTCAAATCAGTCCTTGAACTCAATGTGACTTGAAGCTTAGCAGAAAGTAAGTAGATCTGCCTTCTTCTGTCCAGCATCCACCTATAACCATTGGTATGTGAATGCATGCTTACAAGGGCTGTACTATTAGAGATTTTGTGGCGTACAACATAGGGCTGCCCAATGCTAAAATAATTCTTTAATCTGGACATTGCAGCAAGATCAAGACTATATATAGCCAGCTAGATAGCAGCCTCTAGTCACTCTTGGCTGATCATAAAAAAGTAGAATTAGTATTTATAGTATCTACCACCAGAAAATCTTAGAAAGTAACACCCAGAACAACAGCAGCAGACTAGGCAAAGGAAGTGGCTGACTGATTATTGCTGCCAAGAATGGATGAACGGATGGATAGATGCATCTTAATTGCAATCATCAACCAGAAAAATAGAAGAAAAAATGTGAACACAGAAACAATTATTCTTTTAAATAAAGTTTAGTAACCTTTACATCATTATATCATTTGAATTTGATAATAAAGTTGTACAGACCTAAGTTAGGGGTATACCATAAAGGCATAGCTTCTTTTCCAATGAACATTTTCCATAGCAAAAAGTGCTCAAATGCAAATGCAGTCTGACCATATTACTGCCAACAATATTGTCATTTTCAATGAAGTCACCAGAATTCCCAACCTGTTCAAAGCTATATCTTTGTGTCAAACTATAGCTCAAATTCCCTTAAAAGAGATCAAAGTCTTTTAAAACTCAGTAGGACCTATTTCAATTAAATAGATTCATGCTCAAATTAGAAAAAATATTCTTAAAGTACAGTTTTCTTTATTAATAACAGGGATCCAACTCAACCTCAACACAGCCAATGAATGAGGAGCGTCTCTGACAATTTGCCATGGCCAACTTGCCAAGGCCAACTCACAATGGCCAACTTGCCATGGTCAACTTGCTGTGGGATAACTCATCACGGCCAACTCGCCACGGGACAACTCGCTGCGGGAGAAGAGTTACACTAACATCAAATAAAGAATGGAACAGAATCATTAAAGAAAGGGAGACAAAATGAAATGTGAATGACAAAAATTAAAATATGTTTTTATTTATTTTAAATAAATTAAATTGAATTGTTAAATTGTCCTGTGGCAAGTTGGCCTTGGCGAGTTGGCTGCAGCAAGTTGTCCCATTCCGGAATGAAGCAACTTTGAATATTCCCCAAGAGACTGTTCTCCACATTTCTTCAAAGTAAACGAGTCACTAAATTTCACTGAGTTCAGACAAGCAGCTAGGAAGGATCCATTCTGTTAAAGTTTTGTAATATCTTGATTCCTATACATGGCAATTGCATTTCTTGCTGTTAACTGACCTCCTTCATTCTTTTATCCCAGAAGTCTCCATAGTGCCCTTTGTAATGCTTCAGCTCTTCTTCATCTGTTTGTGTAACTGTTGTGACTGGTACAACTCCAGCAGGAAAATTCAAGACATTGTATAGATGGGTATAAGTAGTAGCCACTGGAAAAGATACCATCTACAAGTTATTTATTTCTCAGCAGGATCAGGCCATTGTTTTGTCACTGTAACAAATTAATAGTATAATAGCACAATGCATTCTCCAGCCCACAGATGCTGCCCAATTTTATCCTCCACAAGCAAGGAGGCCAAAGGAGGTGGATACCACCAGCACCATCACAATCTGCTGGCAGTGATGCAGTTGCCCAAGGGGTGGGAGGCTGTGGCTTTTATGAGAAAATCAGCTAATAAAATATGTTGCATATGTGCTCAAGAGTTGCCAGCATCCCTCATACCTTGTCCTGAAAGAGGCGTAACCTTTTCAGAACAATTTTCCTTCTTATCACAGTTGAGGTCCACAACTGCTATATAACTACATGAATATAGTGACAAGCGAGCTGTGCTTCAGGGTAATAGCTTTCTGGTGAGGAAATTGGAACAATTTTCAAGTGTGGGAAAAGGTCTAGTGCTTGCAGAAAAATAGCATCATCTTCTCTTTGGGGATTTTTTTTTTAAATAAAATAAAAAATTGAGGAATAAGAAAATGAGCCTGAAATGTCAGAGCTGCCAGATGCTTGTCTTGCATTATTTTATCATTAGATAAAATAATCTGAAATGACTCTAAGAACAGTTGCAAAATTGTTCAGGGTGGATACTTAGGATTGCGCCAATTGGTAGCCATAAGCTGCTTGGGCCTCAAGGTAAATCTGGTGGAAAACAACTAGCTTAGCCTCCTCTCTGAAGCACAATCCACCTCTTCACCTTGGCAATGACCTGTTTGGACTAGTTAGCACAGCTCCTGACTGATGAGTTCCCTATTGATGCAAGGACACCAAGTGCTTTCCTTTCTAAGGGTAGGTCTTTGTGATATATACATTCTATTTACAGATTTTTTTTGTTGCTTCTGTTTTCAGTGTGAGACCTTCAACCTTCCCTATCCCAGTTCATCCAATGTTTGATGTTCTTTGTTCATGCATCTAGCATTTCATTGATCTGCTGGTGATCCAGTTTCAAAAAGAAAGGACTTGTAGTTACCAGTGAACCCTAACAGAACTCTAAAGGGTATACTCAACCCATATCACTGCAGTTATTTAATTGTGCAGTGTCAGGTCCCCACCCATGAATGTTGAATCTGTTTCACAAATCACTGGTGTTTCTATTTTTCATTTTTAAGATTGTGATGTATCTTCTATGCTTTTTAATTGACTGTACTCCACTCTCCTTATGCTTGTATATGACTATAATAATAAAGATTTGATTTGACTGATTAGTGATTAGTGGCATATGCGGCCTCCTCTGACAGTGCCCTCCTCCCAATCAACTCAGGAGCTGAAGTGATCAAAAGAATGATAACAGAGCTAACAAAAAGAAGGAGCAGTGCGCACAGTAGACCTAGCAGGACTATTTTTTCACACTTCTGGAATCTAACCCTTCTTAGAACGGGCATAAGAACAAAGGTACACAAAGAAAGCTACAGTGGGGTTATGATTTGATACCAAATAGTTTGCCAGCATATCCTAGATTAAAGGCTGGGCCCAAAGCAGGACAAAGCACAACATCCAGCTTCAATTTTTTCCATTCTGCAATGAATTCATCACGGTAAGCCTGGAAAACAAGAAAACACAATGGGTGGAGTGTAAGGGCATAATGCTACTTCATCAACGTGTTCAATTTCAGCTTCCTTTATCCCATATAGGCCCCTATAGCTTCCAGGCACTAGATCAAGACTTCCATGGAAATGCCAGAAAAATGCAGAGTGGGGATGTACCATTGGATATAAGAACCATTCGGTGGATATCATACCCTACTCTGAAGGATGATTTTTCCCAGTAGCTTCATGTAAATATTAAACAATAGGAGCAGCTATCATGACTAGTGCACAAATAAGTAGTTGCTGGGTCAATCTTTTTTCCTTTTCTACAATTGACTGGAACTGTCTACTCAGGAAAAAGAACCACTGCAAGATAATCCTTCTAATTCCAAACTTCACAGGCAGTTCAGAAGGGTTACCATGGTAGATGATCTTGAAATTTGTTGAGATGTTGATTGTCCCTAGGATTACAATCTCACCAGTCATTTCAATGGCCATCTACTAGCACAACCAAGGCAGTTTCCTCCCATGTCCAACAACTAATGGAAAGGAAAACAGATAACCTATTGGCTAGGACATTTTGTAGGTGATTTCCAACAACTGTTCCCGCAAGGGGAGATTGGAGACAGGGCAATAACTGCTAAGGATTCCTGAATCCAAGGAATATATCTTAAGGATGGGACCAAACCAGACCTTCCTTCAAGACTGCAGACAATGTTCTCTCCCATAAAGATAGAGAAGCATTGGCTTCCTGGTAGGATTCTTGCAAGTTAGAGTAGAATGTTAAAAAAAAAACACTGAAGTTTTTAGCTCTCAAAACTAAGGATAAAAATTTGATAAGTGCTAAAGAAAGCTTCGGGCTTAAGCAGCAATTAGAGACTCTAAGTACAGAGAAACTGAAAGCTCCTTGGAACTTTATCTCTTTAATTTCTTTTCCCAACTTTTATCTCTCTCTGCTTTATCCAACTTTATCCTTTCATCAGTTCACTTGTGATAAAATATGTGTTCTTCACATGAAATCAGGCCTTACATTCTAACATCTCAAAAAATTAAATTAAAAATATGTAGTCTCTCAAGACTGTTTGCAAGATCATTTCAAGATTTTAAATGTGAATGCTGATTTAATCAGCAAAATGGCCCTAATTCCAAAAGGCACAAAGGTCATATAATAAATATTACATTTTCTAATCTGAGATAATACTATTAGTAAATTCTGTGAATGTTTAACTTGCATCATTTATCTAATTGTATGTTATCTGACACTCCCAGTATGAGAAGGTATTTCTAAATGCATTTTTAAATGAGCTAGACGTCATACAAAGCCTGGCTCTTAACAAATAAATTCCAGAAGCTCAACTAACCTAAACTTTGTGCAGTTTAATTTTGCAGTAATGTGTCTACTAAAGAAGTCTCCCCCAATCTTCTACTCCTTTCAGAAGTGCATAGCATATCTATTCTCAAGGGTTATGGGAATTGTAGTCCCACCCATCTAAAGTGACCAGATTCAAGAAGTCAGTCAATGTTCCTTAACACTGGAAAAACAGAAAGTTAGGATGGAAGACAAGTGCTGATAGATTATTGTATTAAGAGTAGGTTATGAGTTAATAAATAACAACAGTGGTAATTATATGAATGGTCTGGGCAAACTTTGTATATGCTTTGTATATGCTTAGGAAAAAGTAGAATGAGGAAAGCATGGGACTTTACTGCAAGAAAGCCAGTTATGACTCTGCATGTGCTGGAATGTGCAGCTAAATAAAGAGTTGGGGAAATGTTGGCAATAGCATTGCAGCTTCTCAGGGAGGAGGCAGTGCATTTCAGAGAGGGGCTCAAGACACTGTGCTGTCCTAAACTAGATATGGGAGAAAGGAAAAGGTTTGGTGTAGCCACACCCTACAGGGTATATCTGTTAGGTTAGAAAGTTATAGCTTTAGTCTGGCAAGATTCTGTGTATTGGGTATAAGCAAATATACCTAACACCAAATGGATTTGATTAGATCTTACTGTGTCTTCTTTAGGTTGGGTCTGACACTATGAGATAAATTATCCAGGGAAGATGCCTGTATTACAAGAAGGGATAGTCAGTTGGTTGAGTTAGGATCAGGGATTATTGATATGATTGTAACATATAAATTAAGTTGAATTGGAATGATCCCTAATGAAGAAGTATGAAATAGCTTTCCACCTGCAAAATAATATACTATGTTTAATGAAGTTTTTCTCAGAGTTATCCCAGGATCTTGTCCTTAGAGTTGAGCTAAACCTGATCAGGGAAAGAGGACTCTTAACAGTCACAGGAATATATCCTGATATCTTTGAGTATTCAAATACAAATTTTACCCAATCATCATCATCATCATCATCAATGGAGAAACTGCAATGAATCAGTCAGTACCTGACAAGGAAGAAACAGTGCAGTTCTGGAAGCAGATATGGGATAACCCAAAGAAATACAACAAGGATCCGGCTTAGTTAAAAGAGGTGGATGCAAATAAAACAGAAGTTGAAATGAAAGAACTAGTAATAACAACAAAAATGGTAGAAAAAAGAGCAAGGAAAATCAAAAATTGGTCAGCACCAGGTGAAGATGAACTGCATGGGTTTGGGTTGAAACATCTAACTGTTATACACCCACTCATTGCCAAGCAGTTCAACAATATACTACAAAGAGGAGAAATTGAAAAGTGGCTAACAACTGGGAAAACCTACCTAATAATGAAAAATCCAGCAAAAAGGGCAACACCAGGCAACTACAGGCCAGTTATCTGCTTACCAACAACTTTCAAATTACTAAATGGTATGGTAGCTGATACAGTACAACAGCATCTAGTTGAAAACAATCTCTTTCCACCTGAGCAGAAAGGAAACCACCCCAATAGCAGAGGAACAAAAGATCAACTGCTAATAGACAAAATGATCTTGGAAAACTGCAAGAAAAGGAAGACCAACCTAAATGTGGCATGGGTTAACTACAAAAAGGCATTTGACTCTCTGCCACATGCCTGGATAATCAAGTGTCCTGCCATATGGTACCATTGATATCCCACAGGACACGTGTGGCTACTGCCAATTAAATTGGATCCTGCAATTTCTAGTACATAAGAACAAGTGCAGGACTTTGTGCCTGTATCTTCTCATTTTTTTTGTATATTAGGAATAAAATCCACCTATTCACTAATTCCATTTTCTTTAGCCATGAAGCTGTTGCTTTGCAAACAAGCTCATGAATGATTGGAAAAGAAGTTGAGAAACGTCATATGGTGTTTCTCCATTTCACCATCCAATCCAATTAGGTCATCATTTCTGACCACTTTTTAAAAACCATCTGGAAATAGCAATAGTCTCAATTGCATACTGATGTGCCAGACAAAAACCATTAAGGTATTTGCTTCAGCTATAACTCTAGAATCCATAATATACAGAGGTAACCCTATAGGAAGATTGTGTAATGTAAGGGGCTTCGCTAATTATTCTTTTCAATTCTTTCTGTTCAGAATTGAAAACCCAGGGCTGCATTCATTTAAAAAGAAACAGCACTTTTGTTTGTTCTGGTTGGGAAATAACTGAGAGAATTAGAATCTTTGGCCAATTGACATAAACAAGCTGACTCACCATCCGATCCACATTGTTCTTCCAGAGTTTTTTGACTGACCTAGAATTTGAAGAATTCATGAAAATCAACATTAGTATACTAACAAAGAAAGATCAACAAAATAGTTATGCATAGAATGACAAAACTGTAGAGTTGGATGGGGCCATAAAGATAATCTCATCCAACTCTATGCAATAGAAAAAGACAACCAAATTATCCTGTCCAGCCTATTCATAAAAACACAGACTGCTATTCTTCTTCTATTTCTTATATTTAGGAAGCCTTTTCTTTTATTGAAATGAAACCTAGATAGCTGCAACTTATACCTATCATTTCTGGTCCCAGTCTCCTTGGCAGTGACGATTTTCTCAACAATATCTTTTTGTGTACCTGAGCAGTGAGATCATATATCCCTCAATCTTCTCTTCTTCAAATTAAGTTTCTCCATTGTCCTTTGCATAGAAGATTATGTCTTAAAGTCCCTGCTTTTTTATCACCCGCCTCTGAACCTGTGCACCAACTGTTCAACATGTTGTTGCTCTGTGCTTAAGGAGGCAATCTAGATTCTCACTGGCAGGGATTTTAATGGTTTGCCCCATCCCAATACATCAGTGTTTCCCAAACTTGACAATTTTAAGGCATGTGGACTTCAACTCCCAGAATTCCACAGCCAACGTCCTCATGCCTTAAAATTGTCAAGTTTGGGAAACACTGCCCTAAATCATATCAATAGCAGCTTGCTGCTATAATAATTAAATACAAAATTGACAGACCTATAGGACACTAGCATTTTCCTGGTCTTACAATCACAAGTGGGACTGGAAATTCCATGTGATTGTTAAGTGAGTGATGCTTGATTTTATGACCCTTTTTTCCCCCCACAATGGCCATTAAACAAATCATGCAGTTGTTAAGCAAATTCAGCTTTCCTCATTGACTTTGCTTGTCGGAGGCCCCCTGGGATGGTTATAAGTGACCGTGGGATGCTGGAATCATTGTAAATATCTGCCAGTTAACAAGTGGCCAAATATTGATCGTGTGATCACAAAGACACTGCAACAGTTGTAAGTGTGAGGACCAGTTTTAAATTACTTTTTTCAGTAGTGTCGTAACTTTGAACGGTAGTTAAATTATCGTAAATCGAGGACTGCCTACAGATCGTTCTGAACAGCTATGAGAAGAAGGAGCATGATACTCTATTGCTGGCTAAAAAGAACACTAACTGAGTGACAGTTCTGTTATGTGCAAAATGTAAATATGTCCATTTCAGCAGTGTCTTGAAGTCTGAATAAATCTGAAGAAAATCAGGACAGCACAAGACCATTTTAACTGATTTTGGAATTGCTAGGAAGGATTGATTGTCTGAAGGTCACAGTCCCAACCCATTTGAAAGGCATCAGGAGGCAGGAAGTTATTATAAAACCTCAAGTAATAATAGAAGGTATTTATTCATGATGCAGTCAGGATTTAACTGCATTCCACATCTTTGTTTGCTTCTCCATAATAAATATACAAATGACGTTGAAATTCCTTTAGGCCACTGAAACAAGTACCTGAACCTAGTCTTTCCACAGCATGTCAGTTACCATCTGTAAATCCAAACACAGTGATTGTTCCAAATTATTTAAATTAAAATATTTTCCTATGTCCAACTTCTGTGAAATGCAGTACGGTGGCTGATGTACTGCTGTCCTCTACTGGAGAGAATGTAGCATGACTATTTTTCAAGGTTTAAATACGGTAGTTGTATATAAAATAAACAAAAGACAACTTCTTAGAGCAAAGCATACTGTCCCATTATGCTTTTCCTGCCCTATGCATGTCCCAGCTATAAACCAGTTTAAGCAAATCTTAACTGAACTGATGCTTTGGCAGCAGTTTGGGAAATACTGAGTACATACAACCTGTTGCTTGTATATACACTGAGAGCTTATACACCGGAGACAAATTCCTTGTGTGTCCAATCACACTTGGCCAAAGTATTCTATTCTATTCTATTCTATTCTATTCTATTCCATTCCATTCCATTCCATTCCAGATCTAAAGTAACCACTTGTGGCCACTGGGCAATTCTCCCACTACCATTCTTTCTCAAGTTTACATTTCCAGAAGGCAATACTTTCTTTTCTCTGGGAGGGTCTTAGTGGACATACATATTCACACATACACATGCATATAAAAATACAGTTATATGAAATATAATATAGCTAAATGAAAAGGTATAAACTATACACATATGCAAGGACAACAACCAGCTTTAAAGACAAAAGTTTCCTTTCTTATATTACTTTTACTTTTCCTGAATAACTTCTGCTACAAATACTGTTATAAAAGGACTTTCCTATTAGCATAACAGTACACTACTGCAAAGGTTGGTATTGCATCCTGGAGAAACCTAAGTGTGTGGTTGTTAAGAGGTGATACTGATTGATGGCACACGGTAAATCCAAAGGCTGATATTGCAAGAACAACACCCATTCAAGGAAGGCAACGCCATAATATTCTCTTACCCCACACCAAGGAGGGCATGCAGATGTCGGGAGATTCGTGGGAACTAAAATAAAAACACTGGATTAGAAAACCACATATAGCAACAGGTTATATTACACAGTATTACACAAACCTACTGGCATTTGAAGTTTGCTGTTTAGCAATTATTTGGCTCCTTCTCTTTATTGTGTATCTTCCTGATTTATTTTCTGGTTGCTGGCTTGGAGAGAAGATACCAAACTACCTTTCCCTCAAAGGCCAAAAGCTATTGGTATTAGAATCAGTGTTTCTCAGCTTTGGCAATTTGAAGATATATGGACTTCAATTCCCAGAATTCTCTAGCCAACAAGCCGGCTAGAGAATTCTGGGAGCTGAAGTCCACACATCTTCAAGCTGCCAAGGTTGAGAAACACTGCCTTAAATCTTCCATCCATAAACGTATTCCATTATTCCCATGGAATCCATTAGCACTCCTTCTAACTGTCTAGAAGGTGGAAGCAAAATAAGGTTACAAGCAGATTGTCTGTTCCTGCTCTGACTCACTGCCATGTTCATATTTCATGTGAAGAAAAAAGAGGGACAGCTAATGATACAGAGGGACATTGGCAAGACACCACATCATTTAGCCCAAAGGAAGAGCTAGGGAGGAAACCGCAGGGAATTAGCATGCAAGATAAGAGAGAAGTTTCTGCCAATGGATGGCCATCAGTTAATAATAATAATAATAAAGTTGGAAGGGACCTTGGAGGTCATCGAGTCCAACCCCCTGCTCAGGCAGGAAACCCTACACCATTTCAGAAAGATGGCTGTTCAGTCTCTTCTTAAAAACTTCCAGTGTTGGAGCATTCACTGCTTCTGGTTAATTGTTCTAACTGTCAGGAAGTTTCTCCTTAGTTCTAGGTTGCTTCTCTCCTTGATTAGTTTCCATCCATTGCTTCTTGTCCTGCCCTCAGGAGCTTTGGAGAATAGCTTGACTCTCTCTTTTTTGTGGCAGCCCCTGAGATATTGGAACACTGCTATCATGTCCCCCCTCGTCTTTCTCTTCGTTAAACTAGACATACCCAATTCCAGCAACCATTCCTCATATGTTTTAGCCATTGGCTGGCAAAACACTCCACGATGTTGTAGAAATTACCATTTGATTTGCCAATATCTTGTGAAAGTAGGCAGTCGCTTAAAACAGCTGGGCTTAACCCAAGCAAAAAGTGATATACTTTCAAGAAGAAGAGGTAGTTCTCAACCTGTGACCACAGTTTGGAACCAGAATTTCTGTTGCTAAGCAAGCTGGTTGTTAAGTGAGTTGTGCCTGACTTTATGACCTTTTTTGGCACAGTTGTTAAGTGAATCACTGCAGTGAAATGAACCACTGCAATTATTAAGTGAATCTTGCTTTCCCCATTGACTTTGTAGGAATCTGGCTGGGAAGGTAGCAAAGGGTGATAGCAATAGCAATAACACTTAAACTTATATACCACTTTGCGTAGTGCTTTACAACCCTCTTGAAGTGGTTTACAGAGTCAGCATATTGCCCCCCCCCCAACAATCTGGGTCCTCATTTTACCAGCCTTGGAAGAATGGAAGGCTGAGTCAACCTTGAGCCACTGAGAATCAAACTGCCAATCTGCAGGCAGCCAGCAGTCAGCAGCAATAGCCGGCAGTACTGCATTCTAACCACTGCGCCACCAAGGGGATCACATGACTCCGGGATGCTGCAGCTGTCATGAATACATGCCAGTTGCCAAATGCCTGAATTGTGATAGTGTGGTGGTAGGAATGCTGCGGCAGCGTAGGTGCAAGGACCAGTCGTAAATCACTTTTTTCAAGGCTGTTGTAACTTGGAATGGTCGCTAAACAAATGGTTTTAAGCTGAGGACTGCCTGTACATTCCCCCAGTAAAATCGGTGTGTTTTAAAAAAGCATTAATTATAGTGTGTGCTATAAAAAGTATTAATTTTAGTGCATGCCTGTCTTTTTCACCGATAGTTGAAGAGTTTTCTTATAGGGGAATGTCAGGCTGGAAGTAATTTGTTCTATAACTGAGGGATTGAATAGAAGATGAGTTAGAAGTGCAGATTTTTTTTTTTGCAGAAAATGATTTAAGATTTGTAGGCATCCTATTTTCTCTGAGCTTCACTTTGCTTTCGACCCCATCGTTTCATAGGGAATTGAATCATCAAAAAGAAACATATGAAAACCTGAGAGTGGCTGTATCAGGATCATTATTCTTAGATTACGATTTTCACCTTGGTTATTCCACTTTATAAAGAAGAGAGCTAGATCCTGATTTCTGTTAACAAGATTGACTGAGACGACCGAGCTCAAAATGGAAGTCATTTTGAGATAGTCTATGAAGGAGACAATCCAATATACATGTTTCGATTGCAATTCAGCTTTGACTTCAAAAAGAAAAGAAACATGATTTTCTCTAAAGATCCAGCATCATTTCCCTGATTTAAATACAACAATAGCAAATCGATGGAAATGAGGAGAAAAATGCTTGTAAAAGCAATACAAGCAAAAGAAGCAATCACATTTTCAGTTGCATATCAAGGGCTCTGTTTCCAAGGACTTGAGCAGCCTTGCAGAATTATTCCTGGCAACAAAAAAACATTTAAACCTTAGCTAGTTTTGAAACAGTGACCAAAATATTAAAACAGTGCCTTTTTTCGCATCAGGTCATAAAGAGCATCATTTAGCATTCTCATTTTCCCAAACTTTTCCTACAGAAGAATCAATTTATTTTACTCATGAATAAGCACCACGATGTGCTGTCATTACAATTCCAATCAACATGAGGTCTAATCCCAACCCAACAAGAAGTTGGAAAAGGCTGGTATATATAATAGGTTTCATCTATAGTCCTTTGGCTTGTCAGATATATCCAGTAGTGGGATTCAAATATGTGAACAACCCGTTCTCTGTGTGGATGCCGCTTTCAGAAGTCCATTCTGGGCCTGGGCAACAAAAAATTAGCTACTGGTTCTGCCAAAGTGGTGTGAACCGGTTGAATCCCACCACTGGATATATCACTCCTTCTACATTTGTCAATATTTTTGATTGAAATTCAGGAATGATCTCATTCTAGCAGAGAAGATACCAATGAATAAACCATTGGCTGCTTTATGGGCTTATCACATTTAGCCTAATTGAGAGAACCTAAGCTTTACTTTCCCCCAATCTTAATAGAAGTCTCTGGGAGTTGAAATCAATGCATCCAAAGGACATGAATTTGGGAAAAGCCATTTCGGTTGCATTCACTTCAGGCTACTATTTCTTGTTTGCATCCTTCTAATAGCCTTTGACATTTCCCTTGATCTTACAGGCTAAGCATCACAGTAAGTGATCTATCAACACCAGGAGTTTCAGAATTGCATTTCCAGGGATTAGTCTACAAATTTGGATAATGAGGAATGATATCCATTTTTTACTGATCTACTTCAGTAGAACCTGAGTGGTGTTGCTATAGGGTTTAACTTTAATTTAAATTGGATGATGGTGACCCAGTGCAATGGAAAAAAAAATGATGTGTAACCCAGGAGTTTTTAGACACAGAAAAATCCCAGTGACAAGTTAACTTGGTTTCCCACTCATATGGAAGGACCAGAAAGAATCCTACAAATTCTTACTAGGCTATTGTACATGCCACCTCCATCATTTTTGTTTATGGATAAAATGAGACTCATTCTGAAAATTAGTATGGTGTATTTGTGCAAATAAAAAAAAAAAAGTGAGAACTCACCACAGGCATTAAAAGGAAAGCTAAGAGTCTCTTCAGCAGGTCTGGCATTCTGTAACAACGAATCTGGTTTGTCCAAGTGGAATCCACAAATTCACCATCACTGAAATAGTAGAAAGGGAAAGAAAGCAGATTATTATACAGAGTATAAGGAGGTAACAGACCCTTCTTTTGGAACAAGGACACAAATTGGATGATGGGAAGTTGAGAGGGAAAGAACTATTCATCTATGAGTTCAGGATCCCTCACAGGTAGATTTTTGCACTCATGTCAGAAGCACTGAGGTGCTTCCAGGTTGGTGACATCACTGCTGCCCAGGAGATGCCCAGTTGGGGGCTCTTTTCATGTCCTTAGCAGGAGCTGGAGCAAAGGATGAGAGCTCACCCCACCCTGCCCCATAGCAGCACTCAGGTCTCGAACATAGGCTTGCTAACATGGATTTGCTCCAACCCAGCATCCTAACCATGAGAGCTACCATGCTCTTCTCCCTTTTATCTCACAGATATATATAATCCTAGTTTAGGATAATATCTGTTGAATAACCTTTGCTGCCACCTGTCACATGATTCCATGAAAAGCCAAATAGGAAAAGGGGAGAAACAAAAGACTCAGACATTTTTTTCCCAGCAATCAGGCTACCAAATATTCATAGTATTGGAAATCATAAGCTTTAGCCTGCTCCTTGCTGGCAGGATTTATAGACTTATATAACATTTGATTTATAGAAAGGAAACAATAATAATAAAAAAAAAATCAGACTGGCTCTTTCTATGAAATTTTAGCATTTAATCACTCACAATTTTTCCAATAATGTGGAACTTCCATCAGCATAGAGGCCTTTGGTAAAGAGTTCATCCACCAAAAAATCAATGCGAGGTGGAGTGAATGGTATCAGCTGAGAGAGGAAAGAAAAACAAACTCCATATTTAATGGTACACAATAAACATATATAAAGAGTTTACTCTGCTTTTAAAAGTTGAGCAGATTGAACCTGTTTATGGCTTGCAATTACTTCTTCCCCTAAATCTACTAAAAGCCATGTGTTCATCCATTGAATGAATGAAGCCAATTATATATAGGAATACAGCCCAGATGCACCGCCCAAGAGTCACATCTTAAGACTGCCAGATCTGAGCTGCAAAAAGGTGATGGTGAAAAGGGGAGCAAAAAAAAAGCAACAGTTCTCTTTATCTCTCCACTGGCATTTAATAGTCATTTGGATTTTTGCAGCCCAAATATAGTGAGCCTCCAAAAGGCGCAACTGTAATTTTTAATGTGACTGAAGAGGAAAATGATTGAATATATGGAGAACCATCATATTAGTCATGTTTGCTTCTCAGTGAATCTAAATACAAATGAAATGAAACTTATTCAAAGGAGACACTTGCCTTCTATCAGCTACTTTTGAAATACTGCTGGCAGCATGCCATTCAAATGCCAAGGCTCTTGCTGTCACTGTCCCCACCCAAAAAGATCTTTAATCCTAGTGTAAAGCTTACAGTATGGCCTGCCTCCTGTAGCAGTTTTTTTGTTTCCTGCACAGCTCTTCTCATGCTGGGAGATGGCTGGAAATAACCATCTCCATCGTAGAATCCAATCCTCAGGGGGCTGGTATGAGAGTAAATCTGAAAAGAGACAAATCTTCATTTATTCCAGTCACTAGGAAAAGAGAGCTAGACATGTTTTTAAAGGTCTAATACTGTTCCGAATCTAGGTATATAAGGAGCCTGCCTAAGATCTAATAAGCATTCAGAAAGTGCCAATCAGATATTATAGGCAGTCCTTGGATTACAATGGAATTGGAACAGGAATGTCCATTGCTATGGAGGTCATAAAGTGTGACATCATGTGGCTACATAGCTTAGTGACAGCAATTCCAGCAATCCTTATTGCCATCATTAAGCAAGGATCGCGTGGATCATTCAGTGAGGACTTCATGCAAGTTTGACATGGAAATAGGTGAGAATCCAGAATACTTGCTTATGCAGATGAAACTGCATCCCTGGCCAGTAGCCCAGCAGAGCTATAGATGGACAGATTGGTGCTACGGAGTATGAGTGGGTGGACACTATGGAGTGCAAGATCCAACGCTGCCCAGGGCCTCCTCAGGAAAAAAAAGCATCAGAAGCAGCAGTGACTTGAAGCCTCCTGCAGGCTTCCCCATTGACTTTGCTTGTGGGAAGCCAGCAGGAAACGCTGCAAATTGTGATCATGTGACCATGGGATGCTGTAACCATCGTAATTATGAGCTGGTTGCCAAGTGCCTGAATCTTTATCACATGACTGTAGAGATACTATGATGGCTGCAATTTCAACAACTGGTCATAACTTCAAATGGTTGGTGAGGACTACCTATACATAGGCAGAGGCCGACATAGAAGTAAATTACATGGTGTCTCCATGGAAAGGATGGGACCAGCTACCCCTGCAGCAGCCTGAAGTGACCAATAGGACTTAGCCAGATCCCATTCCCTGATCATAATATTGATGAAGCAACCACAAGCACTGATGAAGCACTATGTGATAGTGTTCATGGCAAACGTTGTGGGCATCAGAGAGTAAATATATTTTAAATTTGGAAAACTACAGACAACCCTGATCTGTCTTAGCTGTAGATTGGGAGAAAGACAAAGGCACAAAGAGAGCACATCATGTAATAGCTACCAGGAAATACTTGTGTTGTGATTAGCGGGATGTGAGGGGGAATCCTTAGCATCCTTGCTACTTCTACAAATAACTGATATCAAAGTTAATTAAAAATGTACAGGAGAAGAAGTTGTTAGTATGAGCTCCTGTATACTTCCATGGGGAGGGTATTCTATAAGTGGATCTTCACAACCAAATAGCTGAAGTTCTCCTGGTGGAAACACTTAGAGACCTCCAAAAATGATATGCAGGTACATATAAGAAAGATCCTTGAAAAATTCTGGCCAATACTAAGAATTATAATCACACACACACACACACACAAACACACACACACACACACACACACACACAGTCTGATTTATCCCTATATCCAATTTGATTACCTTGTCATTAAAGGAAAGTGGAGGCACAGTTGGATCCAGAGAAAACATCTCATCACACAGGAGGGCTTTCATGCACAACACCAGGCTATCCACGTCTCTTGCCATTGGGCCTGTCACAGAGATGACTGGAACAAAGAGAGAAAGGTCTCTGGTCTTGTTAAAGGAAGACAGGACATGGTTTTGCAGTAAAGTAAAGCTAAACAGGTCCCCTGAGAATTTGCTTTCTAATAGTTAGAGGATTTTGAACTTACACAATAGAACTTACACAAATTACTCAGGTGGCTTGATTTATCTAGCAGTTTTTGACAAGGAAAAACTGTATTTTTACTCCTTTAGTTTCCTTGTGGTGTCATCCCATCCAACTATACTTTAAAATTCTTAGTTACTATGTCATTCTGAAATAATATCTATAAATGTAAATGAACCCAATATCTCATTGTGCAACAATAAACCCCAAAACTGTAGAGAAACAAAAAGACAAAAGACATCTCAGTGTGACTGAGCAGTGATGGGATAGGGGTCTCAAACATACCAAAGGCCACTGGATGAGGATTATGATATAGCAGTGGTGGCAAACCTATGACACGGGTGCCAGAGGTGGCACTCGGAGCCCTCTCTGTGGGCACACATACCATTACTCCAGCCTTGCCTCTCCCCATGATCCCCTCCTCTCCAGCAGCTCCCCTGAAGGAGAGTCGCCCCTGAGCATGGCCCACATGGAGCAGCGCAGCCAAGGACATGGCAGCCAGACAGCGTAGACAAGCCTCTGCTCTCATACCCCATCATGCAGTTGATGCTGCAGGGCATGGGCAGAGGGTGTGGTCACCATAGTGCTGCAGGGCTGTCTGGACGATCTGCGGTCGGCCCTGGAGGCAGTGAGTGGTCCTGTGGGCAGGCAGGGCGAGGGATGGGGGGCAGGGTGGGGGTGGGGCAGGGGGGTGGAGTGGGACCGGGGCCAGTTTTGGGGCACTCGGTCTCTAAAAGGTTCGCCATCACCGTGATATAGTAATGTCATCTGATGTCTCCCTTTCCCCCCTACTAAATCCTTTTCAAATATATTTGTTCACCATGAAACAAATCAGAAATAGTAAAGAAGGCTCTTCAAGAAAGGACATGAAAGATTTTAGAGGAGAAGGAAGGAGAAAGCTTGGAGTGCAATTTTGGATGGTTGATTGATTAGCAAAAGACCTACATATCTATCAGGGAGCTTTGCCTTTTTCTCCATGAGCTGAATAACAAATTCTTAATCAACCATAGATTTGCTCACCTGAATTCATTCCAGCTACAGGAGTGGTAACACCTTTGACACTGCACAACAACAAAGGAGAAAAGCAAATTAATGACAGGTAAAACCAAAGGAAAAGGAACCATGAAATGCAGGTGATATTGTTACAGGATACTAATGATACCTGCAACTATTAGAAAGACACTGAGAATATTTTCAGGATTATTCTTTTCCCTGAAAAAATAATCAGATTATAGGCACCTTTCATTGTCCCTACAACATTGTACTTTGGCTGTGTAAAGCTGTCCCAGAGTACGCTATTTAGTATCTATATTTATTAAAACACATCTTGATTGTTTAATTATGATGCTTGAATATACTGTGAATTCAAACAACTTGACTTTCTTTCATTGAATTTGGACTAGAACTAACAGCACTACCCAAAGAGATTTAAGCTTTAAGAGAAAATGGAGAGAAAGAAAGAACAAGGACCATTTGTGATACAAGGTTTAAACTTTATTTTGAGCCAGGGCTCAAAAGAGTTTACATTCAAATTTTGGCTTCAGAATTCTTTCTTGTAGGAAAACTGCATTTAAATTAATAATGCATTGTAATCAATAAGGGTCACTGATTAGAATACTTTCTTTTAAGGAGATTTCCTGGGAGCCATCAGTATCCATAATAGAGCTAATGTATCCTGGGCCATTTTTTCTATCCCTACCATCAAAAACCTGCAAAAAAAAAAGGTTTAAAATGCCCACTTGGTGATCCATGACTCAAGAACTAAGGAACAGAGAATGAAGAAGTAAAAGAGGTAGTGACATCATTAAGTAGGAGACAGTTTCTTCTTTTCCTGTGGGTTAAGTGCCTACTATGCAAAACAGCCAAAGAAATGCTCTCTTTCTTCCCAGTAAGAAAATACCATGTCTTGCATTTAAAAAAAATAGGGAAATCTCACACTTCAGCTATCCCCAATTGAGGCCATTCCAGATATGTGGACTTTCAGAATTTCCAGTCAATCTGATCATTCCTGGAGATTCTAAAAGTTGCCCTCCATACCATCTGGATGCTATACACATACCCATCTGGAAAATGGGGGAGAAAAAAAATCTTGACAACAAGAGTTTGAATGAAATAAAATGTTTTGAGTGAGGGAACAGAGTTAAATATCAAGACTAACTAGCAAGAATGAATGGCGAAATATACCATTGTACATATGCTCTTCTAAATTTGTACGATGTGGTTACTTTTGCTTTTTCATACACAAATATAAATCTGGTTCTTTGGCATAGCTATTTTGGGGGAGTTGGGAGATGTAAAACTGCAATATTGTTTAATATCTATACCTTAATCTCAACTCCGATTTTATAAACTTCCTAACCTAACTATTCAACTTAGCAGTTGTGAATATCTCTTGAGGTTGAATCAATTCTGGTGATTTCTTGCTCCAGGGGAAACAAGTCACTAACATGATCTGGTTTGGAATATATATTTGTTGTGTTTGTATTACTCAGTTATATCTTGATCAATGCAACATTTTCCCCCTGAAGTTTTTCAAGTGTTTAGAACATAAAAAGAACATTTCTAGAGATTCAATCTATTGCTATACTGTGAATGAGGCAGAGAGGCCATGGCTGGATTATGAATGAGCAGGATGAATGCTTGCGTGGGAAATGAAAGAATAAATGAGAAAATAAAGGAATAAATAAAAGCGATAGGCAGGGACAGAAGGCTATATTCTACTTTTTTCTACTTTTTGTTTTTTTTAGCCCACTCATCGTTAGATTCATGACCAGCTTACCTAAAGAAACGTGACCCTATCCTTCCTTTAGCAACTCTTATTCCTAACAGATGCCTGACTTTCCTATCTAGTGAGCATTATATTTATAATCTAGATTGCTAGTTTCTTACTGGTTTCTGAAATGAAAGTCACAATAGAGAACTTATTTTGAACATGTACTGTTTATTGGCATGCCATTCACCCTTGACTTGGTTGACAATATATGATATATTATCAATTACTTGTGAAAGTTGTGAAGAGACCAGTTTGGTCTAGTGGGTAAGACACCGGGCTAGAAACCAGGAAACTGTGAGTTCTAGATTCACCTTAGCCATAAAAGCTGGCGTTCTCTCTCTCTCTCTTAGCCTGACCCATCTTGTTGTGGGGAAAATAGGAGGAGAAAAAAGTATTATCTATGTACCTCTCCTTAGTTATTTATAAAAATAATCCAATAAATAAAAATAAAATAAAACTTACCTCACCCTATAGCCAGTTGGTTTGAATCCACAGATCCCACAAAAGCCACATGGCACCCGAATACTTGCAGCCACATCTGTCCCAATGCCAAGCATGGATCCTCCCCCTCCAATGAGAGCTGCTTCCCCTCCACTGGAGCCTCCGGAACTTTTTTTGTGGTTGGAAGGGTTCAAGGTTTGTCCAAAGACTGTATTGCCACAGTCAATACTGTGTAGGAGGGGAAAGGACCCATAAGCACATCTAAGGCATACAGAAGGAATTGACTTTGCTTATGGTGGGGCTAAGACAAGAAATTCTTGTGGAAGGCACTAAAGACATAGTCATTTTACTAGCCTTAGGGTAGAATGGAACTAAACATCTATAAGATTTGGTTTTTTTTCTCTCTTTGTTCTTTGCTTCCCTCGTTCTAACTTTTTACAATATAAAATGCCCAGGAATCAGGCTTTTGTTTTGAAACACCCATGCATAAGAAATAATAGCAACGTTCAAATGCAAATTTCTATTGCCTATGCTAGGTGCAGATTTATCATACTCAATATCAAGTTGAGGAAGGTTTTTCTAACAGCTGAGCCATACATATCTAGAGTGAAACCCAGGGCTTTCTGATAATTAAGTGACCAATTTCATTGATTAACAAAATTTTTGCCACTATAGTGGAACACAGCCATACAGATTGAGTTAGACATTACAAATGATAATTTAAAGAAGCAGTCCAGTCTATATGGGGTTTGGGATGCTGATTTTGCTGTCATATGTCTCATGAAAGGCAGCCTCCTCTTCATGTACTTTCATGCTGGGTGAATATTCTGAGAGCTGCTATTTAAGACATGATGGAGGGAGCCAGAATGGAGAAAAATGAATTAAAACACGGTTTCTCCTTCTTCAGGAAGATAAAAACTGTTTTAAGGATACCCAATGGAATATAGCTAAAATCTAGCAATCTTTCTTTTCCCTGGCAAAAAAAATTACACTGTTCAGAAAAGGCTACTTTCTAAATTTGACTATAGGATATTATTAAAGTAATGAGCCTGTTTTAACAGATTAGAATCCGTTGTTGCTTTTAAGAACTACGCCTGCCCCCCAAAGTGAGCAAAGGCTTACTTTAATATGGCTTGTGACGTGTTGGTCTTTACAAATGGAATTGCCCCTTGTTTCTTGAGAACTTTGACTATTACAGAGTCATCATGCTCAGGACAGTCCAGAAATTTCACCAAGCCAAGTGAATTGGGGTGTCCCTTAAAAAAAAAAAAGAAAAATAAACCAAATGAGGAGGTTTAGAATGAAAAAGCGGAGCGAGAAAATGTGAAGAACAACATACTCCAAATCAATAGTAAATGCTATCAAATATCACTTTGATAAAAAGTCTACCATATCTGGGCTGGATGACCTCCTGATGGAAACAGTAAATTAGAACTTTATGTTTTTTTGTTTGTTTATTTATGTGATCTAGCTATCGTCTGGATTTTTGGAACCCAGACATGGTAGCTCTAGCATTCTTCCTTTCCTCTAGGCACAGCATGAACATACCATAAAAACAGTTTCTGTTCCCCTGCTATATTCTCATGACACAGTCGTGTGAAAAAAAATGTCATAAGTCACTTTTTCCAGTGCTGTTGTAACTTCAGATGGTCACTAAATGAACTGTTGTAAGTTGAAGACCACCTATAGTGTCTTCTGTTCAGATCCAAAACAGCTTAAAGACATCTTTAGCTGTTCCAGGTTTTTTTCTGTCTCTTTCCAACATTTTTTGGAATGTTGAATGCTTTGTTGACCATTAGGAAATTAACTTGTTCAGGAGTATGGAGTTCCGATGCGGCTTTTCATGAAAAAGACCATCTTTTAGACATGGATTTAGTGCCCTTTTGAAAGAGTGTTAGTCCTGTGCTACACAGAAAATCAATTTAACTAGGACAGGTAGCAGGTTCTGCCAACTGTGTGTTATTTTCCTACCAACTTGGTGAGAAGGGAAATGAAGCCAGGAGATTCCACCAAGGAGATGCTCCCTCAACCGTAATGTCTCTCCATTAAAAGACAATAGCAGAAGTGGCTGAGAGCCTTGATATATAATTGTAACCATGGAAGTTATTATTATGGAATCAATCCGAGGGATGGAAATAAGAACCTGGCGAATGGACTGCAAACAAAACTGACAAGCTCACCAAGGTACTATCCCCCCCCCCCCCCCGGACCTCTGGCAGTCTACTAAAAGTTCTGATTTTCAGCATGAAAATCTAAAGTAGATTTTTAAGGTGTATTTGGTCCAAACATTTTTTCAAGGCTCCTGGAATCAGGAATATTGATCAGACCAGTGTTTCTCAAACTTGACAACTTGAAGCTATGTGAACTTCAACTCCCAGAATTTCAGTCAGCTTTGCTGGCTGGGATACCCTGAGAGTTGAAATCCACACACCTTCAAGTTGCCAAAGCTGAGAAACATTGCATCAGACAATCTTTGCAGATCATAAGATTTCTGCAAGCACATTTAGCTTAAGGTGCTTACAGAACTCCTGCCAACTCTTGTGCTGAATGCATCAAGATGGAGAAAGGAACTGGGTATGCTGAGATGCTGAGGGGTGGGCTTAATTTGCTAATTTTCCCCGTCCAACTTTGCCAAACTCATCTGAAGGCATAGAACTTAAGCTCCTGAAACATCGCCCTCACCCACTCAATTGGTGATGAATAATTTCCAAGAGTACCTTGCAAGCAATGTTTTCCTTGATGCTGACAGGGACACCATAGAGTAACCCCTTCTCTCTCTTTTTAATTTCTCGGAGCTGTTCTTCACACTCTGGGAGAAAGTCTGTCACACAGTTGATTTCCCGGGTTACTGCTAAAGCCTTGATGCAAAAAGAAGAAAAGCAGAAGAAGGAGGTGATCCAAGAACCAATTTGATCGTTTTTTAGCTGTTCAGAAAAGGAATTCTATGGAAAATGGGCCTTTCCCCCCCTGGCTATACTTTGATACAAGGCATACAAATTAAATAAGGACTGGGCAACATACGGTTGGCAAGCTGCACAATACATTTAACTCACCTTCATAATCCTGGTTTTGTTTTTTGTTTTTTGACAGACAAACAAAACATCAAAACCTGAGTTACTTTATTTGGGCTGTGAAGTGTAGAAAACGGTGGCATGAAAACAGCTGCATATATTTTATTTTAGGTTTGTGGGAAGCCACCCCCCCCCCAGAGAAGGAAATATTAAAAAGGCAAAATATTTCCTCAAAGGATCTTAAAAAGACAGAAAAGCATGCCCAGTTTTTTTTAATAGCCCCAAGTCTCCCTACCCCAAGCAGAAACCAGTTCTGTAGAAATGCAGAAATGCAGTTCTGTAGAAATGCACTTCCATTCAGGAAGATTGGAGCCAGGAAGCTAGAGCTGATGGGATTAAAAAAAAACAAAGATCCCTAGAATCAACACCCCCCCCCCAAAAAAATCCAACACAGGACATAGGCATCAGCCACAGGTCCAGGGAAGCAGGATATGACCTTTAGGACATAATAGGATTAACCCACCACCATCAGAATACCAGAAAGGCACACTCAGGTCAAAGTACACGTCACAGGAAGTACAAAGCCTCAAACGGGAACAGGAAATAACCTTAAGAGCTCCAGAAGGTATAAAACCACACCACTCCCAGCAACATGTGGTCAGTTTTCCCAGAGCCACATTGCTATCTGGCTCTGCCCTTCAGTAAACTACAATCTTCTTTCTAAAGCAATCTCCATTTGTTTATTCCCAGATTGGACTGGCCCCTGATGAAGATGTTTTATTCAACAATTTGGCACCCCAGATGGGACTCCAAGCTAACCTCTCCAATGGACTTTAACTGGTAAGCCTCACCTTGCCGGCAGCAGACCCCTTATGTCTGTGGATGAGTTTCGCAGGCCCTGCCCATGTGGAGTGAGGGTAGTAAAGGAAGTTTTGAGTTTGAATTCAAGGGCTGCTTTGGAAAGAAGGCGAGTACTTCTAAATTTTAACTTTAAAGCCCAGGGGAGCGAGGAAAATGTGTATATGTCTGTGGGCCCCAATCCCAGTTGGATTTTGCTCCCTCTGGCCTTACCTAACTGCAGAAAGGATCTGTTCAAGTAACAGACTCTGGAAAGCCTGGGGGTTGGGCCAGAGTGCAGGACCTTTTGTTAGTAAGGTGACCAACCATCCTCCTTTAGGGAGGACAGTCCTCCTTTTGTAAGTTCTGTCCTCCCCTCAAAAAGTGTCCTCCTTCATGTCCTCTTTTTCGATATTTGAAGACTAATCTGCAGGGCTTTTTTTCCCCCTCATAGAACGCTCAGAATGGCGTTCCGGCACCTTTTTTGATGGTTTTTTTCCCAACTTTTGCGTGAACTGGGCTACTCCCACTATTGGCTTTCGAAAGCCATTAGGAATTGCTGCTGAGCCCGCCAAAACAGCCAGCTGGCAAACTTTGCACATGCAAGTTATCTATATTATTGTTGCAATGAAAAAAATGTTTCTTTAATTTACAATATTTTTTTCTTCAATGTATTTGTGTCCTCCTTTTCCTTGTAAAAAAGTTGGTCACCTTATTGTTAGGGAAAAGGGAAAGGCTGTGTGAAAATGGAATGGAATGAGTGAATGAGAGTCGAACCTGGGTAACTGGCTGAAACCACTGGTCAAAGTTCCACTCTTCTAAGAGGGACACACATACTCTGCGAAAAAGTTAATGCAACAACCCCAGCCAAAAAGGCTCCCCAGAACTTATGTTTTGCAACTTCCCTCACAATAACTTTGTCCCAACAAGTTTTTTTCTGTGCTTTCCTTCCTGAAATGAAGGAGGAAAGAGGCTCAGCAGGCCCAGGATAGAGGATCACTACCTGACAAAGCAGGAAAAAAAAAAAATAAGGAAGAGAAAAAAAAACCCCAATACTGTTGAAAAGAAGAATAGACACAGCAACCAGAATATAAGAATAGCTAAAGCAGTGTTTTTCAATTTCAGCAGCATTTAAGATATAATAGTAGTAAAGTTGGAAGGGACCTTGGAGGTCATCTAGTCCAACCCCCTGCTCAGGCAGGAAACCCTACACCATTTCGGACAAATGGCTGTCCAGTCTCTTCTTAAAACTTCCAGTGTTGGAGCATTTACTGCTTCTGGAGGCAGGCTGTTCCACTGATTAATTGTTCTCACTGTCAGGAAGTTTCTCCTTAGTTCTAGGTTGCTTCTCTCCTTGATTAGTTTCCACCCGTTGCTTCTTGTCCTGCCTTCAGGTGCTTTGGAAAATAGCTTAATTCCCTCTTCTTTATGGCAGCCCCTGAGATATTGGAATACTGCTATCATGTCCCCCCTTGTCCTTCTCTTCGTTAAACTAGACATACCCAATTCTAGCAACCGTTCCTTATGTGTTTTAGCCTCCAGTCCCCTAATCATCTTTGTTGCTCTTCTCTGTACTCTTTTTAGAGTCTCAACATCTTTTTTACATCATGGTGACCAAAAATATGTGGACTTCAACTCCCAGAATTCCCCAGGCAGCCATTTTTTGTCTAACATAGTCTAACCTGGCTCTGCTGCCAAGTTTAGTTTTGGGTGCTGCACATATTTAATTTTTTCTTTCTGTTTTTATCTCAACTTTTTATATATCATTTTTGTCATAGATGTATCCATTTATATCCTATGTTTATGTCTTTGTGTATTGCCCAGAATAATCAATATGCTAGGTAATACTGTATAAGTACAATAAGTAAATTCCCAGCATCCAATACACTCAAGTGTCTTTTTGGTGCACATATGCCAATACTTTTCACCTGCCAAGCAGACACCTGCATTCATTCAGTCCTTGATCATCTCTCTAGAAGTCTCAAAGTCACACTGTTCCAAAAATGGAAATCCCTTGTAACTTAGCGGTTAGGAGTTGTAATAAATCTTCCACAGCTGAAAATAACTCCATGGATCACATAAATCAAAGGCCCAGGGCCCTAGATCAGGGAGCTAGGAAAAGGATAACAGTTCCTCTTAACTCTTGAACTGCTGAATGAAATTTGCTTAATTGGGGCAGGTTGTACAACTGGAGAGGGATTTGAAGCTGAATTGGACTGAGCTTCATTTATAATGTCTGGGTAGGAGTGTGAACAAACAAATGTATATGTAAAATCAGTGCTTTTTTTTGTAAAAAAAAAAAAAAGGTGCCAGAACTCACACACGTCATACAACCCACCTTGCCTACCCTACAAGGTTCTATCCAAAAAAGGTGCCGGAACTCCATTCTGGGCATTCTATGACAAAAAAAGCCCTGTGTAGAATATTGGGGAAATGAATTTAGCATTGTAACCTATTAGCTTAGCCAGCTTTCCCTCAGTACATGTAAATTAAATAAACTGGCTTCTGCATCATCTCCCTGAGTACCATAAAGCCCATGCTATCTTGAGTACCACAGTATCCATGTTCTCTTGACTGCTTCAGTTTCAGGGTCCCAATGCTTTTGAGGATTCTGTTTCCATGGAGACTCATCTCTGGAGAGTTATGCTGTTTTGGTGATAGAAGGTTTTACACAATATGAAAATAGGTTGAGGGTCAGGCATGGGTTTACAAAAGCCAAGAGCACCAGGCTTCCTGTTCCTCAACAGTTTTCCTGGGGAACTGAAGATGCCACCTGCCCCCTCCTGCAAAGGTCAAAGTAAGCCCTCAAAGTTTCCTGTGTAGGTTAAATCCCAGAATTGACTAAAAGACTTGGCTTGATTAAATCCCTCCCTTTCTCCTAGCAAGACAAAAGAATAACAAAATAAATAAGAAATAAATAATAACAAATAATAATAAATAATAAAAGAATAATCTTCTGTTCATCATATATTCCTTTTGGATCTATTAAAGCATCATTACAGCAATCAGCTTCTAGTTATCGCCCACTAGTTCAGATGACAGAATCAGGGAAAGGTACAGAGTTTGAAGGGATTTTAAATTTTTAGCTTATGCCCAAATCGGTTAACAATATTTATGGTGTGAGATGGTTTATATTGCACAAAGGATTTTGATGTTTGTAAGATAGAAGAGCGGGTGTTGTATAAACAATGCATATCCATATTGGAATTTAACATTTAAGGTCACCTTTACCTTTTCAATATGGGTATATAGAACACTTTCTGGAGACAAGGTGCCATCCTTTAACTTTGCAGCTAGTTCCACAAGAGAAAGAGATAGGATTGGAGCAGCCTTTATTCCTGGATTCTACAGCAAAGAAGAAACATATTGCTGACACATTATTGCAAAATGGGCACCTGTTAGACCAGTGATTGCTAAACTACATTGTGTGGATTATTAATGATGCATGGAGGTTCACCAGCTGGCCCATTGCCCACATTCTCCAGCCATAATCCCCACATTCCCTACCCATAATCCCCACCTTCACTGCCAATCAACTGGCCAGCCTTGTTCAAACTTTTGGGTGCACTGCAAGTTAGCTGGCCTGTAAAAATGGTTCAGTGGCTGTAAACTGGTTTGCTGGAGCATAAAAGTAGCAAAGTAAATGCTAAAATTTGTAAAATGTGCAAGAGTGAGCAGTTGTTATTAGGGCATAGAGTATATTAAAAAGGGAAGCAGTAAAAAGATAGTCAATTTTGATTTCCCTACCAAATGTGTTTTAAAAATATTTTAAAATGGAGGAAATGGGAAGGCACATAAAATTGCCACAATAATGATTACCTTATTTGCTGAAAAATGTAAACTCTTGCCCTCTTAAAAATAAAAAATGTAGGAGGAGAATATTTAATTGGATGGTCCCCAAATTTCCTAAATGTTTATTTTGTGGTCCTCAATAGCAGAGAATTGAAGAAACACTTTGTTCAATCATTTGTTTGTTTATTCAATCTATCTATTTTGAGGCTAACTTCAGCATCATTGGGCAGCTTAAAATTAAAAAAAAAATAGCTTCAAACAAATATGTTTTAAATCAGGATATTTCACCATGGATTAATGTGCAAATTTGCACCATTTAGCTAAAAATCCCTCTAGCTCAGCGGTTCTCAACGTTTGTGTGACGGCGACCCCCGTCACACAAACGTTATGCGCATGTGTGGCACCGCCCCCGGAGGGGAGAAAATGGCGGATCGCCACCTTTGGCGACCCCCCAAAAATGGTCGATCGACCCCAAATGGGGTCGCAACCCATAGGTTGAGAACCGCTGCTCTAGCCCTACCAAAGGAACACTTTGTGTTGCTTTTATTTATTTAAGAACAGCCTTAAATTTAATTCTTCACATGAAATTATGGAGGAAATTAGCAACAACATCCATTGATCCTCATTTTCTCTGATTCATAACTCTATTACATTAAAATACTACAATGCAGATAGAGGCTGTTGTAATGATGATTTAATCACCTTCCTCCTTATCTTCAGAGGAGTCAAACAGAACTATATTCTTACCCCTTTATTATTCAACTTCTATATAAATGATGTCATTTATACAGAAATAAATAACTGTTTGATCACGGCATTGAACCTTTTTTGAAAAGTAATAGATCCTTAATGGTAAGTAAGATGACAAAGGAAGATAAAAATCTTCATTTTGATATTCCAGTTTATTACTTTTTAGCAAAACTTCATTTAAGGTTTTTTTTTCCCCTTTCCTTCAATTATGTTCAGTTCTCAGAGACTATCAGGACAAGTTCCTGCAGTTTTATTGGCAAGATTTTCAGGTTTTTTTTCCGCTTTCCTTCAATTATGTTCAGTTCTCAGAGACTATCAGGACAAGTTCCTGCAGTTTTATTGGCAAGGTTTTTCAGGAGTAGTTTGCCAGTGCCTCTTTCTCAGAAAGCGACTGGCCAAGGTCACCCCAACTGGCTTTCTGCCTAAGGTGGGAGTAGAGTAGAACTCATGGTTTCCAGCCTGGTGCCTTAACCACTAACCCAATCTAGCTGTCATCGGTTATGATAGTATTTCAATACATTAATGAATTATGTGCAGACAGTGTCATAAAGAGAAGTTTTTAAACAGTTTTGTTTCATAACTAATTATTCATCTCGACACAGCAAGGCATAGATCTGGTTTTGCCTCCATTAGATCTCTGGTTTCAGCACTTCGCTTCTCCTGCCAAAAAAACGAGGTCAAGGGAAGGAAGGTTGGGAGAAGTATTTATACATTTCAGCGATTGCTGTTCCCAGTCTATTTAAAAGGCAGCCCCAAGCAGTTTGCCTTTCTTTGTTTCTTGTACAGTGCATGCCCCCCCCACTCAACCATTCATTTTATTTTATGATAGGGTAATACATACAACACTGACAGTGCTTTTGTCCCGCTTTTGTTATCAGTGTCGATACTTGGGGCTTTGGACTGAATCCATAGTGGGTATAAGACAGATAGGAAAGATCTGCTAAGAGTTTGGAAAGGGGTCCCTGGGAAGGGGCCAAGGCAAGAGGTCATCTCACAACACAAACCTAGGTTAAAAGTTACTATTCTCCCACCTAAAGATGGCAGGAAAGCAAACGATCTGTTCATAAGAAAGTGCGCTTTCACCTTTTCATATTCCGTAGTTCCCCGGTTGGAATGGCATGTGAGAATGACCTTGGGGGATAGGAAGAAGGGCTTTTCAGCACTGGAGGTTTTTAAGAAGAGATTGGACAACCATTTGTCTGAAATGGTATAGGGTTTCCTGCCTGAACAGGGAGTTGGACTGGAAGACCTCCAAGGTCCCTGTTATTCTTTTACTCTATTATTTTTCATACTTGCAAGATTGTTATCAGCCTTACAAGGTTGTTCAGGCATGAAGCACACTTAGAAGTACCAGCTCTAATTGTACTATAAGGTTACATTAACAGGATCTTGCAAGTGTGAAAGTACACCACTTCCCCTTCATCTTTACAATTCAAGAAACTAGGGAAAGTTCCTTCTGAGATGTTTGCCACCCCCCCCCCAATCCTTCTGTGGGCTCATCTGCCTCTTATTAGACCATTGCCTAGTTTGGGATTCTTCCCTCTGTCTCCCAAGGCACATTCTGTCTCCCACATACCATTACACCAACTGGGCTTCACTGGCAATGCACAGCATTGGAATCCAGGCACAATGCTACAGCAAACCTTGTTTTCTACAACCAGTTAAGCTGCAGCCCACATAGTCTCACTTTTATGAAAGTAAAAAGCGTCTTGTACCCCATTGTTAGTCTTTCATTTTCTGTTTTCTCTCCACGTTGCATGTAATCTTATCAGGTTCCATTCTTAGAGCCTCCAATTAGGATTCCCGCCCCCCAACAACTATCAATAGCTCTGTGTGATATAAATATCTTGATACAGAGAATTCTTGTTTATACTGAAGAGAGCAGGAGTTATTTCTGAACTAGGGATAGTTCTTCCTGAATTCTATGTTATATTGCAGGATGAAGGCTACTTAACATGCTATACTGGATCTCTCTCTCCCCCTCTCCCTCCCCCCCCTTCTCTCTCTTCACACACACACACACAAACACACACTTTTGTACAAGAAGAAAGACAAGAGGCTTGTTCTTCGTACCTAGGCATTCTGACCTCAGCATAATCCTGGCATATGCCAATGTTCACTAGGCAAATGCTAAGCTCAAATATCCACTGGTTTTATGATTTGATGATTTGTTACCATCCTGCTGAAAAGTAGGCAGCGACAGCTGCATTAGGGGTGCAGCTTAAATGCAAGAAGAGAAGGCAAAAGAAATCTTATGCTTCCGCCGCCCCCCCTCATGACACAAAGTATGTGTGAACATTAAGAGCCTCTTAATGTTAAATAGGAAACACAGAGCAACAGGAACCTTCAAAACTAAGTTTAACCAAAAGATATGGAGAAGAAATTATTTATAGCACTGTACAAAATTTGCAGCAAACCAGTACTTTCAAAGATCAAAATAATTACTTTAAATATGAAATAGATCTTGGCAAGCAAGGTACCGTATCACCACTATATAGTATATACATATTTATTTGCTTAAGCAAGGCAGAAGCCATAATGCAGAGAACATGGGTCAGTGAGATATTTTGCATGTAGTTGTTTTCTAAAATTAGGAAAAAGAAGGAAATCTTATTCTTTTTTTAAAAAAAATGCTGTAATACCTGCTGTTTAAACTGCCTTGCTGCCTTCTCCATTCGCTGAAACCCAAGTTCTCGCTTGGTCTTAAATTCATCAAGTTTCTTCTGGACCCGTCGCTGGTTCATCCATTTGAACATCAGAATAGCAGCAGCTGAGCCACAAAGCAAGCCTGAGACAAGGCGCCTGTCAACCTCAGTCTCTGGAAAGAGCTCCTTAACTTTCTCTAGAGCCATAGTGTGAGATTTTCTCTCCGTTCAGAATCAGGAAAAGCTGCTAAGACTGTGTTCCCTTGAGCTAATGGAAAAGACAGAGAAGAGAAGTGGGTGGTGATTCTTAAGCCCACCCAGATGCTGTCAAGTCGAAGCAACTGACAGATAGAAGCCTGTCTAATAAGGAATTAAGAACTTCCAGAAAAGTATCCCTATAGAAGAATCTTTCAAGTGACAATTGTTGACTTAGCCATCACAACATTCCGATGTACTATACAACACGTCACTTTAGAAATATAAGATGACCCACTTGTTCCATTCTGAATTCCACCAAATGTTACTGCTTGCATCCATCCCTAGAGAATAGAAAGAAGAAACCCACCCAGATGCTATGGAATTTGGTTTTCTTTTGTGATCTTCTGGTCTAGATATGTTTTCATAGACTAGATATTGCTAATGGCAAAGGATAGACCTATGCAGAAGATCCAACAATAAAAAATTCTACCATGAACTTTGGGCCTCTTTCATTTCTAAGATATAGCTGTGATATTATTTCTCTTTAACAGACTTGCTTCTCTGTGCTCTTTCTATAGTGACTATTCCACTGCATAAACACTCTTATTTTCTATGGGATGGCATACCAGTATTTCAAATCTGAATGTATAAAAAGTATCTAAAAAAACAAGGTCATGATGGTTGTTTGAGGGGTACACACACACACACACACACACACACACACAATGTGACCAACTATGCAGTCATCAGGATGATCAGGCAACTAGAATATTTTTTAGTCCTTTTGTTGTTGTTGTTAGTTGCGAAGTCGTGTCTGACCCATCGCGACCCCATGAACAACGTTCCTCCAGGCCTTCCTGTCCTCTACCATCTTCTGGAGTCCATTTAAGGTTGCTTTGTTGCAAATGCCCATGTTCTTTCTTCAGTTTGCCTTTCTGGGCATCTCGCTTCTGCAAGAACTTGGAAACAGCCAGGGTGTAAGGACCCACCCCACTTTGCATCTTAAGAAGACAGAACTCTTGGAATAATTCTTCCAACAGGAATCCTTTATTAAGAGAAAATGGTTGCAGGCATGCTAGACAGGACTTGGGGTCCAAGCTCTCCCATTCAAGGTTTTAAGGGGTTCCCCAGTAGTCCCACCCAATCAACCCCCCTTCCAGTGATAGTTTCAAGTATCACAATTCCACCCCGTTTCTTCTTTCTTCCGTCTGGATGGAGACTTCAGATAACTACATGAAAGGCAAATACTCTTCTTTGTTAATGCTAATGTTCTCTGGATGCTAACGCTTTGAGGTTACAATAGGTTACAATAAACACACATTCAGCATTCAGCTCTTTGAAGTCTACTGAAGGAAGTGAGGGCCATAAAGCCCCTTTGTTCTCCCCCTTCTCTCCCTCTTATGGCAGAATCCAAAGAAGGCAGAATTGGGAGTTTCTATATTTGATAATTAAAGATGAAATATGATTGGATTCTGACACAGGGTACTTATGGCTCTTAATCTCAATCCACTTCATCCAAATCCACTTTGAGTTTTATTTTCACCACCCTTCATTCCAATTCCAATTGTCACGTTTCCAGCTTTGTTTGATGATTTCACCCACTTCCCTCAAAAAAGGAAATGTTTATTTCTTTTAAATCTTAGACCTTCTTAGGTTTCTTAGACCTTCTCCATATATCAGGTTGTAATGTCTTTCGTAAAAAAAATGTAAAGCATTTCTACTTGCTAGAAATAATCCCAATTAAAGTTAGTGGGACATCCAAATAGGCATATGAAGGATTGCACCATCAGTTTAATACTAGCTTTGCTTTTTTTCTCTTTTTTTTTTAAAGAAAGGAAAATGAAGAAGTGGTGTGGCTGAGAAAGCTGGAATTAAGATCCAAATTTATTTCTTTTCAAGGAGAAATAACCAGATATGAAGAAAAATAGTTTTGTCTTTCTGTTTGCTACACTGCATCTAGTTGGAGGCCATTACAGCAAAAGCATGCAGAAGGGAGACTATTGAAAAAAACACACACCATGGGTGTGACTACCAATCTGGTAGTCACACCCATGTCATCAAAGCCCATATTTGGGGGGGGGGGTGTCATGCATAGGATATGCTAAAGAGACACATGACTTTTTTTATCTCTCCTGCATGCCCCACATTACAGGAAATGTGCAATCTCATGTAATGTCAGAAGTAATACATCAAATGTAAATCCTTTTGTATATGTGTGGCTTTTTTCCACAAGACAATCATAGTTTAGATTTACTTTTGGGCACAGATCTGTAACACTGGAAACAGTTCCAGTTACTGGATATGTTTTTTTTTTTTCTTCTGAAGCTATTCAAGACTGCACATTTTAAAAGATGAATTATTTGCATTAAAAAAAAAAAGTAATAGTTGACCCTGCCTGCAGGATTACAATCTGCTAAACCAGAACAAAATTCTTGGCTACAGAGCCAGCTCTCCTCAAGTCAAAGCAGTTTAACAGGCTACATTTTTACTGACCAATGAATATTCCTACATTTGTTCCTCCTATAAATGCTAGCAATAATAGAATGAAAAAAATATTGAAGAAATGCCACAAAACAGATTTGAAAAATTCTGGAAGAATTTGTGAAAAGATTTAAGTAGTTTTTCTTTGAGTAGACTACTTTTAGTTTTTGTGTTCTGGCAAATGAATCCAAAAGTAAATGAAAATACTTAAGAAGCACTTGCTATTTTTTTTAATACTAATTCTGTAGCATTTACATTTAAAGACAAAAGGATGTCAGTATTTTTACCTTTCTATCCATGTGGTTTTAGAAAATGGGTGCCTTATTGGAAAAGCTAAAAGACCAGGTTAAAGACAAATTATTCTAGAGAAAATATATTCTATGTGATTCCAAAGAGTTGATATTGACAGTTATTTGTTTACACATTTTTGCTATTTGTTGTGGATTTATGATAACTTTCCCAGAAGGGGAAAAAAATTCCGTAAGGAGGCTCATTATTCCTCTTTAGTTCTGCATTGTAGTGTTTGTTAGCAATTATACTGAAGATAAAATTTGTTTCTGCTTCCAAGTCAGTATTCAAAAGGCTCCATCATGCATTTTTCTTCTAATCTCAGTTTTGAACATTTCAATTTCAGATTCTTATTCACAACAGAAAAGTGATCCTGGGAGAATGATACCGGAGATAAACAAAAGGATCTATTTAAGAAATTATACATGGATAAATAAAGGTTGAAATTGCTGCTATGTACCTCAACAACCATATTTCATGTTGTGAATTCATTATTCCTCTTATTAGGAAGAATACCACCAACTGCCTACATTCCTTTCCCCACCCTGGAATTGAGATTACATTACATAAGCTATTTTTCATCTTCCCTATCTTGTTGCTTTCAAACTCCCACTCCTAAATTCTTCTCTCTCCATTAAATAAATTCCATGTCCCATATCACCTATTCTCAAACCCAAAGTGAAATTTAATTCACTTCCATCTCTGCTTGGTTGAGAGATCCTGCAGGTTCCAACACAGATAAAACTCTTTTCCATGTTAGAGGGTTCTTTAACCATCCATATCTTGGGAACTTTGAAAAACTACTGTGACTATCAACCAAAGTAGTACATGTATATAGAACCAAAATAACCCTTATAAAAATAATATGAAAAAGCAGAATTTTTAGAATGTCAAGCACAAGCCTCCAATTGTTTTGAAGGGTTAAAGATACCTCTTACAAATCTGTGGCGCTTTTTGTTTATTCTGCATGAAATTGCTGTTTAGAGGTCGATATGTCTTGCTACTGGAGGAAGCTTTCTCTTCCTGGGGAGTTATTATACCTACCCTATTTGGTCATTTTTCATCATAGGCAGTATGTAGCAGTAAGAATATTTGACATTGACATTGAAAAATGAATGTATACATATTTGACTTTGCGATTCACTTCATGTTCCATGCAAAACATTCCTTCAAAATGCTGTGAAACAGTGGCATGACTGCAACACTTGGCTGGGGGAAGTAGAGCTCTGTGTGAATGGCTTTTTAAAAAAATACTAAATTGAATCACTATTATTAGCAGTGATGCAACCTTCTCCAATTTGTCACCTTCTAAGCATGTTAGAAGTGCAATTCTCAGAATTCCCAGGTTGTGATCCCAATACACCTGGAGGATGCCAAATTGGGAAAACTTGTTTATATTACAAGGGCTACCCATTCTAGTTTGATATACTTTTTCCTCTGATTTACTGGCCTGAATGAAAGCCAGTATCCAAATGCTAAAAAGAGAAAGAGGGGAAAAGATAACCTGATACTGTAAAGATACTACATTTCTCTAGAACCACATATAGGAAGCCAAACATACCAACTGCCAATACCAATTTTGTTTGTTTTCATTATGTCATTCCATATATATTGTATAACAAAGTTGGAAAGGACCTGGGAGGTCTTCTAGTCCAAACTCCTGCTCAAGCAGTAAACCCTATACCAGGCATGTCAAACTCGTGACGTCACGTGATGTCACGCAATGTATCGGGCCGGTTTGCCATTGCCGGCAAAGGGATGGGCGCGGCTTCCACGTGACGCGTCCGGCCTATGGGCTGGCAGTTTGACACCCCTGCTCTATATCATTCGGGACAAATGGTTGTCCAATGTCATCTTAAAAGCCTCCATTGATGGAGCATATACAACTTCTGGAGACAAGCCATTACACTGATTAATTGGTCTCACTGTCAGGAAATTTCTCCTTAGTTCTACATTGGATCTCTCCTTGGTAAGTTTCCACCCATTGCTCCCTCAGGAAATAGTTTGTCCCCCTCTTCTCTGTGATAGCCCCTTAAATATTGGAAGTCTGCTTTTCACAGATTGTACCACTTTTAGGACATGACAATATTTGAGTACCACCAGTGCTTAGCAAGGTGTCAAAAACTTGATGACTAAAAAAAGGGGGGTTACTGATTAGATTCATTTGTTGTTATAGAAATGGCTAGTTTATAATATTATGAAAAAGTAAAAAGTTGAGGTTCAATGTTAATGCTTTATTCTACAGAGGAAGTAGAGGAAGTCTGTTCTTTTTCCCTTCTCCCCCTCACTTCCCCCCCTTTTTCCTCCCCACTGTATCCTACTATTTGCTTTTGTATTTTTGTATTTTATTCTATAATCTAATAAAATATTACAAACTGTAGGGAAAAAGTAAAGAAGTACTGGTTTTAATTTCTTCGGTGGTTGTTCTTTTGCTGAATCTATTTCCCTTTGCACTGACAAATGTATGATGAATTTATCCATGTTTATTAATATGAACTACTACCAGCTTGCTCTGGCACTTTTAAGACTTGTGGACTTCAACTCCCAAAATTCCTCAGCCGGCTGGTTGAGGAATTCTGGGAGTTGAAGTCCATAGATCTTAAAGTTGCTAAGTTTATAGACCCCTGAGCTAGCTGGTTGGCCCTTCTTCCTCTTTCCCTCTCCTCTTTTTCCTCCCTGCCTCTAAGCTCTCCTTCCACAGTGTAGTAAGAATGCACATACACCCCGTCCCTTCCTTGTATTCTTAAAGACACAGGAATCAAGTGCAAAGCAAGAAAGGCTCACAAAAGCCTCCCAGAATAAAGAAACACTAAACTCCGGGATTCTTTTTCCCTTTAAGCTGCCTCAGGCATGTCTCAGTTTAAACAATATAGCAAAGGCTGGGCAATTGCAAAAAGCAATAACCTTAAATTAAGCCTGTTTACCTACAAAGAAAACTTGCTAAAAGCCATAGATAGAATCAAGATAAGGGGGTAAAACTAATTACATTTGTTTAAAGGAATTAAATCTATGGAAGCCAATACTTTGGACTCATTGCTAGCCTTTGTGAAACAGACTAAAATATTCCAATAACCAAAGCACACAAACCAAATCTCTGAATTACAAAACACTGTAAAAACTGTATAAAAATCCTTATGGTAATCCATTCAAGTTGCCAGCTGACCAGGAACCCACTGGCTTCCGAAAGAAACCCACCTCCTTTCCGACATGCTCGTCTCTCGGCTTTTCATTTCTTCAGTGCTGATTGCATTCTCCTGGTTGGAGAAAACAAACCAGGGGACCTTTTCTTCCAGCAACAGCTGCTGCTTCTTCCCTCTCTCTTTTTCTTCCCTGCCTGCTGAGCTCTCTTTCCACAGCTTCTTGTCCATCCCCTTCTCTTTCCCTGTTGTCTTTTCTTTCTCCTTTCCCACCAAAACCACCTCCTTTTATATCCTCTCCTTTCCTCCCCCCCACTTTTTCTCCAGTTGATCTCCAGCTCTTCTGGAAGCACCAATCAGCTGGAGCCAATCAGCTGAGCCCTGTCAGAGCTCCTGGGGCTTCTGCCGAGCCCACAGTCCTGCAGCTCCAGCTGTCTCTCCCTCAGGCTTGGGTCGCTTCTGCTCATTACCCTCCCTCACTACACTTCTCTAGGATGGTCATGTACCACCTGCCATGTACCAAAATACCACAGGTGGTATGCATACCACCGGTTGAAAAGCCCTCCATTAGACCACATTGTTTCCCAGCAATTTAATATATTCCTTAGAAGTAGAGATGAGTAATAAGTGCATTTATTTTTGAATAATGTACAAAGTGACTGAGGGCTCACTCCCAACATTAGTTAATCTTTAAAAAATCTTGCATGCTTACAGCAACACTAGCTTTTCTACAAATAGAGAGACATTTCTCTTTTTCAGAATTTTCTGGAAGAACCACATAACTATAAAACATTGCATGATCATATCAGCCTTATTCAGTTGATATGCTGTATTTGGTATATAAAATCTGACATAAAAGTGAGCAATCTGTCCCCTCAGAAATTCCAAAATTACCATGAATAGGCAATTCTCCTGAGATACAATTCTCCTGAGAAATTGCATTTAGTGGGGAGCTTTCAAATTCATGTCTCCACATGAGCTGAAATCTAGTAACTGGTAACTTCATGTGAGTTACCTCACATAAAAGCATTTACATGTGCGCAGTGATTCCATGCTCTAGACCAGACATGTCAAACACAAGGCCCGGGGGCCGGATGTGGCCCACAAAGTGGTTTCATGTGGCCCGTGAAGCCATCCTGGAAACAGTGAGAGAAAATGACACCCACTGCCTTGGCCCTGGCCCAGGCCAGCTGGGAACCAATGTACAATTTTGTGGTGGCCATCTTGGCACTTGCCCTGGTGGACCATGCCTTGGCACTTGCCCCGGTTCCACCCCCTTCTGCCAGAGACCCTCAGATCTGTCCCACTCCTGCCCAGGCACCTACAGGCACCCTTGACACGAATGATGTAGAACTGGCCACACCCACCCAGTAGGCCACACCCTCTCCATCCATGCATACCTAGTAAGCTGCACCCACTCTGGCCACATCCACCCCCCCCCAAGGGCAACCGCAATGTTGATGCAGCCCTCAGTGAAATTGAGTTTGACAACCCTGCTCTATTTGTGAAGAGTGCCTCTCCTGGGAACTCAGCAGTATGACTTGAAGGGAAGAGTTGCACATGGCTTCTCATGCATTCAGTTCTATATTGCCAGGATAGGACTATCCATATTCCAAAAAGTGCTGGAGAAATCATCTGCAAACAACCCATTGAATAGTATCCATCAGACAATCTATTCAGTATTAAGTGACTTCTCTCTTTATTGACATCTGTCTCTTTTGCTGGAGAACTTCAGGTGGGCAATCGCGGGATATGAGGGCTGCAAACAGTCTATGAATTGTCCACATTTGCCTAGACCAAACAAGTCCTTTCTCCAAATTTAATCTGCCAATGTCTTTCAAAGTCAGTCAACATTATCTACGGCATTTTTTGCCTCAGTTTTCACACACAAGGTACAATATAGAGAACTTGTGCATTTTGATTCACAATTTTAAACTAAAGGTGAGGGTACTTGTGTACCAATTCTTCTCCCTACTACAACCAAAATAAATTTCTGTGCATAGAAACTTGGTCCAAGATAGTAAAATTCTAGTCTAACCTTTTCTTAAACATGATATTTTTTTCCAGGTGATTTCAAAAGCCAAACTAATTGAGAACATTAAAAAAAATGAGCACCCAACACTGATTAAAAATAGTATCATTTGGATTGTAGGGTTCTGTAACTGGAAAAGAACAAAGAACTTAGAAAAAGAAACAAATTGTGTAGCCTTGCCTAACTATTGCTATCTCATTTCTATAATCAGTGTTTCCTTGTCAGGGACAAATTTCATGCAAGTACACAGATGTGATGTACTGAAGGAGGGAATAAGGGAGTATACAGGAATGATTGATGACTTTCTTATATTGTAATAATTCTGTTGTCTGGTTTTCATTGGCTAACAAAGTTTATAAAGCAATGCTACTAATTTTTTAAGGTGTGGCACTTCTGAATGCAACTGCTGCCAGTGTTCAGATTCCCAGGACTTATTTCAATAGAAAATAAAGTACTGTCTCTTTAAGAAGCCTCTGATTGAGTTTTCATGATTGGATTTTTATGATTTCTCAAGTTTTGCCAAGCTCCAGTGACCTTACATATTAAAGACTTGCTGCTTGGGACAACTAAGCCCTACTGATTAGTAGATTTCTTTTGATATGTGCTCTTTTTGAATTCTTCAGATGAGTTATATTTAAAAAAATAATAAAGTCAAACTCAGTTCCCCATGATTTTGGGAACGCATACATGTAATTTTCTTGCAATATTATGGAAATGGTCTGTCATTGCCCTCTGCCAGAAAATAGCTGACTTATAATGCCTCATTCAAATATTAACCAGTATTTGCTCCACTTAGCTTCTAAGTCTAAATAAGGTCAACCAACTTCTGCCATGTGCTAAAGTAAGATATACTGGAAAAAGCTTTTTACCATACTTTACAAAGAATTTAAAACATGTTCCAGTCCCGATTGTGCTATGCTGAACTGTTTATTATTTTCCATTTTTCTGCACCAGGCTGTCCAATCTGAAGAGAAACCATTAGCCTGCGCAACAGATCACGCTTTCAGTCTGTTGTTGCGTGTGAGGGTCTCAACTTCCTTCATGAACCGAAGGCACAGTTCCTCCTGCCAAGCCAAAGCCACACACTGGACAGCTACAGGGAGACCCACAGCATCCGTGACAGCCTGAAGACAGAGGGACAGTCAGAACAGGAAGAGGCAACTACATGATGAACTCTCAGAAAGACAGCTTGGTTCTTTCCATGAACATACAGACCTCTTTCAGCCGTTTATCCCAGGGGTCAGCATAATGACCTTGGTATTGTTTCAGCTCCTCTTCATCAGCCTGGGTGACCGTGGTGACTGGCACAACACCAGCAGGGAAGTTCAAGACATTGTATAAATTAGTGTATGAAGTAGCAGCTGAAAAGAGCAGAACAAAAGTAAATCAATCAAAGTTCTACAGATCATCCAGGAAAGATTCTTGTGGCTATGAACAAGATCTTGTGGGGTCTCTTTTACTATTCCTATTCTCTGGTTGTTGAAACTGAACCGGGTTTTGCAAGGCTTTAGTCTGGAATTTTGTTTTCTCTTTGAAAACTAGATTTTTTTTCCCCCTCCAGCCAGATTAATCCACAGTGAAGTCACTACATTTTAGATCAGCAGTGTTTTGGGACAAGATTAAAGCAAGGCTTGTTATATGACCCCAATACTGAGAAGAAAAACTGAAATCAAAGCTATTTTTAATTGTCTGGTAATTCTGGGAGAAATTTATCAAATTTGAAATTTCAGTTTTAATGTTTAAATGTATAAGTGCAATTTACAAAGCAATTCAGAGTATAAAATGTAATAGAAACAATGACATAGTAATTTAGCAATCTGAGATATTTCTAAAGATTAATTTGTTCAAAATTAATGACTAAATATTTTTTCTGGATCCTTGCAAGCACTTGGCAAATAGCTTTTTGATGATGTAAGTGACAAGATTTTCAGTGCTATTTTCTGAAACTGTAAATGAAAGCCAACAAAAGTAAATGGCTATTATACCAAACAATTTCCCGGGATAGCCTTCATTAAAAGCTGGTGCCAGGACTGGACAGAGGATGACATCCAATTTCAGCTTCCTCCACTCAGCAATGAATTCTTCACGGTAAGCCTGTAGAGAATATTTTGGCAAGATGGACTAGAGACAAAACATTTCCTTCAATCTCCTTCAAACTCCCTTTAATTGCTTATGTAGTGGACAATTCTGAAGCAAGCTTTCTTTCACAAATGAAGGTGAATATACATGTCCCAGGATAATATTGCAGGATCCAATCTGGGTCAGTCAGTAGGACCAGAGGTTTAGTTTTCTGAGCTTTTGGACTTGTGCTGGAGCTCATTCTCAGGGGACTTCTCTCTAGCACAATAGCCCAAAGCACACACTGTGCTAGGGAGAAGTTTCCTGAGGATGGGCTCCAGCACAAGTCCGAAAGCTCAGAAGATTAAACCTCTGGTCCTAGTGACTGACTCAGATTGGATCCTGCAAGCTTTCTTTAGACACAAACCACTTGCCAGAATCTTTATTCTGAAAATAATAGTGCTTGTCCCCAAGTCTATTAATTCCCCCAAGCAGTGGGGCCAGGCTGATAGTTTGAGTGCCTTGGGGTATATGTACAGTGGTGGGATTCAAATATGTGAACAACCAGTTCTCTGTGTGGATGCCACTTCCGGAAGTCCTTTCTGGGCCTGGGCAACAAAAAATTAGCTACCAGTTCTGCTGAAGTGGTGCGAACCGGCTGAATCCCACCACTGTTTATATATCTCACAAGTGTTTTGTAGTTTTAATGAGGGGGACTTAACCTGGGTTTTGTTGTTGCTTTATTACAGTGGTTCTCAACCTGTGGGTCGGGACCCCATTTGGGGTCGAACAACCATTTCACAGGGGTCGCCAAACAATGCAGTCTGCCATTTTTTCCCCCTTTTCCTTAGCTGTGCTACTCCCTTTTATTCTATTGGCTTTTGAAAGCCAATAGAATAGACTCTCTTGAATAGAGTCTAATTTTATTGGCTTTCAAAAGCCAATAGGAATTGTCCAGGCTGTCTCTGACCTGCTGAGCCCACCAAAAGTCCCATTCTGCAAACGGTGCTGCACCAGTTGAGTAGTCCTTGACTTACGACCGGTTGAGTAGTCCTCGACTTACGACTGGTTGGAGGTCACGGCATTAAAAAGGTTGAGAACCACTGATTTATTACTAGTGTTTCATATTATATGTTTTATCACCCAGTTTTATTGGATAGATGGGTGGTCTTATAAAATCAATCAATTTGGGCAATGCATTTCAATTTCTGCTTACAAAAGCTACTATACTGTGATACATTTAGAGCTGCTTGGCATATTATGCCTATGTTAAAATCCATTTCAGTGCTAAGAAAATACTTCTAGCATCAAATATTACTAGTGATCACTGACTAGAACTTTAAATGACATCTTAGTCATTATGTAAAGTATTACGGCTCATGGGTAGGATACCAAGATCTCCAAACTCACCGCCACTGCTGCGTGTTGCTTCCAAAGGTTTTTGGCTGATCTACAAACATTGGAATAATTAATTAACAACTCTTCCATGAAGACTCCCAGTTAAAATAATGATTAATATATATCTGCATGAGACAAAATTTATGGGCTAGTTAAACGGTGATTCTGTATCTAAAGGGCAATCTAGCTATGCATTTAGGGCCATTTTGGTGAATTGAGCCAGTCCTTGGATAATCCAGATCACTGACACTCCCAATGTCATGATCCCTGTGCTTACTTTTGTAGTTTGGCCAACTTGTATAAAGCTTAAATAATATTGCAAAATCTAAAAGTATAACCAGGCTTATTATTTACACTATAAATTAACAGATAGTTAACAATTATCCAGATTTTCTGCTGTCCTTTCTGGTTATGCTGATGTATAGTTTCATCGCTATTAACTACTTTGAGCAAGTGTGTTTGAATTATTGATATGAAAGGAACCATTCCTTATTGAGATATTTCATTTTATTTTTATAAGAGTCTCTTTTCTCACAATATAGGAAGGAGGTTTATTTTAAAGTATAGTAATCTTAGGTAATATAAATGCACTCAACTGTTAAACTTGTCATGTTGAAATTTGACCTGGTTTTAAACTATTTATACTGTTTGAGAATGTTACCAGAAAGGAAAATATCAGAAGTCAGGCTATGAGTACTCCCACAGTAATTCAGAAAAGGTGCTTCAGAATATGTGGGAATACAGTATAAGCACAAATATCATTTTTCAGGTATCCCTATGAGCCTGAGACATGCTCCTATGCATTCTGAAAAGTCTCTTATTTTCAAAGTATAAATATGCCCAAATTATGGTGCTTGATATTGCTGCCTTGAAGTCAAACCATGGTTTATTGGTTATTTAAGTAAACTGTGACTGGCAGAGCACGTGGGATCAGGGGATTATGCTTCCTGTATTTCTGCTGAAAGATGACGAAGAGGTATATTCTAGATCAGCTTTGTTTAACCTGATGCCGCCACATGTATTGGACCACAGTGTCTAGAAATACAATCAGCAGGATAGAAACATAGGGGTCATTCTATAGAGAGTAAGGAAGGTGGCCTTAATGGAGATACACACATTAAGGCAATAGGGATAAAGCATTTTTAAGGCCACAACATCCAGATAAGGTTCATAAGTGTCTCATATAGACACCTGCCTGACTTTTCTAAATTTCTTCCTCTTTCTTAAAGTTCAATGAATTAGAGAGATATCTATTTGAGCTGCTTCCAAACTTTATCTAGACATTCTGGACGTTAAAAATGCTTTATCCTGGCAATGGAGACTGCATATCTCTGTCAAAAGTCATGTTCCTTATTCCATACAATTCTTATTTTTATTTGGAATTCTACCATTTGTAGCCCAACAGATCTGGAAGACAACAGGGTGGAGAATAACACTGTATAGAGTAGATGCTGAAAATAAATTTAAGTTCTTATTTCTTACCCAACTCCACATAATGCATTGAGATCTCTGGCAATCCGGGGGTACTAAGGGAGAAACACAAGTTTACTGATTTTATTGTATGTAATTGTGTAAGTTATTCCTTAAGGATGGGTGAAGTCAGCTAGGGCACCTCCAAGAGAGACCCTCTGACTTGGATTAACAAATTTGGATACACTTCCCTATTTTAGCAAATCTCTAACTTAGCAAGCTAGAGCAAGTTTCACCTTTTCATCATTACAGGGTAAGAAGTAAGCCAAATACTCACCACTGGTTTTAAGATGAATGCCAAAATCCTTTTCAGAACAATGGGAATACTGTAGCAGTTAATCTGGGATTTCAAAACTGGATCAACAATATCCCCTTTGCTGGGAGATGAAAGGAAAAGGAAACCAAGTTCTTTTTCATAGTTAATAGCAGTGCTCTCAAATAACAAATATTATTTAGATGGTAGCTCTTTTGACTAAAGTCATAGAAATAAAGAGGTAGTAATTGTGAGCCAGTAACTCACAAGTAGTATACAAAATCAGTCCTTTTCTCTGATTTTACATTATTCAGTCTATGAATTTAGGTTCCTGAGAATTATATTCTTCAATTACATGTACCCAAATGAAAATATAATAAAACTTTAGACCAGTTGTTCCTCAAATGTACTTTCTATATCAACTTGCACCCTACCTGCATATCTCCACTTACTGACAGAAGTTCATCTGTTTTGAGGATGCTTTTGTTTCTTTTAAGTTATCACACTGGAATGTACGATCTTAAAAACTTTAATTTCATATGTAACATCTTTTGAAGCACAATTAGTTGCAAGGTTGTGGCAGATTAAAAATATAATAAATACATTTTCAATTAAATATGTTCATTTCAAAACAAATTTTTGATCTTTAAAATGTGACCTTTTATTTAACTATTACTTTTCACGCAGACTTTTTTTTCACATTCAAACTAAGGGTTCTCATAAAAACCTAGGATTTCTTATCACACTGAATTTTACATTGGCTAATCTGGGCACCGCCCATGCTAAAACAGAGTTATTAAGCTCAAGCCATGCTCATATTTCAAGTTATCTACTTACAATTTATCCAGTAAATTTGCAGCTCCATCAGAAAAGATGCCTTTAGTGAAAAGCTCATCCACTACATAGTTAAGTCGAGGGGGGACAAAGGGGATGAGCTGCATAAAAAAGATAAATTAAAATAGTTGTTAATTGTTTTACAGCAGACGGAAGGCTATGAATCCCATATACAGATAATTTAACTATGCTTCAGAAGTTTTAAGAATTACCTAAAAATGAATCCTACTTCATGAAGATTTTTTAAACAAATTTTATAAACAGAAACAGATAATTTATGTTTTCTCCTTATTAAACTTGCTTACATTAAAACGTGTAGACCATCCTTTAGCATCATGATGCCTTCCAGACTAATTGTGAACTATGGTTTTCTAGTCAATATGGTTTTTTCATCATAGTTTAGTAAATAGGCTATGGGCCTATTCATATGCTAACTTAGCATATATCCCAGGTTTAAATATAGATTTGGAAGAAAAAAAATTAAGATCAGAAATTAATGAAGCATTTAGTGAAAATTAGTACTTTTATCAAGTCAGCAATCCCAGTTCACCATATAAAACAAACTTCCAAATTAGTTTATATTAGGGCCATACAGATTCCTATGTGGGAAATGTCATTAAGACCCTAATATAAATAATGTGACAGAAATTTAGGTTTATGCCTTAACACACGTGATAGTTAGCATTTTCCTGCAAGGAAGTGATACTGTATGGATACTATGTAGACCATATTACCATGTTTAAAGGTGATTTAATGGCATTTCCTAAAAATTAAACTTTGTATATTACTAATAGAGCACATAAACATGCACACGCTTATAAATATTTTCTAGTGACTCTAGTTTATATTTTTGTAGACTTGCAAAATTGCATAGCCAGGAAAGATCAAGATAAAATTATCAGACTGAATAGATTTGCTGATATAAATATGACAATTAAGTTCAACTAACTTAAGTTGATTGATTTCAGTGATCCACTTTAAACAGAAATATACCTGGATCTCAAGCATTAGTGCAGAGAGTACAGGCATTCAAGCTTCCCATTTTACAGAAAATTGTGAATAATGTAGGTCACAATGTTGCTCTAAGTTAGATATGAGCCACAAATGTCAGAAATGTTTTAAACTAGAAGACAGATGAAAAAAAAATGCATATACTGTGTGGCCTGCAGCCTGAAGAAGTTTTTTTGTTTCCTGAACAGCCCTTTTCATGCTTGGGGAAGGCTGGAAATATCCATCATCTTGGTAGTATCCAATCCGAAGGAGATTTGAACTGGTGTAAATCTGGAGAGAAGGAGGGGGAAAAAGAGTAAAATATTTGAAATAGCAATTGAATGTCAGCATTCCTAGGCTTGACCTGGCTGAACATTTTCAGATATGATCTAGATCAGTGGTGGCGAACCTATGGCATGGGTGCCAGAGGCAGCACTCACAGCCCTCTCTGTGGGCACGCGTGCCATTGCCCCAGTCCTAGGCCTTCAGCTGGGTTTTATAAAACCGTTTCGCTTTAGGCCTCCGCCACCGTGTGCAAAAAAAAAAAAAGGTTCAATCAGTCAATTTCAACTTCTCGTGGGAAAAAAAAGATCTCACAAAGTTGGAATTGATTGATTGAACTTTTTAGTCCCACCCAGTTTGCCGTTACCACTGCAGCCATGCCCACCCAATGGGCCACGCCCACCCAGCACTCGACGATGCATAAGTGGTTTTGAGTTGCAGTTTGGGCATTCAGTCTCTAAAAGGTTCACCATCACTGATTTAGATAGATTGGAAGCTTTACTGCAGAGAAGAATGAACCTTAACTTTGACAGTTGATTTACCCACTGCAGTATAAAGAAATTAGAACCTTTTATATAGATCTTTGCTCTAGAGTTTAAACTCTAGTCTATACTTTTTTGACCTGCCTTTCTGAATTAAGGGATATTTGACTATCTGTTGATGGTCTTGGGAGGCACCCGGTAGATGTTTGCCTAATGATTCTGTCTAGTCTGGAGAATCATTGCTTCCCCTCATTTATCGTGGTCCTTAAAAAAGTTCATGTTTAGGAAGAGTTGTGGCATATTGGTAGATGTCTTTGATGGCCAATTTATTTTTTTCTTTTGATATGTACCATTTTAACTTATCTGTGTACTACCCAGAATCATTGTGACTTGGGCAGCTATACAAGTTTAAGAAACAAACAAATTCAAGGTTGGTTTCAGTTAACATCAGTGCAATTGTTTCCTCTAAAATTCACAAGGAGTTAACAAAAAAGCGATCAGGATTCAAAGAATGGTATTTAACCACATCCTTTAAAACCAAAGAATTTTCTTTAATGTTACACAGAATTTTTATAGCAATGACAATGAGGGTTCTTGAATAACCTAAAAGACTATGGAAAAGAGCTTGAGGTTTGAACTTTACAAATCAACTTGGTGCTCGTATCTGGTACAACATTCCTTTCAGATCTGTGTAGGCAAAAGGTCCAAAACTGATTAGAAACATAATATGTAGATGATATTACACCCATTTCATTGTATTAATGGAATCATTCCAGATAGTGTACAAAAATTATAATGAATTTGATACATGTTACAATCTTTAGGAGCAAATGTACATTTAGCTACTTGTTTTCTTGAAAATTTTTCATGAAATTGAAAGGAATTTCTCAGCTTTCAGTAATTACTGGTTTTTAATATGCAGTTTTCCCAAGGAAAAGTAAGGCATTAACTACATTGTCTTGATTTCTTGATTGGGAGCAATACTTAGAACAGGGAGTCTTGTAAACTGCAGCAGAAGTTGGACTTGCAGAAGCATGAGAAAAGAGCTTGTGTAAGGCTGAGGACAAGTATAATCCAAGTAGACTATCCATAATCCAACATCACACAGTAACTTAAAAATGATCAAGGCACAAGACAGAGACTTGGTCAGGAACACATGAAGGCCAAAACAAAGCAGGAGACAAGAACATGATTTCAAAAGGCACAAGGGCAAATGCAAAATTTGCTTCCAGCAATGGAAGGCAGTCCCTGTGTAATTTAAATCCTCTCCCCACTTAGCAGGTACAGGTGAGGTTTTGCTATCAACAAGACGATGAACTTTCCTGCAGAGTCTGCATCTTGCTGCTCACTTACAAGGCACCTACACTCTGCTGGTGGCCCCCATTCATTCATTCATTCACTTTTCACATTTGTACAGCTGCCCAACTCATTCAATTACCTCTTCTCGGAATGGCAAAGGGGGTACTGAAGGATCCAGGTGGAATAACTCATCACATAAGAGAGCTTTCATGCACAGAGCCAGACTATCTACATCTCTTGCCATTGGACCGATCGTTGCAATCACTATAAAGGAAAGAGGAGCTCCAGTGAAACAAATCAGGTAAAAGGTTCTTGCTGGTGACTAAGCAGCCATCAATAATGGGTTAGATGGATAAATAATTTAACCAGACGTAATTCCCAAGGTTAACTTAATGGAGTCAGAAGTGCAACTAATAGAAAAGATATATTGGATTTCAGATTATTTACTTACTACATTTCTATATTTTCCATAGAATTGTATCCCACAGCAGTTTATTTATTTATTTATTTATGAGACTTATATACCGCTTTAAGTGCAAGCACTCTCTAAGCGGTGTACACCAGTAAGCAATGTATATATATATTTACATTGCCCCCAACAATCTGGGTCCTCATTTTACCTACCCCGGAAGGATGGAAGGCTGAGTCAACCTTGAGCCGGTGAGATTTGAACCGCTGACCTGCTGAACACAGTCAGCTAAAATGGCCTGCAGTACTGCACCCTAACTGCTGCGCCACCTCGGCTCAGTTCATAATTTTAAAAATAAATAATAAAAGTAATACCTTAAAATAACATTCCATAAAATATAAGTGACCTTCCAGATCAAAAACAATAAAGGTGATTTGTCAAATATCCTGGTGATAGTTGTTTAGAGCCTTGTATGTTATAAACAAAGTTTTGAACCTGGCTTGATAGTTAATTGGCAGCCAATCAAGTTGCTTCAACAGAAAAAAAAAAATCAGTAATCTTCCTAGTGCATATTCGCATCAGCTTCAGCCTCCAGACCAAGTGCAAGGTAGTCTCTCATAAAGAAATCTAACTGTAAGGTTATAAATTCATGAGTGACATAGCTAACTTGTTCTTATCCAGAAAAAGAGATGCAGTAATTGACTACCAACTAAAGGTTCTCTAGCTATAGAAGTCACTTGAGTCTCCAGTGACAATTATTATACTAAGAGTGCCTCCATACTCCATCCCTGTTCTTTCTGTCCTCTTTAAAACAAAATTCCTCGATACCATACCTGCAAACAAGGTAAAATTTCAGTCTTAGTTTATTGGCCCGCATAAATTGATTAGAAGCAATGCTGCTACATCTCTCTTTAATAGCAGAAAACCAGCCATTTGTCCATTTTATCACTGACAAATGTAATTAAGGTTTGATTGGAGCCCAGAAAAGTTCATGTGCTGTATATGAAGCTATTTTAAAGAAGACACAGAAATTCCCAATAGTGCAGATTGCAGCCAATAAGTGTTTGTTGTTGCAAAACTATTTTTTGTCCATTTTGCACTAGTTGCTCTATGTCTCTCTAGACATAGTTCAGAGTGTTGATTTTGACCATTGATGCCCTAAACCAGGGGTAGGCAACCTTGGCTCTTTTATGACTCGTGGACTTCAACTCCCAGAATTCCTGAGCCAGCTAGGGTAGGGCAGAATTCTGGGAATTGAAGTCCACGAGTCAAAAAAGAGCCAAGTTTGCCTACCCCTGCCCTAAATGCTTAGAAAAAGCATTTGTAGGCTTATCTGTTTCCCCAATAAATTTATCCAACAATTTTATAGTGGGTATTGTTTGCTCACTTTGTAACCATGGCAGATTAACTCCAATAAGGCCTTTCAAAGGTCTTTGAAAACTCACTTCTTTTGCATGACTTGTAATCAAATAATTAATTAATTATTTTAATTTAATTATTTTAATTAATAATTTAATTAATATGTTGCTCACACAATACAGAAAGGTTGTACTATTATAACATTTTGTAAGAATATCATATTATTATGTAGATATTTGTCCATGCACCATCTTGGTAGATTTTTTTTATCTAGAAAGGTCATGCATACGTATTTAAATATTACAGTTTTGGGATGGCTACTTATTACTTGAGAACAAATTGTGTGGTGGTTAAATGCATCAGGCTAGAAAAAAGAAATGCTGCCTCAGGTAGAGATCAGATGAATGACTTTGAATATTCGCTCTCTCAGAAGAAGACAGTGGCAAGCAAGTCCTGAAAATGAAGCCACAAAAGCTGCATAGACTTGGGGTAGGAGTCAAAACTGACTTAAAGGCACCAACTCCCCCCCCCCCAGAAACCCACTCTTATTACTCACCTGACTTCATGCCTGCCACTGGACTAGCAAGACCCAGGGTGCTGGGAAAAATGTAAACAAGAGGGGAAAAAATAAAGTGTTCACTATCAACACAGTTAGAAAAGAAACAGCAATCGTATAATCTATCCATGCATTCAAAAAGAAGTCTCGAGAAAGGAGCTGAACTTCAGATAACAATTAAAGCTAAAATAATAAAAACGACAAATGTGTTCATAATGAGAATTATAATAAAGGCACCCTCTACTACAGGATGTGCATTCATGACAATATTTATAAACAAGAATCAATTTGTGAATGCAGCCAGCATATTTTCATTTGTGCAGAAATGAAACATTTCCTAAGAATGCTTATAAAACAGGTAATCCAATCAATATTAGCATTCAGACATTGGGATGCTTATCAGTCCAAATAAGAATGTAGAACTGACCTTAACCGAGAGCCTGTTGGTTTGAGTCCACAAAGCCCACAGAAGCTGGAGGGCAGGCGAATGCTTCCAGCAACATCTGTCCCAAAACCCAAGAGGGATCCACCTCCTGCAATCAGTGCCCCTTCTCCTCCAGAGGACCCACCAGGACTTTTCTTGTGGTTCAAAGGGTTTTTTGTTTGACCAAAGATTAAGTTACTGCAATCATAGCTGAGCAAAACAGATAGTAGATTGGCAGTTAAATTTTTTTATATCAGCATTGGACCAAAGAAAGAGAGGTTGGAAGTAAGGGGAAAACTATATAATAACCAATCAAATAATAACTTGCACACAGCACTGCAAAACCAGTGACTGAGGACAAATACCAAAAACATGGCACAAAGATTGGAATCTGGTGCCATTCAGATGTTTTGAGGCCGCAAGTCCCAGAATTCTCAGGAAAAACAGTGACTGGGGATTATGGAATTTACAATCCCAGTTGTGGAAGAGAAGGCTAACACAGAAGAGCAAACAATTCCAACTGCCTTGGTAAAAGAGAGGAAATAGTATAGCTCAACAATCTCTGTAGTTGTGGCCATTCAAAGGCTCCAGAGGATTTTTCAAGAATGGCATAATAAAGAGAACCATGCCACATTGTTCCCAGCCTCCAATACTTAAATTAATGCTTCTGACCATGGAAAATTATTTTAGCCATTATAGACAATATCCAGGCCTGATCCATGCTGAAATTAAGGTGATAGAACATTGAGATAGCAAAATTTCATGTTGTAAGTAGGGGTCTGTTATTTTGAATGCTCCCTCAAAATAATAATAGCACCACGATACAACATTGCTAACTTACAGCCTCCTTGTTTCTGGTGCAATAATAAATTCCTTATATTATTTATCGAAGCAGAAATATTTTCCTTACTTGTTTTAAACCTTCTGCCAAAGAATCTTTCATGCTTCTGTAATCTTTCTTCCATTAACCCACCACCCTAGATTCCCAGGTTATTATTAATCAAGACATTTCTAAAATAGAGGAAAAAATACTTTATCATGCTCTGAGGAATGTTAGTTTTCACAAATGGAATTGCTCCTTGTTTCTTCAAAACTTTTACTATCACGCTGTCATCGGCCTCTACTTTGTCAAGATACTGCACCAAGCCACAGGTAGAGATGTGTCCCTTTGGGAGAAAAAACACAACTTGCTTGATATAATGTTATGTCAGAGTATGTATAATAAGCATACTGTTATGTTATACAGAGCTTCAATTTATGGGGACTTGTCCAGGAACAGGCCTTATTGATCAAATATCACAAAACCCACCAGCAGGTATTTCCTCCTAATGAAAAGACAGTTAAGATGAACAGAAAGAACTATATAAAAGCACCATACATGGAACGATCTCTTCTAAAATCCCTTGTTAAGGTGTCAGTTTTCATCTAATAATTAGATTCCGATACCATATGATATCTCCGAGTACTATGCTATGAAGAGAGATATGCTTTTATGAAATGCCAATGACTTGTCATTAGTCATAAATTACTCATAAAAATAGCCTACTGTGCTTCAGAATCTGTATGCCTATCAGAACACAAGGACATCTGTCAGGGTTCATGACCAGCTGCTGTTCCTTGCTCAGATACATATGATGGTATATATGTGCATGTGGATATTTTAAGAAGGATCCCATATATACACAGGACCACAAACAGCATGCTAACTGTTGTTGCAACACACATCCAATGTCCCCTCTTCAACTAAGGGTTCAGGCTGGTGAGATGGGAAGGGTGGAAGAACTGTGGAATTTAAATCCTAGAAAACATATATCTCTACACTGCCATAGGCAATCAAACATTAAGCGTGTGACACTTCATTTGCAATGAAAATTAATTTAATGAAAAGGTTTAACTTCATTTAATTGATATTAAAGTTTTTATTTCCATTCAACTGATATTAAAGCTTTTATCATAATATGTTTCTTTTTAAACTGCTACAAAATGTTGTTTTCCTGTAAAAAAGTAACATGGCTGTTGCCTTGGAATAAGAAATGCATAGAAATGAAACAGGAAACTCAATTTCAGCCTTCCATATTTCCTAACCTCTGCAGCAACTGGACTGAAAGTAGAAATGCCCTGTATTTTAGCTAAAGATGTGGAAATATCTTAAACAACACCCCCTTCTTAATACTTCTGATGCACACCTCTTTTTTCAGTAGCAAGTATTTCAAAAGATAAAGGAAGATGCACCTTGTATCCAATGTGGTCCTTAATGCTGACAGGAATTCCATACAGCAAGCCTTTCTCATTTTGTTTCTTCAGGTGCTGGAGCTGTTCCTCACATCCATGAAGAAAATCTGTCACACAGTTCACCTCCTGGGTTACTTCAAGAGCCTGGTCCAGAGGGAGAAGCATGATTTGTTAAATAAACCAAAGTAAGCTGAAGTCAAACTTTGTATTCAGGAAAATCCATGTGTTGACCCAGAAACAGATGGATGTGTTTCTGTGTGTGTTTATAAGAGGGGAGAGCATAAGTTAAAAACAGTGATAACTGCTGTGAATTACATGTAGCATCTCAATTTAGTTAAAAACTGACTGCGGAATGGCCCTGAAAGACTGGAAGAAGAGCCCCTGCTAAGATAATGATCAGATAAGAGGAGTCCCAGCCCAAAAAATAACATAACTTGAGAAAATGTCTCCAAAAAAAAAGATCCTCCCTAGTTCACATCAAGATAAAGTGAAGGAGGAGGAAACACATTCAGATATGCAAGATTTTGTTACTATAGCTGTGACAATAAAAGTAGTTCTGAACCATGAGGCGTTGGTTTGGAGTCTGGTCTACTTTGTTCGAAATTGGAATGGATTATTGTCTCTGTTGAACCCACCAAAGTAAGCTAGGTAGCACCTGATTAGATCTACATCTTGTTAACCAGTCAGTTAGGCATATATTAATACAGGCAAACAATTTTCTCATGGCTGATGGAACTCATTGTTTGATAGATTGGTTTTCTAGGGACTCCAGTAAATATAGCCAATGACAATTGCATGATATTTTGGTGCTTTGGAGAAAAGTAAAGGGCTGGAAAAGGTGATCTGATTCCCCTTAAAACGCACCAATAAAAAAAAATTGAGAAGGGGAATGTTAGATTTAAAAAGTGAACCATGTTTCTTACATTTTTGTCTTAAGGCCTCAATTTCAACCAAATTCTCTCCAAGCCTCTAACATTGCAAAAACACCCCCACATTCCCAAATGCAGATTATCCAGGGGCTGCAAAAATGTTCTGGCAAGTTTGTCCACTTCTGTGCTACAACATATCTATAACAATGTTCTTTAATGAGGAGTGAAAACGATTGTCCTAAATAGTTATTTTAAAAAGTGAGATTATTATCTGCACAAAGATGGAAAGATTTGGCATTACCCACAGTGGAGGAATAATGAAACTTTCTCAGATGGCCAAACTGACTGCTTTGATGAGAGAATATTTTTCTTGTTGACTGGAAACTCTTTATGGATTTTTTACATAAAACAGAAAAATATGAATGTTTGATTTATGGTTTTGCTAATGATAAAGAAGAGACATATTGAGCTCCTTAGAGTAGGAGCTAAATTTATAATTGTACTTATAACTGCTGTAAAGAAAATTGGAAACTATTTTTTTTGTATTTTTTTCTTTTCCTTTAACTTATTTTTTATTGCATTTCTAGCTTTCTTTCCAGTTCTTTTTCTTTCTCTTTTTTTCTTCTTACTTTATATTGTTTTGTATTAGATTTCATCTTCCTTTTAAAAACTTTTAATACTATATTTGTATGTCACTATACTGATATATCTAAAACCCCCAAAATATTCGAATAGCCCCTATTGTGTTCACCTTTTTTATATAGGTATACAGGACACTCTCTGGAGAAAGTTTTTCCTCTCTGAGCTTTTCTGCCACTTCTGTTAGTGTCAAAGAGAGGATAAATTCTGACTGGATTCCAGGATTCTGCAAGTAGAAACAACCATTTAATAAGGGAAAAACTTGGGAACAACCCTAAATTTATGAGACAAGCCAGGACAAAAGTTAAACTGCTATTAGTTTTTCATGACAAATCAAGAACACAAACTCAAAGAAGAGAATGAAAATCCACAAATTATATACAATACAATTGGATGCAGTTCAGAAGAGAATTCTTGGGATATCAATTGAAAACTTCATTCCTTAATCCACTTTTCAGCCTCAACCTCCATTTTTCCTCAGGTCTCAGTCATATTGCAGTTTCATGTTTTTTTAACAATTTTTTAAAATGTGAGCTATCTTGACTAGTTTTAGGTACTCTGCTTTTTGGGTTTGGGTTTCAAAAGAAATATAATCTGTGCTTTATACCATGTGGTTGCTTATCATGAGGTATGCCTGTTTAAGCATTAGCTTTAGGTGGTACAATGATTCAACAGAAAGCCATTTATCAATTCTGGTATTCATGTGCTTTTACTACAAGCACAATTGTTCTTGCTTATTTAATCCAGCAAATAGCAAACACAATAGCTTCCTTATCCTAGTGGATCTGAAGTCCTTGACAGAGGCAATATAGGGATTAGAATATCCTTTGTAAGAATATAGATATAAATATGAAACCTTGGTTGAGAGTCCATTTATTTTGAACTCGCCAATGAGCAAAATGAATCAAGGCTAGAAGACATTTATTAGCCTCTTGGAAATCACTGAATTGTTTCTTAGATTCATATGCCATCTTTCTTTCAGAAGCTGAAGGTACATAGTATCCCATTTCAAATTTTTTTCACAACAAGAATTTCATGAAATAGGCTGCATTAAGACAAAATGAGTCACCCAATGCTCTTCCATTGCTGACTTAGCCTTGGATCCCCCCCCCCCCCCCAGTGGTAGCCCACTTTATCGCTATGGTTCTCCTCTTAGATTGGTCTCCAGAAAAGATATAGAACTTTCCTCTGACTGATGTCCAACTTGTAACAAAAATTTGATTAGATGTAAGTGACTGTGTTCTTTGAAGCAAAGTAATTCATGTGTGTGTGTGTGAGAGAGAGAGAGAGAGAGAGAAGACAGAGACAGAAAGAAATTCACCTATAATTACTGTACTTTGTAATTATTACCAATGCAAAAATTAAAATTAAAAATAGCTTCCAAGCTACATTCTTGCTACTTTAAAGCACATGAAGAGGAGTACACAATAAATACATCAGGGTTTGCCCAGAGAGAAAGTAATAGATAGATTTTTTTTAAAAAGCATCGCACATTCAAGCTGTACATATGGCTTCATTGATCCTCACTTCCCAAAAAAGGACAGAAAGTGTGACATGTCAAAATTTAAGAAAAGATGCAACTTATCATAGATATTGACCCACACTTTGTAAAACAAGAAAGTCTATAAATTAGCAAAGCTGACATAAGTTTCACCATTCAGACTTGAGAACAGTTCAAAAGTCTTACTGAAAGCAGCAAAGTTTACATTCAGAAGAGCCCTCCATAACACACAAACGCCACCATCCTCCCCGTCCCAAGAAGAAGCCACCTTCTGTTTAAGCTTCCAAGCAACTTTTTCCATTTGTTCTAGACTGCCATTTCGCCATTGTCGGGCTTCTTTCATTTTCCTCTGAATCTCTCTACGTATCACCCATTTCCATAGCACAACCACTGTGACTGAGCCACAGGCAACAGCAAGGGCAATAGGTGGGTTGATTCCATCCTTGAGCAGAATGTCTTGTAGCTTCTCCCGCATCATGGTGAATCTTTCTCTGTGTCTTTGTAGTAGAGTCTCCTTGATACCAATAGGAGGTTGTATTGTTAAAGCATTGGCTATTAAGCTATCTCAAGTTACTGGAGACCTCCTAGTTGTACTTTGGACTCATCCCAAGGTGTATTTAAAGGATGATTTATCTAAAGTATTAGATAATCTTAATTAAGGCTTCAACTGATATTTCAGAACAGCCTATTGGGCTCCCAAACTCAGCAGTTATAGCAATAGTCTTTTTTCTTGTTTTAGTAGATAACTTAGTGGCAGCTGCAATTCGCATAGTTACGATTTGTATGTAAGTCTGGCACATATATGTAGTGTGAATCCACTCTCCCATTTCTGTTCTGGGAGTTGTGAGCTGGGGTCATCAGTTACTTAGGATTATGCTAAGCTTGGTGGTTGCCAATAGAAAAACTAAACTGTACCTTTACTAGACAGCCCAAAGACTTGGTGGTGCCTTAGCATTTCAAAGGTTCATATAGAATAGATAGTCACTAATCAAACTGAGATTAAGGTTGTTACATACTCACACCCTTGTTTCATGAAAAGGAGGTATGACTAGCTATATGAAGAAACAGCTTTTTTAGCCCTTTCTTTACTATTTTTTACTCACCATATTATACGGATTTGGGACTACAGTGTAACAATTTAGATTTTAATCATTGTTGTCAAGACTTTGAAGAGACTTCTGGGGCTGTTTTCACCCCTTCCCCTTTAATTCAAAATGGTCTTTACTAATTTCATTTATGAAACAACTTTACTGAGATTGTATTTGGTCTGGAGACTTATTCTCTTTGTCACACAGACACAGACACACACATGATTTGAGGATTTTAATTACAATACTAAAAGCTGATACAAACTAAAAGAAACAATGGAAGAATGGAAAGTGCTAAAGGGAAGAAAAAACAAAAAATAGAAAAGAAAAAATTGAAAGAAAATGTATAAACAAATGACTTTCAACCTTCATAACAAGTACAAATATTTTTTGTAGCTTTTCATCCCATCTTAGTTTACAACCAATGATCTCATCATCCTATACACAATCCCTTCTTTATAGACAAATCCATAAAGCTTCATCTTTTCAGTTCCAGTGTCAACAAAAAGTCTATTAAAGCTTACCAGAAATAATAGCATATTTTAACCTTGATCAAATAAACCAATTTTATATCCCTTCCTTTTAGTTCTAACAGTCTCAAATTTAAAAGAATCCAAATGCCACAGAATCTGATTTTTCTTAGTTTCTTCTTTGTTCTTTCTCGTAAGATTCTTCATAGCTTCAACAAGCTTCTTTTGTAAACTCCATACAAAAAAGTTATCCAATATATGAGATAGTATCTATAGATTGAAAATGCAAAGTGTCAAATCACCATTCACAAATCAAATCAAAGCTTTATTACAGTCAAAGACTAGCACAAAATCAACTAAAAATGGTAAGATTTCAATGTTTATATAAGAAGAAAGTCCTTATACAGGTAGTCCTTGACTTACAACCACAAGATTGGAACTTCTGTCACTAAATCATGTGGGTGTTAAGTGAATTGTGTCTAACATTACCACCTTTTTACTATGGTTGTTAAAGCACATGATCGTTAAACAAATATGGCTTTCCTTATTGAATTTGCTTGTCAGAACCTCCCCCTCCCCCCCCGAGAAACTCATAAATGGTAATTGGTTGATCCTGGGACACTGTGACCGTTGTAAATACACACTGATTTCCAAGCACCTGAATTTTGATCACTTTACTGTGGTGATGCTGCAACAATTGTTAAGTGCAAGACCAGTTGTAAATCACTTTTTTCACTGTCATTATAATTTTAAATGATCATTAGATGAATGGGCAAATGTTGAGGACCATCAGTCTGTATCAGAAATTACAGTTAAATACATAGCAACAGTATGTACATTTTAAATTCTATATATAGTAGGGGTCTTCAAACTTGGCCTTTTTATGACTTGTGGACTTCAACTCCCAGAATTCCTCAGCCAGACATGCTGGCTGAGGAATTCTGGGAGTTGAAGTCCACAAATCATAAAAGAGCCAAGTTTGAAGACCCCTGCTATATAGGCTAGGCACAGCTGTCTTTTGTGATTTTTAACAATGTCTAGGGCGCAGGCATTGTCCCATTATCTGACTTTCCATTTTGTCATTGCTTAAAAGCTTAACATGAAATTCCTAACAGTTGTTTGTGTTGAGAAGAATTACTGACAGGGGTGGCCTGTGTCAAGAATTCGTACAGCTTGCGTTCTCGCAATTGCAAATTAATCTTCTCCCATGTGCCATGTGAAGATATCACAAAGATTTGTTTGAATTTACTTCTTTTTCAGCTCAGCCCTATCTTGGGTTCCTTGGTTTGCATTTGGTAACAATTGCTGATTCAACCTTAGATTTTAGTTATCTAAAACATTCTACAAAATTCTCCTGCATGTTTGCAGATTGGTTGGCTATACCCTCAGGAACCATTGGGCAGTGATTCAAGGTCATATAGTTTTGTTGCCTCTAGTCAGGCAAATAATGTAAATGCAGGTTGTTAAGATACTATTTTGGGGCCTTAAAAGTAATTTCAGAAGGTGATGCCAGCCATGAACACCAGTTCAAAAATCCACTCAGGATTGTTTAGCTCAGTCACTAGTTTGCCCTTGTTCTCTGTTCAAGTCTATATTTCAGCATTAAGATAATAAAAATTCTGGAGCTTCTGACTTAACCAGTTTGCTTTAAAGGAGTGTACCAAATCATTACATGCCATGTCCAGTTCTTCTAATAAGGTGCTAAATTGCTAATTACTATATATCGTACTTATTTTCTATAACTGCTTTATAACAGAATAACAGAGTTGGAAGGGACCTTGGAGGTTTTCTAGTCCAACACCCTGCTGAGGCAGGAAACTCTATACTATTTCAGACAAATGGTTGTCCAATCTCTTCTTAAAAACTTCCAGGGCTGGAGTATCCGCAACTTCTGGAGGCAAGTCGTTCCACTGATTAATTGTTCTGTCAGAAAATTTCTGCTTAGTTCCTTCTAGATTGTCTTCTTGATTAATTTCCATCCATTGTTTCTTATCCTGCTTTCAGATACTTTGGAGAATAGGTTGACTCCCTTCTTTATGGCAACCCCTTAGAATAACTTTGATATAGTATTATATCCAACACTCCTGAGAAGTTGAAAATTCAGATAAAGACTTCATAGTGTATTAAGCAATGGCACACTATCAGTTGTGAAAGACCAGTGACAAAATGTGTCTTTTTCCAGTAGTTCTACAAATTCTTTTGGGACCTATTATTGGTACAAGTACCATCCATTTTAACATTGTTTAAATGTTAAATGGGGAAAATGTCAAGGCCTGCATGAAAGGAAGGGAATGAGGGAGGTATACATATTATTTGGATGACTTGGATTGGAAATGATACATTTAGTGTGGATTTGGATGTTCAAATGGATCACAAAGACTGGATTCAACTGCACAACTTGGAAATTCACTGGGTGACTTTGGGTCAATTGCTACTTCTCAACTCAATCTATCTCAAAAGAGTTGTTATAACAATTGAAATGCTATATATACTGTTTTGTGTTTCAGGAGAAATAAAGGATATATAATCTAATAAATAGGGATTATTTATTCATATTGCAATTTGCTTTTATAGGCCTCCAGTGTATTGAATGGAGGAAAACTGAAAATTGGGCAGAAACATCATCAGATAGAACTGAAGAAGGGATGGTAGGCTTGCTGCAGAGATGTAAAACTGGGAGGAAAAGTCATTGTTCTGTAAAGCCATGCCATTGTTTCACAAAAAGTTGTAATTCCAGAAAAGAATGTTGTATTAGCAGCAAACTGAGCAAATACATTTAGCTGAATTGTAGCGAGCTTTAGGAACCTAAAAAACTGGTCCAAGAAAAAGAATGTGTGGACTTCAGCCTGTCTTAATCGATGCCAAGAGTTATTCATTTTCAAACTTAAAACCACTTGAAAATTAATATATTGCTAAGTTGCTAAACAACTGAGAAACATACTCTTACCTCTGCTCAGGGAAGATTAGGGAAACTTTATTTTTATTAATACATTTGGATTAGAATAATATCATGCCCAAGTATACAATCAGATGTCCGATTTTTCTGTTCATCCATGTACATAATTGCCAGGGAAAATCAATTCCTCAAATGTTTCCTATCTGCTCCATCCACAGACACTCCGATTCCAAAAGCACATCAAAAACTTCAACTTCATTATTTCAGACCTGGTACATTTTTATATCTATTGTGTTAGAATTGCACTGAACATTTTAATGAAAAGTGTGTGAAGCTTAATCCTATAATTATTATTCCCCTACATTTTCTCAACACATTCATTCATAGTGACCTCCTTTAGTTGTATGAACTAAATCAGTCCCCAGAGTCCATGGCTATTATGGAAGAGTTCCATTCTGCTTCCTGTGGTATCATATCATTGGTTCCTTGATTTTTCCCTGGTTAGATTCTCCACTTCTTTCATGAGCCGGAGACAGAGCTCTTCTTGCCAGGGCAAAGCCACACACTGGACAGCCACAGGGAGCCCCACAGATTCTTTCACTGCCTGCAAGGACAGCATAAAGAAAGCAGTTTTTTACAGCAATACAGATAGTCCTCGAGATAAGGACGATCACTTAATGAACAACACACACACCTCCTGTAAGCTACTTATAACCCCCTTTCGAACTTACGGCTGCTGCAGCACCCCTACAGTCATTAGCTCTTACGACTGACTGCAGGGACTCTACAGCATCCCCCCCATTTCTCTCTCTCTCCTCCATCGTGCTCCACTGGGACCCTGCAGGCCTTGGACTACTCTCCACACGCCTGTCATCCATCACACCCTTATCTTTTATAGTTCTCTGAGCCTCATGTTGGGGGAAAAAGGACAGGCCATGTATTCCAGGCCATATGGCTGTCCTTCAGAAGGTATTGCCATTTTCAGCTTGCGCACAGTTTCTTGTGGTGACACAAAGGTGGGTGTTTCAGGGTTGGAGAAGGCCTTGGGAGCCTCAGGGCAGTGTCAGAACCCATATAGTATTAAGGGGGACTCTTTTCTATTTCTTTTTACTTCATTGCTCTGGGTTCTGCCATACCCCTGAAGGGGAGGGGGGAAAACACTGCGGGCTGTCTCTTTGTTTTTTTATCCCTTCTGCTGTTTCTGCATATTTGCTCTTTGAACTGTCTCTCCCTTGATGTTACCTTGAGGTGAGAAAGGAATGTTCCTCCGACCATCTGGCTTATCTCCCGTTTTGGAAAGGAAGGTGTGAAGATCCAACAACATCGCTGTGAACCTGGGAAAGACTGGTGTTATCAGCTCTTTTCCCACAATGGACTTAACACCTGAGGATTGGCCCATTCAAACTGACTGGATGAATTATTGGGCTGGGATTTGCTTTTAACCTATGGATCTGAGTGGGAAACCCCTCAGATCCTGCCTATTATACCTGCTATCAGCTTCTCCTAATAAAAGTTCCTTTTGGAAGAAACTGCTTCCACGAGTTCTGCTTTCTTAGGATGAGGTTTTGAAGTGGGCCCTGACAGACAGGCCTCCATACCTAAAGCACACCGTGCTCTATGTAACAACCTGCCTTTTTGTTTAACAGCCGCATCAGAGAGAACAGGGGGAGGCAGTTGTTAAGTGAGGCCATCTCGCTTCATGGCCATCATGACATATGACCATAATGGACAGACTCCCCTATGGTCGAACCTTGAGGATTACCTATAAATGCTGCTAGGCACTGTCATGAGGCAATTCCAAGTACCTTTGCAAAGAGTTTGTCCCCCAAATCATTGTAGTGTCCTTTGAAATTCTTTAGCTCCTCTTCGTCTTCCTTCGTCACTGTTGTAACTGGTACCACCCCAGCAGGGAAGTCCAACAAGTTATATAATATGTAATTACTAATGACCTCTGTACAAACAAAAAACACAGGGCACATTAAATGGTTACCCAGCTCCCTTGAGCAACTTGCGATGATTAACAGTACAAGGATGACAGTACTTCGTAACTCTGATCACACATATCTCTTCCCCACTCTACAGATGAGAAAATTATTTGAAAAAACTGAAGCCAATCTCAAGCAACTAAAAATGTTCAGACACAGAAGGTTTCATGTTTACAGTGTTATGTGCTGTCTCTAACTTTCTGCTCTTTAAAAGGACACTCAAAACAATTTTATTCTAGAGGCTATATGGATGCTGATGATCATCTGACTACCTTAGAAACTATATTGTTAAATTAGATTCCCAAAGTCTACAATCTATTTAAGAAGAATTTTAGAAATACTGTCTGCACTGTCACAAAAATTGTAGTTATGTATTCTCAGAAGAATGAAAGGGTCCTAGTTTATGAAGTCTCATCGAATGACCCAAGACACAAGGCCAAGGCAACAAAGGAGTGGTTCAAGAAGAAGCACATTAAGGTCTTGGAGTGGTCTAGCCAATCTCTAGACCTTAATCCCATAGAAAATCTGTGGAGGGAGTTGAAGATTCGAGCTGCCAAACATCAGCCCTGAAACCTTAATGGCTTGGAGAGGATCTGCAAGGAGGAATGGGACAAAATCCCTCCTGAGATGTGTGCAAACCTGGTGGCCAACTACAAGAAACATCTGACCTCTGTGATTGCCAACAAAGGTTTTGCCACCAAGTACTAAGACATGTTTTACAAAGGGGTCAAATACTTCTTTCACTCATTAAAATGCAAATCAATTTATAACTTTTTTGAAATGCATTTTTCTGGATTTCTTTTGTGTTATTTTGTCTCTCACTGCTAAAAGAAACCTACTATTAAAATTATAGACTAATCATTTCTTTGTCAGTGGACAAATGTACAAAATCAGCAAATACTTTTTTCCCTCACTGTAGCAGCCACCCGTTTTCCTAGGGACAGTACAGCCACAGAAAAGGTGCATTTGGTTCAAAGAGTTGCAAACAAGCATCATATTTGTGTCCCCCTGCATCACCCCATGAATTTTTTGTCCAACATCAAAGCACATCACAGCCCTAGGATTTACTCACATCTGGTTAAAAAAGAATAGGACGCACCATGGGATCTAAAGGATAACAACGTGCTTTTTAAAACTCAGTTTTCCAAGTTTTTTTTAAAGTACCTGATACTCTTCCAGAAGACCCACTCTTAAAAGCAGGACCCATAGTAGGACAAAGCAGTACATCCAGTTCCAGTCGTTTCCATTCTTCAGTGAATTCTCTGCAGTATTTCTAACGATAAGAGAGAGATTTACATATCAGGGTTACCTTTATTCTTCAATGAATAAAACTTGGCATCCAGAAATACAGCAGCATCTGGTAAGGGCAAGAGGACAGGTAGCACAGCAAAGGTTTTGAGTTGCTATTCTTTGAGCAACGACTTTATGAATGAATACCATGTATCCAATCTCCTGGGAATTAAGTGTAAATGTATTTTCCTTCTTTCAACCCTTAAATCAGACTGTTTTAAAATGTAAAATAGCTTCCTTAGATTTGAACTGTTAATTGAGGATCTTAAAGCAAAAATCTACCTGATCCCAGGCTTCCCTTCTGAAAATACTGAGTCCAAAATTTGGTCTTTTTCTCCTCATCTCCACAGTAAAAGATATACTGCACTGTGCCACTGGATAGAAAATCCCCTCCCCCCAATATTACCAACTCAACAGTGGATTCCCTTACAAGAAATGCTAAATTGAATAAGGCAGGGAATGACCTCAGTGTGATAACCTCAGAAAGATGAGGCTACCAGATGAACCCATGGCCTGACTTGCAATACAATAGCATTTTATGCTCTTTTTCTAGAACAAAAAATATTTTCCTGATTTAATGTCCAATTAGGAAATGCATGGTGTTACCAAATAAGTATTTGTCCAATACATTCTGGAGAATGCTAAACTGTGCAGGTAGTAATTGTTTAATGACTGCTTTGTTTAGCAACTATTCACAATTGCAACTTATAAGTACAAAATTTTACTTATAGCTGTTGTAGAATCTCAAAAGTCACGTGATCAAACTTCAGTTGTTCTGCAATTGGAAAACTGGCAGGCATTTGTGACAGTCACAGTGTCCTGTGGTCACACGATTGTCATTTGCGCACTTCAGAGTTGGCTTCCAACAAGCAGAATCAATGGGGAAGCCAGCACTGAAATTACAAGTCACGGCCATTTGATATCTCAGTTAACCACTTGTGGTGATTCACTTATCAACCACAGTGGGGATGATGAAAGTCCAGCTCAGCCATGTGATCTTTCACTTAATGACTATGCAACTTAGTCATGGAGTTTCTGGTCCCAGTAGTGGTTGTAAAATGAGGACTATCTGTATTTCTGTCACACAGAAAATTTCATTGAGCAACAACACGAGTACAAGAAAAATAAACAGGTCTATCTATGTCGCTGTATAGTAGGACACGAGAAATGTGCAAGTTATAATCTCATCCTATATTTCAGCTTCTGCTCTTCCCCTGCAAAAGATATTCTGAAGACACCACAAATCTTTGTTCACAAGCATCTGATATCCAATTTAAAACAATTATTTAAAGGAAAGAATAGTTTCCCAAACAGGAAATGTCAGAGCTGTTTGAAATATCCACAAAGGCAGCATTCGCAACAAGGCCATCTTTACTGATTTAGCATCCTCCAAATATATTGGATTTTAGTTTCCAACACCCCTATTCAAAAATGGCCAATGGCTAAAGAGAAAGGGAGGTAGAGAAATCTAACATAACTGGGAGGCATCAGACTACAGAAGAATGATCTCAAGACTTACTGGGTTTTCCTAGTATGTAATACTTTAATGATTGCTTTAAATCTGTCGTCTGAAGTTGAAAAAGACCATGCTATTTTCTCTAATGCCTCAGAAAATATTTACACCTACAAGATTTTTATGCAGTTTGGACAGATTCTAAAAGAAAATTTACCTCAATTTCCAGGTGGTCTTTCCAGAGTTCTTTTACAGACCTAAAAAGTCAAAGAAAATAAATGAACTACAGATGCATGGAATTGGTTGCCTATGTTCATGACCTGTAATAGCCTTCCCCAACCTGGGGTTATACAGCTATGCTGACTTAATTCCTCTGGGCAGAAGTCTGATTAGGCACAGGACTAGGGAAATATTTTGTATATTAATTCCAGTAAAGTTATCACTTTAACTGTTCCTGAGATCATTAATATGGAGATCAAGAAATATTTGTAAAAAGCATCAGTGGAAAGAAAATGTAATTTTTTAAAAAAATCCCTTCTGTAAACATAAATCCTCCTATATTGTATATACATTTTTTTTTGCTATTAGCCCAAATTATTTTCCCCTGTAAGTTGGTATGAGAAGGGGAATGACTGAAAAAAAATCAAACTAAGATGGATTAACCAATATTCCCCAACCCACAATGTTCTCCTTCTGCCCATATTTAGTCTATAAAGTCAAAAGGAATGGTATTTGAAAGGACAATATGTGGAAAAATATATGAAAGTACAAGAAATATTTTAGGAAATGTCAAAGGAACCATGGATCTGATCAAAAACTAACTGCTGACTGGAATTATTGGCTTTAACAGTATATTATGGATGGTGAAATTAATGGAATTGGATGATGACAAAACTAACTACTTTGATTAAAGAAAAGACTTTGTCTAGCTTTGTTTCTACATGGAAACAACTTTTGGACTTTTTGCTTGAGAGTGAAAGAAATGCTATATTAATTTTGGGATTTTATCAACGATGGAAGCTTTTTTACATCCAAACTTGGTAGACTTTGAAAAAATTTGGACATATAGAGATATTCTAAATACTGATGGGACTTTAAGATCAAGACAAGAATTGGAAAATCAGGGTCTCAACCTGTCATGGTGGGCCCATCTATAAATGTAAAATAGATATGAAAAAGATGTGAAAATGTATGGGTTTTATAAAGAATAAACTGTATTTGATAAGATATTAACTTCTGATGAGAAATTAAGAAAATGTATAATTTTATGTTAATTTTGGAGATGGAAAGTGAATAAGTTAAAGGAACAATGACAAGGTGGGTGGAAAAGTTTGGTTATAACATAGAACTAGAAAAATGGCAAAAATTATGGGAGAGAAACTATAAATTGACAATGTCAACCTCGTATGAAGAAAATTTATATGAAATGTTTTATAGATGGCACTTGCCACCAGCAAGATTAGCAAAAATGTTTAAAAATATGTCAGATAGATGTTTGAAATGTAAACATAATTTAGGGACGTATTATCATATTTGGTGGACATGTGGTAAAGCAAAGGCTTATTGGAAAAAGATACATGTTTGGTTAGAAAAAACGTTGGGAGAACATGTGGAATTTAAACCTGAACTTTTTTTTACTAGGTATAATGCCAGAAAAGACTAATAAACAAAGTTTATATATGAGCCGAGGTGGCGCAGCAGTTAGAATGCAGTACTGCAGGCCACTTTAGCTGACTGTGTTCAGCAGGTCAGCAGTTCAAATCTCACCGGCTCAAGGTTGACTCAGCCTTCCATCCTTCCGGGGTAGGTAAAATGAGGACCCAGATTGTTGGGGGCAATGTAAATATATATATATATACATTGCTTACCGGTGTACACCGCTTAGAGAGTGCTTGCACTTAAAGTGGTATATAAGTCTCATAAATAAAATAAATAAATATTTGGCTTTACACGTCATAACAGCAGCAAGAATAGTCTTCGCGCAATATTGGAAAAATGAAGCAGTACCACCAGAGGAAGAAGTACTTAAAAAAATATCGGAATGCGCAGAAATGGACAGATTAACTATGAATTTGAAAGATAAAGAAGAAACAGAATACTACCAAATCTGGGAGCTATCCTACAAATGGTTAGAGGAAAGAACCAAGGATTAGGAATTGATTATGTATTAGCGTTTTTGAATCCAGACAGCATGCTGGTTGAAAAATTAACATATGTGTGTAAGAGAAAAACTAATAAAATTCTTATTAAAAATAATTTGGGGATTTGACAACTAGAATTGTTTATGGAAATACTGTGCATTATTGAATTTAAGATCAAAAGATTAATGTATTTTATATTTGTAACTGTATTGAAGAAAGTCAGAAGTTATTCTGTTTTTATTTTCTTTCTCCCCCTTTTTCCTTTATCCCTTGTAATTTGCTCCTCCCTATTTTATTTCCAATTATGTCTGTGTTTCTATGTATAATTCTTTATAGAAATTTAATAAAGCATAATTAAAAACAGTATTTTATGGAGTCTTTATAATTTTAAGAACATGTTTCTAGTATTCACTATAGCAGAGAACAAATTAAAACGAACACATAGAAAACTACTGAAAATGCAGGGTTAGCAAAATATTCACAAAATGGGCACTCCTGCACGTTTTTTCATGTTCTAAGTGCTAAACAATAGATTCAAAATAATGTTAAATTATTCTGTGACACCACAGAGCTTTTACACATTTTAAGAAACAAAATGTAGCGTTAATTTTGGGATATATGGGAGCAATTCATTCTAGCTAGTTCTGCACATCAAGTCTCTAAAACTGGTACTCTATAGTTATGCTGTAGTCTTTGGGATCAAATGCAAAACATAGATCCTTGTTTTATGTTGAACTACTGCTGGAAAACCTTATTTCAGGTGCAATCATTTCTGCTTGGTTAAAAGCATATTTATCACTAATTCCATCCAAACAGGAACTATAGAATCAGGAAACAAAAAACCCACCTGCTTACTTTATTACAAAGGCAACATTAAGAGATGAAGGTCTTAATCTCCCACCAAAAATATTTACCTTTCATGCACGTTGCTCAATGTTATTGACTGACGAATAGCCTAAGGAAAAATAAATGAAAAATGCCTTATTTGGGGTTGATGTAAAAATAAGTGGTAAAGACTCTTAAACATTATATACTTCAGGAAACACCTTGAATGAAACATGTTTGAGGGAGTGGAAATTATAGGGACTTTCTGTCACATTAGAACTCGCCAATTACACAAGCACAGATAACTGAACATAGGTTGAGAAATCCTGTTCCAGGTAAATAAAGATAGATGTAACTTACTATTGGGCTGATAATCCAGGCTAGGAATCTTCGTATCCAATAAGGTAATTTTAGCAGCAGCACGGTACACTTTAGATTTGGATCTACGGGTTCACCTTCACTGAAAGGCAACCAAGACAATCCAAGTAAATAAATAAAATGCTACGGTAATTTTCAAAATGGATGCTATCTTTAGGCATCAGCTATCACTGCTGGCATCCAGAAATGTCTGTTTGCCATGTGAATTAGCAATTCTGATTAATCTGTAAACCAAGAGAAAAATCCTACTAAATCAGACATATAGGTGGTCCTTGAGTCAAAACCATTTATTTAACAACAGCCTGGAATTACAGAGGCTTTTGAAAAGGGTGTTTTACAGCCAATACAGCTTTTCCAGCAATCATAAAATGTTGCACTACCACTCCGCAGTCACGACGTGATTGCAATCTGTGTACTTGGTAGAAGTGGGCTTTATGTAGAATCTTACTTCTCTCTATTGTGAAAGCTATCCATTTAATCTAACCTTCATCCTAAACTTTTTTTTAACCAATTACTGATTTATAGAAGGACCTCTTAACTCATTACCTGTAAATTTCTTCAAGGATTTTCAATGAGGCACTTTTATCAAGAGCTTTTGGGGAAGTTCAACCATAACAACCTGGTGTTCTGTCAGATCCTAGTATAAATATAAGCTACAGCAGCTCAGTTCATCTATCACACTAACCCAAAATAAAACAAACTACTATATATTATGGGTTAAAATGATCCATCTAATGTCTATTAAATGCCCAATCAACATGTTTGGGGTGCTCTCCAAATCATTTTAGAGGGATAACAAGGCAGGCCTTTTCTACAGAAAAAAAAAACTCTATCCAATTCTTCAACAATGCTTTCACTTCTGCACATTTGATTGTATTAATTATATTTCAATTTTTCTATGCAAGATAGACATTAAAATTAACTCACTATCAATTTTGGCAGCTCCCAAGATCCTTTTTTTTTTTTTCAAAAAGTTATTGCAATTTTCTTCCAACCCCAACTAAGAAATTGACTTCAATTACAAACTGCATAAAGCTGTCACATACTGAAATTCTTTATTTCTTGCTGGTTCCATGTCATTCCACTTTTAAAAGGCACGTTCTAAAAATGTCCATAAAATGGTTCAAGCTTTTAAACAGGTTGTTCATCTGTAGTGAAAACTGATTTGAATAAATTAAGTCTCTCCTGGGCTGATTTCTTGGTTCTGTTATACTGAAAGCTTTTTTTATTTGAATTTATTTTAGTTTAATAACAACAACAACAACTTTATTGTCACTTTGAATGTACACCAATCAGCATACATCAAAATGAAATTTCATTGCATACAGCTCTCAAAGGGCCACCACCTCCGATATACACTCCTTGTTCATGGCCAGCTCAAGTTTCAGATTGTCCATTTTAATCTCTAGGGAGCAAACGAAATGGAGCTCCGTGTGGATTAGCCCTCAAATTAGCTTGCATTCCTGCATGGCAACCTCGCCTCCTTTCCTTTTTCTGATCCTGACTCTTCCACCTTTTCCTTAAAGAGGCCTTGCTTCTTTTCGCTCCTGGAGCACGCGGCTGCTGCCACCAACTCCTCCAAAAGCCTATCTCTTCCACTGGGCTTGCCGACAGCTTCATCCAGTTCCTTCGCTCCATAAGCCCTGGAACCTCTCCTCCTCTGCCTCCTTTGGAAACAGCCCTGATTTGCAATATAATCCATCGCTAGGCCAGCAGTCAGATCTTGTTGCTGGCAGAAAAAAATTCAAACAGCGCCAAAGACTTTTAACAGTCTCACCAACGGTTCCAAAACAGCTAGAAACTCGCCATGCCAGCAAAGATTGTTGGTCGTATGTTTTACCTTAGTTCCACCACATTGCTCAATCACATTAAAACCTTCTCGATCATGTGGCCTATATCCCTTAATATTCCTCCAAAAATTATTCACCTTCGAGAGCCAATGCAGAACTCTTATATGACTTTACTTCTCAAATTCATGTTTTGCTTTAAAAAAAATCTATCGTCTATGTCACAGGTGTCAAACTCGCTGTGTCATGTAACGTGTTGCGACGTATCACGACTTTTTTTGGCACTGTTGGAGCTGGGGTGGGTATCCATATGATGTAACCTGATCTATGTAATGTACTTTTTTAAAAGGTGAGTATATTGTCCCTGTAAGTATGTCTTCCTCATTTCTTTACTAAGGAAGGTCCTTTTTAAAATGAGAGTAAAGGTGATGTAATAGTTAAGATGCCAAACTGGCCTGGGAAAAGACCCAGATTCTAATCCACTTTGAGAAACAGAAGCTCACTGGGTCAAATAGGGGCCAATCACTCTTGGTCAGCCCAACTTACTTCACAGGACTGTTGTTGGGCAGCAGAACGGGAGAGGAAAACTGTATTTGTCACTTTGGACACTTGGAAGAGAAGTGGTATACAGGTAATCCTTGACTTACGGCCACAAGTGGGCCCAAAATTTACACTGCTAAGCAAGACAGTTAAATGAATTTTGCGCTGTTTTACTATCTTTCTTGCTATGATTAACTGAATCACTGCGGTTGTTCAGTTAGTAATATCGTTGTTAAGTGAATCTGGCTTCCCCACTGACTTTGTTTGTCAGGTCACAAAAGGTGACCACAGGACACTGCGACAATTATAAAGACATGCCAGTTGTCAAGCCTCCAAAGTTTGATCACATGACTAACAAGGATGTTGCAACAGTCATTAAGTGTGAAAACTGGTCATTAGACACTTTTTTCAGTGACGTTGTAACTTCAAATAGCCACTAAACGACTGGTTGTAAGTTGAGGATTACCTGTATGTATCTAATAAATAAATAAAATGTTGCCCAAGACTTTCACCTACTGCATTCCTCTCTCTCGTGATTTCCTTGTTGTTCTCTGGCATTCATTCAGATTTGTATATACTTTTCTCTTACACTGGCAGCAATGTTCCATTTGAGATTTCACTGCACAATTTAAGTCTCTCACCTATATTGATGTGTTGCACTGATTACATCACTTTGAATTCTTGTAGGATATTTCTGTATCTTGTTCCCAGCTTTTAATTTTAACCTGGAATAGTGGGACTAAAAGCACTATATATTCAAAGATGAGGTTTATGATTAAATGGAGATCTGAAGCTGAATTTTCTCCATTTAAAGATTGTAGAATATTGTCCTGTGTGTATTACTGCAGAAGGCTGTTTTATGCGGTATTACATCCCTTCACATACACACATACAGGCAGTCATCATTTACCAATTGCCTTGTCTAGCGGCTGTTTGAAGTTACAATGGTGGGGAAAAAAACTTTTCAACCACTCTTTGCAGTTACGACTACTGCAGAGACACAGTCTTGTGATCATCATTCACTGTTATACAACTGGCTTCCAACAAGCCAAATTAATAGATAAAGCAGGAATAAAATTACAAATCAAAGTCACATGATTGCAGTGATTCCCATGTGACAAATGCAAAGAGACATCATAAGCTCATCATGGTAATGTGATTTTCCATTTAGCAATGGTGGCACTTAATGATGGAGTTGCCAGTTATAATTGTGGTCAATAAATGAGGACTACCTGTAGTATTTTAGATCTATAATAAAAGTTTCCAGCAAAGTTAGGGATGTTGTTGTTTGAAGCAAGGGGAAAAAAGATTCATACAGCTGAAGTTCACTAGTCCCAAATGTTTCATTCATAGCAGCTTTCAGCATCACAAAAATGTAAAGCCCTGTCTCCCTACCTATTGAGAATAATTGGAAACACAAGAGAAGAGAAGGGGAAGGGGAAATCACATTCACAAAATAAGCCTCTTATTTCCTCACATATATACTTCAGACTATAGAAAATACAATACTTACAAAGACTGTAGGAAAGTGGCACCACCATCCCTAAAGAATGACGCACCATTGAAGTTGCTTATAAAATGGGCCATGTGATGTGGCTCAAAGGGGACCAACTAAAAGAAATGAAAGAACATTTATAATAGTGATTTTTTTAATTGGGGGATATACAATATGACTGAGAAAAAACCCCAATTCTCTAAATAAATGTTTTTCAAACTTGGCTATTTTAAGATGTGTAAAATTCCCCAGCATGCTGACAATGGGAGTTGAACTCTATGCATCTTAAAGTTGCCAAGTTCAAAAACATTGCTCTAAATTAACAAAATGGTAATGTATTCATTTTCATGTGATTCAATCTTATACTTGGAGAAAGGCTTGCACAACACTACTAAAGGTCAACAGAAATGGATGTCCTGTGTAAATTATCAATTGGAAACCATCTGAGGGCCATCCCATATGTAAAGACACTCCTGCGTTAAGCAAATCTGATCAATTTTTTAAAAACTCTATAATGGTGGACACCAAAACTAGCATAATAATTAATAAGGAAACTACAGAGATGAAGCAAAGTGAATACAGCATTTAAATACTCAAAAGCAAAATAAGCCAGGTTGCTTTTTGTATGAAACTCCTACCTTTATTGATAACAGGTTGTGCAATAAAGTTAGCAGGGAAGGAGGGAAAACCCAGATAACACTTATGTGAAGTTTTGCTCTCTCCTTCTCTGCTGTTGCACCCTCAACAAAAATCTCTTACTCCTCCTGATGTTGCCTTCTGAAACAGACATCCCCTTGGTAGGACACATACTTCCCTCTCCGCTACTAAGTATACATACCACATGGCCATTTCTTTCCAGAAGCTCCTTGGTTTCCAGCACAGCCCGTCTCACGGAAGGGCTTGGCATACTATAGGAATTAGTCTCATGATACCCTATTCTGAGGGGACGTGAGCTGGTATAAACCTAGAGCAACAGAAGAGCAAGAGAAGTTTTCAAAACAATTAATCATAGTAGATGCCTTAAAAGCAGGACACCACACTGGATAAATCAGCATTAGTTACAGAATCATCCATTTCTCAATCATTCAACTTCTTTATCTGCTGGTGTAAATATCAACCCACTGGCTTAACTCCAGAGGCTAACAGACAAGGATACTTAAGCCAATAAAGTTCTTTAGCCAACAGTTCTGAAGCACAGGACCAAATTGTGAAATGTTTTCCCAGGATGTCAGTGTCTGAGCACGCTAAACCAGATTCAAAGGGAAAAAACAAGATAGTCCTTTAAATATCCTTTTCCCTGTGGGCAAACATACAATGCGTTGTCACAGCCGAGAGAATGATTTGGTTCACTATTATTTCTCTGAAGCTGAGAAACAAAAGGGACAGACTGAACTGAATTTTGAGGTACAGGTAATCCTCGACTTACGATCATAACTGAGCTTGCAATTATGATCTTAAATCATTCTGGTCGCAAAGTAGGTCATCGTGATTACGCCAATTTTACAATTTTTCTTTTGTGATGGTTGTAAAGCAAACATGGTGGTGGTTAAGAGAATCCATTTTCTGCAATTTATTGGAAACTGGAAAGAATGTCGCGTTCCAGCAAAAAAAAAAATATTGTAAATTGTAGTCCTGTGACTGTAGGACACTCAAAAGGGCCATCAATATGGGCCAGCTGCCAAGAACCCAAAATGCAAACACATGACCACGGAAGGGGAAGAGAGGCTGTCACTAGTCGTAAGTACTATTTGGGGGTCCGTTGTAACTTTGAGTGGTCTCCAAGCAACAGATTGTAAGTCCAGGACTACCTGTGCACTTAGCCTGTAAATGCAGCCTACGATGTATCATATTACTTGGTTTCTTTCCCAAGTGTTACTAATGCTTATTTATTTTAAAATAACCACTTCTCTCAGTGAAATGCAAAAAGGAGAGTGGCATTCATTCCTCAGTGTTGATGTATTTCTACTATTTGTCACAGGTAAAATGGCATAATGTTCATTTCGTGGAGATATGCTTATTATATGTAGAAACAATCCATGTTGTTAATAGATTCTCAAAGGGAAGGTAGAGATATTTTCTTGATTATACCCTTTTCTCATAATGCTGCTCAGGGAACTCTCTGGCCAGCTATTTAATTCATATGTGGGTTTTTTTTCTGGGGTGATGTAACTAACACAGGAGCCCAGGCAAAGCCACAGCATCTTTAAGGGAGTGGTAATGGTTGTGGCAAGCATGTCCGTGTTTTTCTTCAAGGAAGCTGTTCTTCTTCTGATTCCAAGATCTGTGCATGGTTAGTAGGATCACTGATCTTACTTGGTCATTGAAAGGAAGAGGTGGCACTGTGGGATCCAGATGGAACATTTTCTTGCACAGGAGAGCTTTCAGGCAAAGGGCAAGGCTGTCAACATCCCGCGCCATTGGTCCCACGCCCACAGAAACTGGAAGAAAGAAACAAGGAAACAGGAAGCATTCAAGAATAGCCTTTTTTTAGGACTCAGAAAAATCTGAGAGGAAAGTTTCAACCACTGAAGCTCACAAAAAGTGATTAACTCCTAAAGAACCAACTCATTCCCTACTTTTCAGAATGAATGACCTCTCTTCCCCATTTTCATTAACACTATAAGAAGAGCACCTTTTTTAATACAAGGGGATATCAGAAAACAATTAAAGAATACTGTAAATATAAAGACTTTTTTTTTTTACTCTTTTCTATTTTCAACCTTCTCTTTTTTCAGGGGAATCTTGTCGAGAAGGTGGTTTGCAGCTCCAGAGAGCCCTGGATGAAAAGGGCTTAACAGTACTCTTTTCAATCAAGTTTCAGACAGATGCCAGCCCTTTTGAGGTAGCTGAGACAAGAAGCACCAAACCAGAGTACTACGATTCAGTAACAGAAACCCACATGTCTGAAAGTATCTTTTCCCTCCTTTATTTCTACTCTGCTGAAAAACTAAGAAGGGATTCTTCTAAGACTCTTTCTCTGCCTTCACCTGTTCAGACTGTTATCGTTTATTAAACCACTGCCTAGCATGCAGCTTTTTCTCTCGTCTCCCAGGGTCAAATCCACATACCACTACAGAAGAATAATCCGTCTCAAAAGCTATGGTACATTCAATGTCTTTCAACAGGAAGACCTCAGGCTGGCGAGAGAAAATGCTGTCAACACGGCCTGATACTAAACAAATGTCATTCAGTTTTAATTTATTTATTCTATATATGTTATATTTCTATGACCTATTTTATACCTATTTTATTTGCTGAGTGTCGAAAGCTATATGTCTCCAATTTGTAGTTGCTTCTGAAATGAATGAAGAACCATTAAACCAGTCTGCAATACTGAGATGTTATTGATCACACTTTTAATTATCCCTGGAGCAGATTGGGAGTCCTTGATCTCTCCATAGATCTAGCCCAGGGATAGGGAACCCTTGGCTCTTTGATGACTTGTGGACTTCAATACCCAGAATTCCTGAACCAGCCATGCTAACTTAGGAATTCTGGGAGTTGAAGTGCACAAGTCATCAAAGAGCCAAGGTTCCCTACCCCTGATCTAGCCATAGATCCTGACTTTGTGAAGTCTTCTGGAGGAGGCCATCTACTGCCAGAGAATTAAATAACATCAACACACTGATGATACAAGTAGTTCTCAATTGAGCCCAAAATTTCCATTGCTAAGCAAGGTGGTTGATAAGTGAATTGTCAACCACAACAATCACAGTGACTCACTTATTGACTGTCATAAAATCAAATCTTGTCATATAGTGGACTTGACTTGTGACTGGAATGACTTACGATCAAAATTCTGGGCTCAGTTATGGTCCCAAGTTAAGGACTACTTGTAATCCTTTGTTAGTCACCCCAAGTTACAATTTGCAAATTGGGCAGCTATTATATAAATCAATTAAATAAATTTAAAAAAAACCCTAGTTGCTAAGCTGAGTTTATACTTTTTTGAAAAGCTGCCACATTTTCAAAATTTACTTGGTAGAAATTGATGAAACTGTTTTTTCTCAGAACAAGAATGTCAAAGAATAATTTATTCATGTGAAACAAACTTCCCATTTATCTAATCAAATAATAGTATCTTACCTGTTCTCTGACCAGGGATACACGGAGTAATTCCTTTTTTGCTATAGAGACATCAAAAGAGTAGTTTTAGCAAAGCTGTTAAGCATCACAATTTTCAACATCAATTCCTCTTTGAACTCATTCCAGCACTTAACACAGATGACATGTTGAGAATATTTCCAGTTCACTTTGTTGAACAGGGTTAGCCGATACAAACTAAAATAGCCAAGATTCCAGCCAAGCCTATTAGACTAGCAATAGCACTTAAGACTTATATATCACCCCATTAATACAAACATAATTGATAAACATTGGAAGTTCACAACATTGTGATTAGGGTACAGCAGGGAAAACAAGACAACCTATTCAGATGTTAAACAGAATTCACTTGAAATGAACATAAGGTTACAGACGTAAAAAGCAATTCAACAAAGGTTGAATGAAACAAGATTTTGCCTAATCGATGATCTGACTTATTAATTTTCACTATTTGAATTAATTATTAGTTTCCCCATTCTTGGCAACTCTGATATACAGTTACAATAGATCAGGAATCTGAGATGAATAATCCACATATTTTAAACTCTGTATTTTAAGGATTAGAGTTTGTATACAACCTAATTCTGTTGCTAGTGGTTTTTAAACCACAAATTCCACAAAAGCCACTTGGGATACGAATGCTGCCTCCTATATCTGTGCCAATGCCCAGAATGGATCCTCCACTTTTAATAAGAGATCCTTCCCCTCCTGACGATCCACCAGGGCTTTTAGTGTGATCCAAAGGATGCACTGTTGGTCCAAAGATCGGATTACTGCAATCATAACTGAAAAGACAAAGAATAGTGTCAGCAATTGGTTTTGGAATACTTCCAAACATTTTCCTAATAGTTCTTCCAGGCAGGGATCTAAGAATATGATTCAATTAGCCTTTTTACAAAATTATACAATAATTTTGTAAAATACAATATAATTGTATAACAAAATATAATTTTGTTATACAATAAGGTAAAGGAGAAAAAAGAAACTATAATCTCACCCCTTTAGTCAATTTCTAGAGCTGTCCCTCTGCTACAGTAAATATATGGATCTTGACTGACAATATGGGGTGGGGAGGAATATTGAAATTCCTCCTCAAAGTGAGAGGAATTACCCTTTTGTTTTAACCCACAATGATCCTAAGCAAACTGATGGATACTGGAGCTGAAATTTCTCTTATTACATGTTTTTCTTTAGGTAAACAAATCTCCATTGTAGCCTTATCTACCTCACAGATCTCTGACTGGCAGGCTTTGGTTCCAAGACCATCGCAACCAATGTGGAACACATGTTAGTGTAAGCCCCCAAAAACAATACCCATTTCTAAAGGCTGCTGAAATGGTGATTACAAAGTTTACTAGCAATTTAAGCTGTTTTAATAGTCCCCTCTGGCCAATTTTGAAAACAGATGGGAGAAATTACAGGCTAGAGAATTCACAGGCTAGAGAATTCATCCCAACCCTATTTTGTGGCATCTGTTGTTTAAACTCGATGCCTAGGGGAGGAATATGTGAGATGAGGCTGAAGCTGACATACCTAAAGCTGTAGCAGGCTGGACAAAAAGCCAGGAATTTTGTCTAAAAGATCTCTTTGGGAGATAGACGAGACAAAATTGCTAAGGTAATAAAAGAATGTCACCTGAACCAGACAAAACAAGTTGCACCTCACCACATGGAAATGCTCCCCCCCCCCCACGAAGTGCCATCAGCAGGTACCAGACTTGTAAATCAACAAGGCAAAAGTAGCTGCCAGTTTTATGAATCAACAAAGCAAGGACTTTGGGGGACAAAAGGGGCTCTGAAGCCCACTTACTCTTTGTCTTTGGACCTAAGACTTGGTGGCTTCCATTCCTCTAACTAGTGCCTGGCAGCCTAGTTGAGAAGGACAAGGGTAGGGGTAGGGGTACCGGTAGCTATGGAGGAATGCATATATATGAGAGAGAAAGGGCAAATGTATGATGTTACTAAAAAAGTTTTACTCTTATTTTAATTTCACTGGGTCCCACTGTATTCCAAAGAACCAGCTGTGAAAGTGGTTTGAGTGTAGCTGTTGAGTGACCATAAGCCAAACCCAGGAGCGCATGTAACAGCATGCCTGGGGAGCAGCAGGAGGAAGAAGATGGCAAAGGTCAGCAAGGGTGGCAAGGGCCCAAAAGGCAGATAGGTGGGTGAGAGAGTTGAGTTGAGTTCCTCTGATTGTAAATGCAGGAGAGCTGCCAAACATCTGAACTTTGATCATGTGACCGCAAGAGTACTGCAAGAGCTATAACTTCAGCGCCTGGTCCCTTCCTTCAGTGCCACTGTAACTTCAAATGATCACTGAATGAATAGTCTTAAGTCGAGGATTATCTGTATAGAAAAATCAAAACATAAAAAATACATGATTTACCTCAACAGAGATTGGGGAACATTTGTTTTTACAAATGGAATTGCTCCTTGATGTTTCAACACCTGCACTATAACAGCGTCTTCTGCTGCCGGCTGGAAGAGACGTTTTACAAAGCCCAAAGTAGTGTCAGAGCCCTGTGGTGAGGAAAAAGATGTAAAGAGGAGAAGGAAATTCCGGTTCCCCAGAGAAACATCAGGTAACATTCAGTGATGCTGCGTTTAAGATGTTAAAAAGCACCAGTAAATTGATAATGTTTTTATCCATTGTCCTGTAGAACATTAAGAATATTATTATGCAGACGGTCCAAGGACAAATTCTTTACAGAAAATAGAACTAGCTGGATGGTGAAGTTGACTGCTTTAATCAGAAAAAAATAACTTGACTAACTTTCTTCTAACTTGGAGACCACTGTTAGATTTCTTAAAAAGCAAGGAGAAAAATCAGGTTTTGACTTTGGATTTTGAGTACGAGATTTGATTTGACTAGAGAAATATTGAGGAGTCTTAATTTTATTTATATTTGTCAGTTTAGTATGTTAGACTAAAGTTAAGTGAAGAATATATTATGAATATATTTTTTGAATGTTGAATATTAATTTGATAAGGCATTTTAAGTATTGGTATTATTCATAAGAGAGGCTATTGTGTTAAAATTTCTTTGTTAGAAAAAGTTGGAGGTCATGTTATATATTTGGGGTTTTTTTGTTATTTTTTAACTTGTCCTATTATTCCCTTCCCCCTTTCCTTTTATATTAGTTTGTATTTTAATGCTTTTTTAAAAAAGAAATATAATTTTAAAAAATCACATTTAAAGAAACCATATGTAATAAATGGTATCAGAGAACTTCATATGTTTTAGCAGACAGCAATCAATGTTAAGACTGCTGTGAAACACGCTTTAGCATAAGGTACATTTTATTTTGGTTATCACAGATCTAAACACATTTTCTAGCACATTTTTAAGATATAGCTGATTTCCCACACAGCATGCAACATGGATTTTTGGTTATTTGATTTAAAAGCTGTCTAATTGCAAAACCACTCACAAATTTAAACACACATCTTAAAGCCATACAAGAAACCAACAAGAGCTCCGCATACCCACTCAAGGCCCACCCCTGCGATACCTTGCAGTTAATGGAATCCTTTATGCTGACGGGAACTCCATAGAGCAAGCCCTTTTCCCCTTCGCTGTTCATACGCAGAAGCTGGGATTCCTCTGCTATGTAATCGGTTATGCAGTTGACATCTGCAGTCACCCTCAAGGCCTAGAAAAAAGCAGGGAAAGACAATCTCTTCATTTCTCCTGTGAAATGAAGCCCACCTTTACAAGAGGAGAAAAAAAAACAACTCGAAGGCAAGTCCATTTGGTCTACAAAATTACCTCATGCCTGAAGAGAATTGCTTCCTCTACCTCTTTACTTTCTCTTGTGAGTTATGTTACCCTTTTCTTTTTCTCAAAATGATTCTCATATCTAAAGACTGGAACGCCCCAATGTAGAAGCTAAGTAGGTTCTGAATATTCCAGGGTAAAATCTTTCACTCAGCAGGTATATAATATCAGTCTCAGAAGGTTAAAAAATAAAAAATACGATTCTTGCTTGAGTCTTTGAATCAAGGTCGGCTCTTTATGTTTCACAATCACATTTAATAGCTGGTTTTGGTAACAATATGGAATATTACTACTGTCTTCTTCTAGGACAGTGGTTCTCAACCTGTGGGTCGGGACCCCATTTGGGGTTGAACGACCATTTCACGGGGGTCGCCAAACAACGCAGTCCGCCATTTTTTCCCCTTTTCCTTAGCTGTGCTACTCCCTTTTATTCTATTGGCTTTTGAAAGCCAATAGAATAGACTCTCTTGAATAGATTCTAATTCTATTGGCTTTCAAAAGCCAATAGGAATTGTCCAGGCTGTCTCTGCCCTGCTGAGCCCGCCAAAAGTCCCATTCTGCAAATGGTGCTGCACCAGTTGAATAGTCCTTGACTTACGACCGGTTGAGTAGTCCTCGACTTACGACCGGTTGGGGGTCGCGGCATTAAAAAGGTTGAGAACCACTGTTCTAGGATATTTTTTCAGTTTGCCAAACTAAACTGCCTTATAGCCCTAAGTTTTCCTGTTGTTCTCCCACCCAAATACTAAAACCAGCTTTCATTCTGCTGAACTTTCCAAGGTCAGGTAGGTATTGCTACTTTGAATCTATTTCTGCTATAGGCCAATTTGTTCTTTCTTACTAGAAGTTTCATTTCTATATATTTATTATCAAATTATTTCTTGATTAAGGCTTGAAAAGATTATCCATTGTTGGCTTTTTTTGGGAAAGAAACTATGTATACCTTACCTTGGACTATTTAATCACTGATTCAATGAGTGCTTTTTTTCTGAACAATTAGCCAGAGAATGTGTTTATGAAGTTTATTGCCTCACTGACAAAATGCTTTCTTTGCAGGAGAGATAAATTTGCTAATACTACTGAGACCCTTATTACAGCAATAGCAAAGAAGATGCCATAGATATATGTGTGATCCACAAGAAATATGCAGATTCCTAAAACAATTTTCAAATCTACTTTTTAAAACATGTTTATGGATCCTCAGGAAATTTCAGCTGAATCATAAGAATCCTATCCTACACATAGTTCTCATTTTTGTTAACTTAGGGAATGATGCCTCACCTTGTCCACATAGGTGTAGACAACACTCTCAGGTGTAAGTGAACCATCTTCAAGTTTCTGACAGAGTTCAGGCAAACTCAGTGATAAAATAGGTTCTGGTTGGTGATTTGGATTCTGAAAGAGAAAAAATCCTCATGTATAATAAAACACTGCTTCTTATGTAATTTATCTATAAAAATTTAGGATTTTTGTAATATAGCTGAAGCTGAGTCCAGTATAAACTAATCAGTCCTCTAACTGATGCTCTGATCCATATTAAAAACAATGCTAAGCAGATTCAACCTTATACATGTAAAATGTGTGTTTCATGAAAAATATTAATGCGGTTCTTGCTCAGTCACATTTTTGGCAGCGATTAAACACAGGATAATTAGGAAAGTATTAATACATTATCATCAGTTTATCTATATATTCCTAAAAACTCTTGTTGTTATGATCTTTAACTGGGCAAAATGGTGCACCATAGGGCAACAGTTTTTGAAGCAAGGTACCTCAAATGGGCTAACTTACAGAACGTGTCCAAAATCTGGGACCCGATTCTTGAGGTATTAAAATTTGAGAAAGCTGTAACTGCTACTGGCTGCTGGTGCAGTCACATGATCTTCATTTTCAATGTTCCATGACAGTTTCCCAGCCAATCTCACAATCCTTTACTCCCTTTCTCACCCAGCAGCAACGGCTTACTCTTTGTTGGGAAGGGAAGAGGAAGAAAAGGAAAGGATAGCAATTTTGATCATGTGACTGTGGGGATTAAAGAGGTTTAAGGAGGCTCCATTTGTTTGGGGAATGTTTATGAAGATTGTCAGTCATCCAGGTCATGGCTCTTCCAAAGATGCTTTTTTCAAAATGCAATTGGATGCTGTTTTTCCTTGAAGACATTTCACTTCTCATCTAAGAAGCTTCTTCTCATCCAAGAAGATGGATGAGTTCTGAAGTATAAAAACCCACCACTCCCTACTACATGTGGTCAGTTTTCCCAAAGCCATCTTTCTGTCTGGCTTTGCTCTTCAATAAACTACAACCTTTCTAAAGCAGTCTCCATTTTGATTATTCCCAGCATGGACTGGATCTTGATGAAGATCTTTTCTTTGGACAGTCTTCATTTTAATTATGAAAATGAAACAGCCTTTTACTCAAGAGAAAACCTTGACTCTGATGAAGTACACAATAAGCACAGGCAAATTTCCAATTCTGCATACAGTGACTAATATTCTAATCAGATAAAATACAAAATAGAAGTGTTTTATTAGATAAAGCCATATAAATTATTTATGATGTTGGTCTATTTTAACCTCATTTAATTGTTACCCATCCAGACATCAATTTGAGATAGGTGCCCATATAAATTGAACAAAAAAAAAAAATACTTGTCAGACATGTGCATACCAAAACCTTCCAACTTCTCCACCTCAACTGCCCAGTGATCTCCTGCAACTCAGAATAGCGAAACTGAATTCATAGAGAGCAGAATTTAAATCTCTAGAACCCAGACACTTGACGGGATTTTTTGGGTGTGGAATGAAAAAAAAAATTGATAGAAGTAAATGAAAGATCTTCAAAATGTAATATTGAAAGAGAAATTTAAAATTCCCAGCCCTAAAGGTCGGATTGCCCCTGCTCAAACAAGGAGGAATTGAAGATCCCGAGACGGAAAGCCAGGACCCAGTGAAACCTAAGGGAAAGTCGGCCGACCTAAGGAAGGACTTCAACTCAGCTTGACAGGTAAGATACCAGAGGGGTATCTATATATCAGAGAAATGTTAATGGGCAATAAGAGTTTGAAGAGGAGGGACACCTCCCCAGCCAGTGTGCCGGCCAATAAGGAAAAAGAGGAAAGGTATTTACATTCTGGAATGAATCCCTTAGGGAGATGGGAGTCCCTTAGGGAGAATGTTGAAGTATTTTAAGTCAATGCTTTAAACAAGGCATTTGCTATACCTGGCCTAAGTGCATGTTTGGCCAGCCAATAAATTAAATTGGGCTTCTCAGCTTGGCTTAGAGCAGTGGGGAATGGATAGGCAGTGGTTAAGGTCTACCAGAAACACTCCTTGCATTTCCCCACTGCCTGGAGAACAAGCTACAAGTTGCCCCAAAAGAGTAAAAGTGGAAATTTAAAGTGGAAATGATGTTTAAGGGTTTGTGCGTTTGGGGTTTGTGTTGACTCATTTCTAAAAGAGGGGGAGGGGAAGAGAGACCCTCTAACAGTAATATACAAAAACAACAAGGTCTTATTCCAAAAGGAAATTTGGGAAATGGAACTCATTGGCTTTGAAAAAGCTCCTTGAAAATAAGAACGATTGTTTTGCCTGGGGTGAAGCATTTGGAATTTTTTTGTGTCTGGTGTAAAAGCAAGAAAGGGTGAAGAAGTTTCTTAGTTATTAGAAGAACAATGGAAGGTGTTAAAAGAATGGAAATAATCAGATGGAAGAGAGGGGAAGAGAGAGAAAGAAAGGAGCTGTGTGAAGTTTTATGCCTGGCCAGGATGAAAGGCGAGAACTCTGATCTGCTATTTTGTGTGAAAGAGTTAAGTAGAAAGCTATGTATTTCTTGAGGCTCCTATAGTTTGGAAGATGACAAGAGAGGGGAAAACCTCTCTCCGAGGGGGGGGGGGGGATTGTCCCCCCTAACAGCTTTTGAAATCAGGCAATCTAGGAAAGAATTGCCCAAACTAATAGAAGATCCTATTGGAGTAGGAAAACAGGTTAGAAATGTTTTTAGGACCAATGGAAAGCATGGGAAGGTATTAGGGTACAAATGCAGAAATTAGACACATGGAAAACTAAAACAATAGAAGATTTATTACCGGTAAAAGAGGCTCAGAAAGTATATGCGAAGAGAGAAGAAGAGAGAGATAAACGTAAGATAAGATAAAAATCATGGCTCAATTGTTGCAAACAGGCCAGCAAAGAGGATGGGGAAGAGTAATTAGGAAATCAGTAAGGCAGGCTGGGGGTGAGGACAGCCAGTTGGCACCAGGGGATATAAATCCCTAGGAGAAAAATTTTCCCCAGTCCTTAAATAAATAAATGTGCCTTTTGTAAGGAGGAAGGACACTGGGAAAATGAGTACCTTAAGAGGAAGGAGGGGGAAGAACTAGCAAATTTGGTGAATTTTGAGGATTAGGGGTGTCAGGGGACTAATCTGTTTTTTGGTCCAGCTTTTTAGGAACCCCTGATAAACCTTAAAGGTTGGATTCCTGGAGGAGGAAAGGGTGTACTTGGTGGATTCCGGACCACCAGATTTACCCTAAACTATATACCTCCAGGAATGCAAATTGGGAAAGAGAAGATTAAGGATCAGGATATTGGGGACATGGAGTAGAAGCAACAATATTTAAATCTGCTATGGTCCAGACAATAGTAAAAGGACCTGAACTTTGTATTGGTTAAAGGGAGCTGCAATTTGGCCAGGAGGTACTAAATTGGTAAATTGGGGTTTGTTATTATGGGGAATGAAAGAGAAACAATTGTAAATATTATGATCTTGAGTGAGGAAACTCAAGGAAAAGTGGACACTCTTATACGGGCCCAAGAGGGCAATAGAAGAGAGGTACACATGGATCCTTTAAAGGTGACTTTAAAGAACCCCGGTGAAGTAATTTACCAGATACAGTATAACATTACATTGGAAGGAAGAATGGGTTTAAAGCCCATGTGGAAGGGCTATTGAAGGGGGGGTGAAATTTTTGAGCAATCCTTTTAAACATATTTAGTTTGTTACTTTTTTTAACACAAGAATTTCTGCCTTGGAGAAGTAAGAGATGCAGAAAAAAAAGAAGATGAAAAAGGAGGGGGAGGCAGTTTCTGTCTGCATGTTTGCTTGCGTGTATGTGTGTTTTTAAAGAACAGAAATTGGGTAAAATTTCCTGACTGTAAGAATAATTAATCAGTGGGATAATTTTCTCCAGAAACTGTGGATGCTTCATTATTGGAGGTTTTTGGGAGGAGGTTAGAAATTGATAGGGTCTGAAATGGATAGAGTTTCCTGTTTCAGTAAGGGGTTGGACTAGAGGACCTCTAATGTCCCATCCAACTCTGATATTCTGTTTTTGTATGTGTGGCATGCTTCAGTGATCTTCCTTTGCATTTTAGTTTGAATTTATCCTTAATAATGCATTTGAGGGTATTCTTGTCAAAGGAACAATCTTATGATGTTTTATTTAACATCTGATAAATATGTGTCTTTGGGACTCCTTGCTACTGCAAAAAAAAAGATGATTAATTGCTGCATACTGTGTGTGTCCAACTTGTTTTCCTTTTCCTCGGAGCCAAGGAGGGGAAGGGAAATCTTTATAGAAAACCAATTTGGTTTCAGGGTTATAACCACAGACTGCAAGGCTGGATTTGAGTTCAAATCCTGCTTTAGCCATGAGGGTTGGCTGAGTGTGTTGGGGCTGGTTTATTTTTGTTCAGCCCTAGGAGGGAGGTTTTGGCAAGCCACTTCTGTAAACGTTATGGCAATTTTCCTCCTGAGGGCTGTTTCAAGCAAAAGTTTTGTATATGTGCTGCCACAAGAGTGATCTGAATGTTATTTGCCTGAGACAAAAGGCATTCCAGAAATGTTGGCCCAATGCTAATTGGTGAGCCTATGTGCTTTACCTTTTAAAATCCAGAATGTGTTATTTAAAATAAGTTTATTGAGTTATATTTTTGTAACATGGTATCTAATCAGAGTGAAAGGGGGAGGAGAAAGAAAAATGTGACAATTTTTGATAGAGCTTCCATGGACAAGTATAGTCTATCTGATACAGGACAAATGATTTTTTTCTTTCTTTCTTTTATTTCCTCCACTTTTAAGATGTGGAAGCAAATACATTTTTATGTAGCTTCCCAATTTTGTAAGATCTTATTCTGGGAATTCTAAAGAAATGGGAAAGCAACTTTTTGGCAGAAGAAAGGATTGAGGGTGTTTAGCAGATAAAGCCCAATTGGTATGAAAGGGGGTAAAATATCCAGAATATATTATAGTTGAAGGGGAAAGGAAAATAGATTGTAAAAGGATTGAGGATATAGTAGATTTATAATTACCAAACAACAAAAATGGTCTTAAGGGGATTCTGTGGTTATCACAAGGTACTGCAAGAATAGTGATCCAAAAACTATATGAGGGGAGTCATTGGGGAATTAAAGCATAGGTAGAAATGTATTTGAAATTCTATGCTACCCTTGGAATTTATGGGTTAGCCCAAAGGGCTACAGAGGGATGTTTGATATGTAAAAGGGTTAATAAAGGGTTAAGGCTCCCAAAGGAGGGAGACAAATAGCTAAATGTAGAACAAGTACTGGGGTCTCTGTCTTCTTTTTGACAGGAAGGCTTGGTGGCGCAAACAACTCCTTTTGGAATTTCCAGTCCATAAGATCCAGCCGGGACAGTGGGTGCTGATACATAAGTGGAAGGAGGAACTTCTACAACCAAAGAAAGGAAGTTCCTTATGTTAAATTTGCTGTCCAGAGGGCTGAGAAGGGTTGGACTCACTACACACGAGTAAAGGTGGTGACTGGACCTGAAAGAGGGTGGACGGTTATTCCAGGACAAGGACTAAAAGCCACGTTTAAAAGAACTTGAATGGGTAGTGGACCAGTACCCCTACTTATTTTGAATATTTCTATTAGAATTTCAGGTGACCCCAGATGAAGAACAAAAATGTTGGTGGTGACTCATCAGAGAAGTAAAAATGGTTTGTTACAAATAAAATGAATAACTAAGACAGAAATCATACCTTTAGAAACTGAAAACATAGAACTGTACATTGTAAGAATTAGGTGGTAAATGTATATCTTTTGTTATTATCACTGTGATTGCTGTATCTGTTATTATTGTTGTAATTGTGGATCAATTTGTGGATGTGAAATACTGTGTAATAATCATGAGGGGTGGATTCTACTTCTAATATTACTGAAGACAACATACCAGAACAGCCTGGGAAATAAAGGTAAAAATTTGTGGGATTTAAAGGTAGATGACAATCATGAAGCAGAATGGATATTGCAAAAGGAATCAGGAATGTGGCCAAAGCTCCTGAACAAAAGTATGGAAATATGTGGGGTGATTGGAATTGGTTAACTAATTGGTTTCCCAACACTGAATTTATTTATTTATTTATTTATTTATTTATTTATTTATTTATTTATGAGACTTATATACCGCTTTAAGTGCAAGCACTCTCTAAGCGGTGTACACCAGTAAGCAATGTATATATATATTTACATTGCCCCCAACAATCTGGGTCCTCATTTTACCTACCCCGGAAGGATGGAAGGCTGAGTCAACCTTGAGCCGGTGAGATTTGAACCACTGACCTGCTGAGCACAGTCAGCTAAAGTGGCCTGCAGTACTGCACTCTAACTGCTGCGCCACCTCCGTTAAGAAAAATGTTTCTAGGCTTAAATTTTTTAGTGGTTGTAGGACTTATGTGTTGTGCATGTCTGCAATGTATTCCTTTATGTGGATCTATTTTAACCAAAGCTGTAGGAAAAGCTTTTAGGAAAGTCTTATGAAAAGAAGAAGTTATACAGTTAATGGTTATAAGATTTTCTAAGTATGATAATGAAAACCTTTCAGTGTAATAAAAATCAAAAGGGGGGATTTGATAGAAGTAAATGAAAGATCTTCAAAATTTAATATTGAAAGAGAAATTTAAAATTGAATTTGCTGCAGTGGAAATATACTGAGTAGAGAAGCTATGGTGGGAAAGAGGAAAGGTTAACAAAGAAAGGATGTAAAGGAAATATGTAGGCAAAAATAGTTAGGTCTGAGAAAGGAAGAAGAGAAGCCATAAAAATATATAGGAAATGGCTAGCCAGGAAAAGATAGGTTGGGGAATAGGAAAATAAGCAAAATAAGATGAGAGGCACACTGAATTGAAAAGCAGGAAAAGAACTTATTGTTTAAAATGGGGACATAAATATCTACTGAGTTTAAAATAACCATTTAAATGTCTAATTTTTCTTATTCTTATTGTATATGTCAGTGTTTCCCAAACTTGACAATTTTAAGGCATGAGGACTTCAACTCCCAGAATTCCACATGCCTTAAAATTGTCAAGTTTGGGAAACACTGGTATATGTGAATATGATTTAATATGTTATCAGGAAATGTGTATAGGCAGTCAGAAAGAGTATAACCTCATACTACCTCAGCCAATGGGGAAAGAGGAGGGCTATAGCGGTGATAGGGATGAATAAAAGAAGGAAATATTTTGGGTTAAAACTTTGGAGAGAACCAAGCTCCCCGCTTATTGCAATAAACGAAACAAAAGGCCTTCACTGTGTCTTGGCTGGTTATTGGTCAGGCGAGCTTGCCTCTGGTCACAAAGGAAAGTGGCCCGGAGCACATAACAAAATGAAACTAGGAGCTTCATTCCTTTAAAAAAAGACTGCAAGAAAGTAACTCTCCCGGAGCAAGTCCATCCCCATTTCGAAGCGTACCCCTCTTGCCTCTCCCTATCTGTGAACGTGGGGATGGAGGTCTGCTTGTTGCACAGACTTTCTCGAACTGGCAGAGCGGGGGGGGGGGGGAGAAAAAAAAAAAAAACACCACAACGGCTTCCCCTGACCTGCTCTTGGAAGCGCTGAGCGGCTCTCCCCATTTGCTCGAACACGCGCTGCCGCCGGCTCCTCGCCTTGGCTATCTTGCCTTGGACCTGCCTCCTCTTCCGCCATTTCAGCAGGAGGAGGGTCGCTAGCGAGCAGCCCAGGAAAGCAGAAACCAGAGCTACGCACATCCTCATCGCCGAGTGACAGTCCGCGGCACCTCGGTCGCTTTTGTACTCGGACTCCACCCACTCCGCCCCCTTGCAAAGGCTTCTACGGAGAAGGTACCTTCGGCGTGCAACCCGAAGTGGCGTGCACCGCACACTTTTTCGTTTGGTCCCCACGCCTTTTCTCTCGAAATTAGCTTGTTAGTCACAAATGTTCTTTTGGTGAAAACGTGGTTATACAATACAGCTGTTTGAGAAAGTTTCGCTAATTATCTAATACTTCGATCCTTAGTTTATAAAGGAGCCACTTTTTCGAACATCCCCCCCCCCAAAAAAATAGACCCCCCTCCTAACGCAGCTGAATTGTAATTATCAAATACAGCTCCCAAAAAAAACAGGAAAATCCGTGAGGATTAATTCAACTGGAAGTGGACGGGGAAGATTTGATCTTGCCTAGCCTGTTTGTCCTCACTCCCAACACCAACAAGAGCGTTCTGAAAAGAAAGAAAAAGTTCCGGAATTTTCCATTTATAACATCACATGATAGATCAAGCAGTCATTTCTAAAGTTCTTTCAGCTGAAATATGAAGAAAACCTCTTTCCTGCACTAGTCTGATCTTATCAGTTTCTTAAATTGATAAATACGGCTAGAGGGCTAGAAAGAGAAAGTACAACACTGATATTTAACTATAGAATTAAAGCTGCTCAGCTGGACAGCCTTTATAAAAATTCAGTTGGTCCTTTAAAAAAAGGCTGACTCTTCACAACTTGTAAATGGGCTCTAAAAACATTAGTGTGGAGACTTTGCTCCAGCAACTAATTACACAGAGAAAAAATTGGAAAAGAGTACATTATACATATATAAACAACAGGGCTGTGCAGGTCTTCCAATTCAAAAGCATAAAGATATATTTGGGAGCACTGAGGAATGTGAATGTTTAGGAAGTGGCAGACAAGTCTTATGTCTGACCCCTACATGTTCTGTAGCATGTTTTTACTTTTGTATCTGAAGCCCTGCACAGCCCTAGTAATTAGAAATACAGCAGGGCATCTTCAAGAAGCTTTATGAGGATTTATTCACCAAAGATTGCCAGGATAGGACTATCCATATTCCAAGAAGTGCTGGAGAAATCATCTGCAAACAACTCACTGAATAGTATCCATCAGACACTCTATTCAGTGTTAAGTGCCTTCTCTCCCAATTAGGACTCCTGGTGACGCAATTGTTAAATGCAGTATTGCAGGCAAACTTTGCCCACAGCTTGGAGTTCGATCTTGAGGAGGCTCAAGGTCACTTTCAATCCTTCTAAAGTTGGTAAAATGAGGATCCAGATTGTTGGGGGCAATATTCAAATAATGCTGACATTGGAAACCACCCAAAAATTGCTGTAAAGTATATAATTCTAAATACTATTGCTATTGTTGTTAAAAATAATGGAGAAAAGGGTAACTCCAGCCAGACCATTGTTCCTTCTAGAGAGCCCTGAGGGAACAACTTCTCCATCCCTACAATCAGGTCTGGCATCGTTTGAGAAGTAGAAATCCTTAACTCAGCCTCAACTTACCAACCTTCTAGAGAATTATTCACAGCAATTACCAGAGAAAGAGTGGCACTTTTTTTCTTTCTTTTTTTCTTTTGGGGGGAATTAAAGGTAAGAATAGGAGAATGAGGTTTTCTTAGGAAAATTGTTACCATTTGTCTCTTAAAACCATCACCACTGTGGAAAACAGGCTCAGATCACTTTATTGACATCTGTCCCTTTTGCTGGAGAACTTCAGCTGGGCAATCACAGGATGTGACGGCTGCAAACAGTCTATGAATTGTTCACATTTGCCTAGGTGACAGAAGGGGAAGGCGGAAATATTTGCTGGTTGTTTCAGAAACTGGAAATAAGGTAAACATTGCGAGCTTGGAGAAGGGGGATAATTTCCGAGGAATAGGAGATCGGACGACTAAGGGTTTATTGGTGACTATACTTCCGGCTCTTTGTTCAATTGACAAAGTTCGGCATGTCCGATGCAACAAAATACCCCCAGATGCTGTTGAGAAGAATGAGCATTTTTCTATTTCGCATATAATTATGAATGTTCTTGCCCCAGATATGGTAATGGAATGGAATAGAATAGAATAGAATAGAATAGAATAGAATAGAATAGAATAGAATAGAATAGAATAGAATAGAATAGAATAGAATCTTAGAGGTCTTAAGCAGGAGACCCTATCGTTTCAGACAAGTGGCTATTCAGTCTCTTCTTAAAGTCCTGTCATGAAGCATCCACAAGTTCTGATGGCAAGTTGTTCCACAGTTTAATTATTCTCACTTTTAGGAAGTTTCTCCTTAATTTCAGGTTGCTTCACTCCTTGATTAGTTTCCATTCAGTGTGTCTTGTTTTGCCTTCTAGTGCTTTGAAGAATAACCCTCTTCTTTGTGGCAGCACCTCAAATGCCAGGATACTGCTATTATGTCATTCCTAGTCCTTTTCTCTAGACTGGCCATATCCAGTTCCTGCAACCCTCATCCAGTGAAAACAGAAAGCTAGAAAATATGTTTTTTTTATACATCCTGGGCAAAAATGGGACATTCTGTTTATAGGGAGTATCTATGAAGGACACATTCTAGCAACAGGCATAAGTCGTGTGCAAAGCAAAATACAATAGTGGTATAGTTAACATGAATTTAATCCCCAACACAACACTTTACTAACAAAAGTTTCTGCTGCTGATTATCGCCTCAAGGGGTTGATCAGTCTTTACCTGGTCCAGGGATGATTGAAGTGATAGTATTTTTTTAAAATTTCATTAAGTTATTTTTGACTCCCAGCAACCACATAGATTGCTCTATGAATGTTGATTAATGAGTGCAGTAAAACTGCAAAAGCCCTTGGACTAACACAGCATAAAATAACCTAGTATTTTTCAACAGCTCTGTCTGTAGGATGTGTTTTCGGTGTTTTGGGCTTATATATTCTTCAAATATATACTAAATTTATTTTGTGAAGAAGGCTCAAGTGATGTGTCAGAATCCAATTATATTTCATCTTTAAATTATCAAATATAGAAACTCCCAATTCTGCCTTCTCTGGATTCTGCCATAAGAGGGAGAGAAGGGGGAGAGCAAAGGGGCTTTATGGCCCTCACTTCCTTCTTTACACTTCAAAGAGCTGAATGTGTGTTTATTGTAACCTCTAAGCGTTAACATATCAAAGAAGGGTAATTGCCTTTCATGTAGTATCTGAAGTCTCCATCCAGACGGAAGAAAGAAGAAAGGAGGTGGAATTGTGATACTTGAAACCATCACTGGAAGGGGGGTTGATTGGGTGGGACTACTGGGGAACCCCTTAAAACCTTGAATGGGAGAGCTTGGACCCCAAGTCCTGTCTAGCATGCCTGCAACCATTTTCTCTTAATAAAGGATTCCTGTTGGAAGAACTTATTCCAAGAGTTCTGTCTTCTTAAGATGCAAAGTGGGGTGGGTCCTTACATTAGACAGGACTTGGGGTCCAAGCTCTCCCATTCAAGGTTTTAAGGGGTTCCCCAGTAGTCCCACCCAATCAACCCCCCTTCCAGTGATGGTTTCAAGTATCACAATTCCACCTCCTTTCTTCTTTCTTCCGTCTGGATGGAGACTTCAGATACTACATGAAAGGCAATTACCCTTCTTTGATATGTTAACGCTTAGAGGTTACAATAAACACACATTCAGCTCTTTGAAGTGTAAAGAAGGAAGTGAGGGCCATAAAGCCCCTTTGCTCTCCCCCTTCTCTCCCTCTTATGGCAGAATCCAGAGAAGGCAGAATTGGGAGTTTCTATATTTGATAATTTAAAGATGAAATATAATTGGATTCTGACATCCGGCCCCTCTTAACAATAAGAGAGATCCACCTGAAAGAAAACGCAAGTAAAAATTTTAGTTAGGCTTGTTAGGATACTCTGTGTGAAACTTCTTCAATAGCTTCGGGGCTCTGACATGACGTTTATGGACCCACTCATTTTGTGAGGGAGGGAGGTGTTTCCAGGCAACTAGGTACTGAGTTGCTCCATGATATCTCCTAGAGTCAAGGACTTCCTTTATTTCGAAGTGTTGTTCACCCTCCACCATGATTGGAGGTGGTGGGGGGGGGGGATTTTTGGCCGTAGAGGTGACTGATGCTCTCTTTTGGCAAGCTGCAATGAAAAATTGGGTGTATGGGCCTGTATTTTTGGAGATTTTTGGGTAACTCTAATTCTACTGTTACTGGATTTATGATTCTTTTAATTGGAAAAGGTCCTATGTATTTTGGTCCAAGTTTTTTACAGGGCTGTAGGGACTTTAGGTATTTTGTAGATAAGTACACCATCTCTCCTATAATGAATGGTGTAGGCTCAACCCTTTTTTTATCGGCTTGTGTTTTGTAAGCCTGCCTAGCTTCATCTAGTGCTTTTCTGACTATTGGCCAGGTGTTTTGTAATTTTTCCATCCATTCTTTCAGCGAGGGGATCGTTGGTTCGTTTGGGGTTAATTCTGGCATGGGGTTGAAACTTTGACCGGTGGCTATTTGAAAAGGAGTGTAACCTGTGCTGGAGTGGACTGCATTATTGTAGGCAACTTCTGCAAAGGGGAGTAAGTCCGCCCACTCGGTCTGCTGGAAACTAAGAAAACATCTTAAATATTGCTTAAGTACTGAGTTCATTTTTTCAGCCCCCCCATTTCCTTGAGGGTGGTGGCTAGATGTCAGTCCCTGAGTGGTTCCTAAGAGGGATAAAAATTCCTTCCAAAATGCAGACGTAAATTGCACCCCCCTGTCAGAGATGATGCGTTGGGGTGCCCCATGCAATCTGTAAATGTGTTGGATGAAAAGTTTTGCTAAGGCTTTTGCAGTGGGAATCTTTTGGCAAGGGATAAAGTGCACCTGTTTGGAAAACAAGTCCGTGACCGTCCAGACCACAGTATTCCCATTGCTTTCTGGCAATTCCACTATAAAATCCATGGCTATTTCTCTCCAGGGGGCTGAGGGACTTGCCACTGTTTGCAATAGTCCTGGCACTTTCCCTTGCAACCTCTTTGCCGTGG